CAAGCAAATTTCAAAACCTACGTATCCATGTTGGCCAGCCCTCCGTCACTCTGCATGAACTCACATCTCGTATTCTCTAACCAGTCTTTGAATCCTGATCGGAACCCTTCGATATATTTCTTGATCTCCGGAGTCAGGTAAGCGTCGGCAGTCGCGCTCATACCTCGTGACACCATCTTGATCATTGGCATCAGGGATGACGATAAAGAAATGTGGGCAAATTCAACCTCTCGAGCGATTTTCTCAATAGCTTGTTCGTGCTCCGGAAAGGTATAACTATGGGCAAGGCATACCGAAAGACTTCTATAGCCCTTATAGAAGATTTCGCTTATGGAATGTTTGGTTTTCTCGATGTTGAGGGGCATCAAAATGCGAACAACGTCTCCACTTTTACCAATACGCAGCAGGGCTGTGTCAGAAAGAACAGCAATATTTTCCGGGAAGGGATCCTTTGCGGAGTCTTCCATGGTAACGCGTTCATCAATCTCAACGATTTCCGAGTATAATACGTCGGGTTTGTTGATGGACAGGTCAAACAGCGCCGGCCGTGCTTGATAACCGACTTCAAGAACATCCCTGAATCCTTGGGTAATGAGCAGAGCAGATGGCTCGCCATTCCTCTCGAGTAAAGCATTTGTTGCCACCGTTCTGCATCCTTCCATTAGCCACAGATTTCTACTATATTGACATTTAATGTTCGGACTCACGTGCCCAATCTGATAACCCTAACCCGTGACGTATCCAACAAGTTCATCATCTCGGGATATAGTTTTTCGGGTAAATAGCTCGAGGATACGTCGGATCCCTTCCGTCGGAGCATCTTTATAAACAGATGGGTCCACAGAGAGCAGCTTGATCACAATATTCTCCGTGCCGTCGTCCGGGATCCCAATGCAATCTGTTCCATACGTGTCAGTAACGGGGGCTTATGCGTCGGTCCTGGATAAGCTGCACGCTGCAGAGAGGAAATGTACCTGTAAATGTACCCCCGCGCTACTTGAATGTTAATCAAAGAATCTAGACCATTGAAAGTGGTGGCATCTCATTACGTGACGATGCGGTGGTGAAGACTTTCCGTGATACTGGTGGATACATCTCTGGATTGCCTCGCTTTGAGCCGTATCAATGGACCTTTAGGTATACAACTTATAGTAAATGGTAAAAGAGAGTTAGATCATGTTGTATCGAGGTTGTTAACATTGCTGATTGCAGGGTGTGCTTACTAATCACTGTTCGCTCATCTCCGAACATTTCGCAATTAGCCACTCTCTTCAATTACAACATCAAGATGTACTTACGAAGAAAGACCAGGGACAGATAATAAGATAACCATCTACCTTCAACCAAAATTAGTGCAAGAACTGTGCTCGTCATATTACTCACCCCGCAATCACTCGCACAAATGCGAAGACATTCCCACGTCGCCGTTTGTCTCTTGTTTCTCTTGTCTTCAATCACTGATACCTCAAACTCTCGAAGTCATCACGTGTTATATTTATATTGATTCTTGGGAGGTTAAATTGCATTAAATGGCTGAAGCCAGAGATCCAACCGAAGAAACGAGACGACCAGCAAGGGAACGATCACAGTTTCCACGCCTGGAGCGGAGTGTCAATGCTTGCCAAAGACGTCGGGGACGGAAGCAGAAGGCGCCATATGCTCGGTATTTTTGACGATAGATCTTTATTGTACTAACGTCGACTTATCAGTGAGACCTGCAGTACCCAAAATGCTCAAGCTGCGTTCGTACTGGGTCTCGATGCCTTGTATTCGATACCGGCAAAGGTATGGAGATACCCAGAAGTTATGTTCATGACCTAGAGAAGGAAGTGGCCGCTCTACGGACTGAGAATGAGAACCTTCGGAGAGAACAACAAATCCCAAGCCCTTCAGGCGGTACCTTTTCCGCTACTGCACAACACTCAATTAGCACAGGAACCAGTTCAGATCCACCAAGTGAGCCAAACAATGACACGGACTTGGTGGTCTCAATGGTTGGCCCCACCCCCGTCTTTGCCTTGTATTTTCTTCTAACATTTACTAGGCTCGGGTAGCTTTAGGAAGTACAAACGAGCCAAGATTCATGGGCACGAGCAGTGGAATCACACTTGCAAAACTCGTGATGGCTGCAATAGAGATGCCGCTCACACCAAGTTCTATTGATAAATTGGGAGAGCTCGAGAAACGAGTTGATTCCACATTATTTATTACTACAGCGCCGGCCTCGTTACTATCTCGGCGTGTTACCGACCGTCTTGTCGAAATATACTTTGAATATCGTAGTCCGTATTTCACGTTCATGAGCCGCCAAGATGTACGGGAAAGCCTCGAGCATGTTTACAGATTAGAACTCGGCAACCGCTCAACAATTCAATTAAAAAACGACCGCCATATGTTTGTGGTTTACATGATTATGGCAATAGGACTTAGCTCAGGACCAGAAGTCCACAAGTCCAGCACCAAGCAGAGCGAAGGCTATTTCAATTCTGCTCTGAAACATGTCGATGCGGTATTTGCTTACAGCAAGTGACTTAGAGACACTTAGTTGTGTCCTCCTTCTTGCTCAATACGTCACAATTTTTCCATCTAAAGGAAGTTTATGGCATATTGCAGGAGTCGCGTTGAGACTTTGTATCGATTTGGGGCTGCATTGGGAGGGATCTTCTATCGTACGGGAGAACCCGCACTTCGTCGATGCCCGTCGTCGCTTATGGTGGACTACATACAAACTTGATCGCCTGTTGTGCATTACTCTGGGTAGACCATTCGGCATCGTGGATCAGAGCATCAGTGTTGCCCTGCCTCTCGTGACCGTTGATGAATCACAGATTAATTCAATCACCGGAGAGTTTCACTCGATTTGTCCTCAAAAGCGAGTTTCCAATCATCTCACCAGAATTTATCAATTGGAATCCGAGATAAAGCACGTTCTTTATCATCAATTCAAATCATCATCTCTTGCATTCGTTCGGCCAAACTACGAACTATGGTTCCCAGACATTAGCAAACGGCTCGAACAGTGGTACGAGGATATTCCATGTACGCGCCTTACCGAGCGTCAAGCGGGTTATCAAACTTACTCCTGGTGGATGGCCTTTTACGATAATGCGCTCCTGCTGCTGCACCGACCCAGTCCAATAATACCACAGCCAACCACCACATCACTTCGGATCTGTTTGAAAGCTGCTCATGATCAGATATTCAGCATTCGGGAGATTTATCGAGACAATAACATCGACATGGTTTGGATATGGGTTCACAGACTTTTCCTAGCGGGCATTACATCCACGTATTGTTTATGGCAGTCTCCCCAGGTACGACAAGAAATCAGATTTGACGATTTGATAGAGACAACCCAGGCCTGCAGTAGTGTTTTATCTGTAAGTTTCCTTCATATCGTACCAGAGGAAGCTTATGAACCTTACAATTCCTAATTTAGGCGCTCGCTGAGCGATTTTCGGGTGCCGAGGGGTGTCGGGATAGCTATGACAAGCTATCCGTCGCTACAATGGAGTATTTTGCAAACGCTCATGGCAATGCACAATATCAATTCTTGGGGCATCCTGCAAGTCATCATTATACGGGCACTATCTCACAAGATATTACAGGTAACCTGGCTGGCGAAATTCACATCACACATAGTCAAGAAGGTAATCCGCAATTTGACGATCCAAATCTCCAAGTAAACCCTTCGTATTTGCAAAATTTCGATGGTTTTCCCCGCGACTGCCTCCTTCCCCTTAGAGGAATGCAGTTTGGCGAAATGTTTCCTTTCGACGATATGGAACTTGGCCAAACATTAAATTCTGCAGCTCAATGGCCAGCTAATACCGATCTAAACTACTTTCCCGAGTAAGAAGACATACACTACGATATAATTTATTTTCATGTCTTGTTCATTCGACACCCTTTCATGATACACTCTTCACTTATCAACGCCGTCTTGCTCCAGACTCTGAGGCCATCCTCGTCATCTTCCAGATCATGAGTCCGTCAGTCATCAGATGTTAGTACTCAGGCCCATATCTAGTCTCGGGTACACTGACGTTTTCCAAAAGAAATTCGTCTTCGCCAGGAAGCTAGTTATATTTGGTGCATTTCGTACCTCCAAAACTTGTTTATGACACCAGTTTCGGTTCGAGAAAGGCCACCCAGACCTTGCTTTGTAACCCAACCATCAAAAGAGTACACAGCCTGCTGCGGCTTCTGGTAATTCTCGCACGGAAGACAGATGAGAAGGTGTACAGCATCTCGCTGCCGGAATCGGTAAGTCTCAGAAGCATCGACATGGAATTGGGTGCCGACATGACTTAGTGGCGACAATAAAAAGCTTAACCGGGTGTGATGTAACATCGGTCGTTCGGATACCAATGATATTTCCATGGTTTTCTTTGATAAGAGAGGCTAGCTTGCCCTTATCACCAAGAGCCAACTTTACCTCAAGTTTCCGCGCTAAATGCATGGTCCACAAGTATGCCTTACTTGCCCTTACGAATCCATTCGTGGGGAGTCAAAAACCCCATTGACGACTTGCCCCCTATCCTTTCGCTTCGGAGCATCAGACTTTTTGTCGAACCTCCGAGAGCTTCTTGAGCACGATTTTCATCGTCAAAGTTTCCAAAAATAAATATATTGCGTGTCTTTCGAGCCCTTTTTTGTGAGAATTGCTAGGGTTATAATTTCATGATCGCTCAGTTCATCATCTACAATCAATCGTAAAAATTTACAGTACTCCCAGATCTCATCTTCGTACGAGAATCCGTCCTTTAGGCAGTTTTGAACCTAGAGTTTCGCCAATTACTCATTCATTATCTTTGCACCTTCGAACGCTGACAGATGATAAAGAACATCATCCTCATAGCTCACACGCATAAATCTGAGATCTGCAAACCCGGTGTTTGCACCATTTGTGGTGAAGTATCCATCCTCGTGGTATGCTTGTCAGCATTCTCTCCGATAGGTATGGAAAATCTGCAGTCAGGGTCCGGTGTTGATGAGACGCATTCCCTCGGGAAAAACAGTCGAATCAAATTGCGCCTAGCTATCGAAGTGCTCAATGGGTCAGTGTTCAAAATAAGGAATTTCTATGCTTGAGCGTGTCAGCAAAGGTGGGCCAGTCAATCATTGATAGGCCATTAACCCTCTATCACATGCACCCGTCGGCTTTGAGTGACACCCCTGAAACCCCGCTCTTGATACTACCGATCTCAATATTTGGACCCTGATATATTCCCATACCGCCATAGTGTTCTGTCATATTGTTTGAACGCTTTGTAACTCTAGCTTTTCTCAAAGGCACAGATTCATCATATCTACTTCATCCAGCCACTTCCGTTGACCCTAGTGATATCTCTCGCAATGATATTCTTTGCTTGGTCTCTGCATAGCTGAAAGCAAACGCAAAACTATATATAATTGATGTAGGTAATCAGTCAAAAGGTCTAGATACATTGCTTCTAAATATTAGCCTTCTCAACAATGACATCTCGTGAAGTTGCAAGTGAGGGAACTGGCAGCCAGACGTCCATTGAAACCAAGTCCAATACCTTTTTCTGGTGGACTCGTCCTGGAACTTCCCAAGAAGAGGTCAAACTCGTTCGAAAATTAGATCTTTGCCTTCTTACGTACTGTTGTTTATCGTTTTTCTGCAAAGATCTCGATCGCAATAATGTTTCCAATGCATATATGTCGGGAATGAAAGAGGATCTCGGCCTCCATGGGAATGAGCTCAACTGGTTCACTACTTACTATCAGATTGGCTACATCATAGGTCAAATTCCTAGTAATATCTTACTTACAAAAATTAGCCCAAGGTATTATCTACCGGGAGCTGAATTTATCTGGAGTTTGCTGGTATTATTCTTGTACAAGGTCAAAAGTGCGGAACAGATTTATGTAATGAGGTTTTTCATTGGGATGGTGGAAGCTACCTGCTGGCCCGGTAAGTGGCAATGAAATTCAAGTCTAGTAAAGTACTAACCTTATCCAAGGACTGCATTTTATGGTTGGATCGTGGTATCGTAATCATGAAATCAATAAGCGCACTGGTATCTTTACAGCGTCGGGAATTGCAGCTACTATGTTTTCTGGGTATATCCGGTCGGGAATCTACACGAGCATGAACGGTGCTTTAGGACTGGCGGGATGGAGATGGCTGTTCATTACAGGTTTGGAACACAATTTTGAATCGATCCTGAGGTAATTCTACTAACGATCTTACCTCCAGACTTCGTCATTTCATTGCCCCTTCTAGTCTTCGGAGTGGTCTTCATACCCAATCCAATCACTTCAAAGGCCAAATCTTGGTGGATGACATATCGAGAGAAGGAACTAGCAATAGAAAGGTTAGCGACAGACAAACGAGCACCACTCGGAAAGCTAGATCTTACAATCTTCAAACGAGTTTTGGGCAGATGGAGATTTTGGATCATGGTAAATTCCATCACAAAATTCTAAGTCTCGTTCTATCTTGATTTCTTACCTAACACGCACTTAGAATATCGCCTTTTCTCTCTACTAATTTGTCTACCAAGCACCTACCACCTCAACTATGGCACTCTGGCTCAAAGCCGAAAAGACCTATTCCGTCCCCCAAATCAACAACCTACCCACCATCTACTCCGCAATTTCAATCGTCTACATGCTCGGATCTGGCGTCTAAAATGACTACACCCAAACGCGACTTCCCTCCCTTCTACTCATCGGTCTCTGCAACATAATCGCCGAGGCCATCCTCGTTGCCTGGTTCGTTCCTACCGGTGCCAAATACTTTGCCTTCTGGATCGCCGGCACCATCCAAGCCACGATTCCCATCGTCGTATCCTGGACTCACGAAGTCTGTTCTCGAGATGCGGAGAGGGCTATCGTAGTGGCTAGTTTGAATAGTATTGGGGTTGCGCAGGGAACGTGGTGGAATCAAGTCTTTGTGAAGACGACGAGTGCGCCGAGATTTAAGTTGGGATATAGGGCTGGACTTGCGGTGGCGATTGTGATGACGGCTTGGCTTCCGGTGGTGGAATTCTTTGATAGAAGGCAGAAGAATAAGGAGGCGTTGGAAGAGGTGGTTGGGGATGTGAATGGGAATGATGGAAGTAGTCAGGGGAGCTTAAATCATGTGGAGAAGGGATGTGTGAGGACGACTGGAGTGGAGATGTGAGATATGAGATATGAGATAGAGAACTGTGATTATTTAATGATTGATTAGCATGGATTTTGTGGATTTTTTTCTCGCTTTAGAAAGGTCAAATGATGAGGATTTCAGATTTAATAACGAACTTATTCCTCATCTACGAGTATAATAAAGGCGGATGACTATCTATTTCTCTCCTTCCTTATCTTCAGTAAAAGAGCTTTACTAGAAGAGATCTATCTTCGACTACTGTCTAGACTATCAAACCCCTAAGTAAGTGACTTGTGAATATACTCAGCACATATTATCATCATATTTTATTATTAGGTGTATGGTCACTCACTGTGTCTGAAGAATGGGAATCCTTGAGTGAGAATAGTGTCAAGTAAATCTGATTCTAACGGGTATCAACTGTTATAAAGTCCCTTCTATAATACTCGAGTAACTCCAGCGCGCAACGCGAAAGCAAATGCAACGATGGTATAAACGCCAATGACCTCCACTCTTTAAACTTTTGAAAACCATGCGAGATAACGTCCAACGCCACTGTTGCCAATGTAATTGTAAATGCAACGATCTATAAACAAAATGAAGTAAGAAAAGAGAATCGTGTCATCGTTGCATCTCATCTCTGCATGAAATCGTAAATCCGTCAAATCGTAACCACCTCTCCACCTATCCTATCCACCACACCATCCACCCCTAACCATCATCAACAGTAAAGGCCCTAAGCGGGAAGGAGCGCGAGTATCACGGTGCAACCCGTGTCTTGGCAGCTGCAGATCCATTGCTGAATCAGCCCCCATCCTCTACTGTATCCGAAGCCCTACACCTACAGCAACAAGATAGACTGTTCTTCGCCATCCAGTACCAGCTGGCCTTCTCCCCATTGCTCTCCGGCCTCCAAAGGAATACCCCATGTAAATTTTCCACCCCATCCCCACCGATTTCTATCCGTGATTACCATGTTGACGTCTTCCCCCTCGCTCAGATCACAGAATAACCATTTCCAGATCGCGGAGTCCTCTCTTCCCTCGTCGATTGATCCGGGGATTAGTCGTTTTACTGGGGATTACATGACTGGTGTTAGCTATTGTAAAGAGAAAGATTGATAGGATACAGAAGGAAGTGCAGGTGATGATGAAATGCCGTGATGAAATTGTTGACTATAGCTAGCACTTACATTCATTTCTATCCCCCCACTGGTTCTCAACGGCCCATACATTGAAATTTGCTCCCTGGCCAGGTCTCTGGGTAAGATACTGCAGATATGCAGGTAGTTGGTCTCCGGCTTCGAATCTCTGGTTGAACCTCGAGAGGAGGTGAACTCTTGATGGGCGAACCGCTGGTATCCCGAGGGCTGTGTATGGAACGAGGTTAGAAGAATTGGGGGTGAGAGAAGGGTAATGGGTGGACTTACACAGATCGCCATATAAAATTGGCGCGGCGAGCACTATACCTCCTGCTTCGAGGTATCGTTCCAAGAGTCCCTGTAAAGGTCAGCATATGTTACTCAGCAATTTCCACGCCAGTTTATCAACCCATCAGACTAGCACATTCAATGTCCAACACAAATCCAAACACCGAAACAGGTCACAAGCAAGCAAAAGTGGAGGTGAACACTAACCATGAACTCTTCTTGGAGGAAGATAGTTCTTCTTTGCCAGTAGCGGCCTTCATGTGGCCGGGCCGTGCGTGCACTTATTCGATCGGTGCTTTCAACGATGATAGATTCCATATCTGCGCGGTTCCCCGCCAGGAAGTGTTGTATCTCCTGGCGGGAACCGCGCATCTCTTCAGTATTTGAAGTCATTTTGTCTTCTGGGTGTGTTAGTGATGAATTAACAAAGTCTGGAATGGGGAGAGAATGCGGCAACAGGATTGTTGCTTTTCGCTTGAAAATGAGAAGGGCATGGAAATCCTGCTGAATGCAAGAAAGCCAGTGGTATGGGAGATATAGTGGTCATACGCACTTTGAAGAGATATTAAAATCTTCAAAATTTCTGTAAAGTAGTTGTTAGTGAGAAGTCTTGAATATCAATGTGATTAGAAGTGAGTAATTCAGGTAGAAGTAGAAAACAGACAATGAAATAGTGTTGTGGTTTGATCCGGTGAAGTGGACCGCCGATACAAGAATGCTTGAAACTTTCAAAGAGATGAGTATACAACTTCAAAAGGTATAGAATTGAGGAGATTATGAAAGGACTCTCTTTTAAAATTTCGAGAGGTATGGAGTAGAAAGTTTATGAGAAGTATGTCAAGTAATAAAGCTTGTCGTACGATTAGTATCGTAATCACTCCCTACTGAAGAGATGAAGACTTGAAATCGGATAAAAGACGACGATGATTGGTGGAAAAAGATTTCTCGGTGAATTTGCTTCAACAGAAGAAAACTTTGATCCGTAAATGGTATTATTGTAGTGTAAGAGTAAGAGTAGAAAAAAGAGAAGGATGGGTGATTTGATTAAGGGCTGAGAAATAGCAAGGCAATGAAAAGGAGACGTTGAGTAGATGGAAATGAGATAACTGAGGATCGTACGAGTCAAATTCCGTGGAGGGAGTTCGTGGTATGTCAAGATAGGGAAAAAGTGAAGTAATAGACGTTGATCGATCTAACAGAGAGTCGATAAATCTAGGGGCTTGGTGGGAGTATTTAGATAAAAGAAAAGACGTTATGATTGCTTGAGAGTATGAGAAACAGATCTTGATCAGAAATAGAGGGTTTTTATCGAAGTGAGTTGCTTTGAGGGATTTATCTTCCTGCTGGTGAGAAGAAGGGGCGAAGCCTTTTTAAACGAGAGCCTTGGCGTTGTCTCAACAATAGCCTCCGAGCAGGAACTTGTAGAGTATTCTGGCTTCAGAACCGATTGTAAACTGCTGCGAGTAATAAAAAAGTTGGTTGAACGTGCGAATAGGAAACCTCGTAAGCAGAACAGGTTATCGAACTATATGGAGATGCTTTTTGTATTGTGGTTGGGACTGTGCTGAGAATGAGATAGGTTCCGGCAGGTATGTATGGAGTAGGAAGGTAATTTTCATATGCAGATCGAAGTCGCTGTCGATGGTTGCTTTGTCCTCTCCGAAAAGTAAAAGTCCCGGGAAGATTGTAATCAGGATCTAGCTTCAGAATTGACAGCGATCGTATCGTGCGAGAGTGTAGATAATCGACGAAACTTTCGTGTGCGAGCGAACAATATTGATGACAACCTTCTTGTGTGAGTGTAGAAGTATTGGCAGATGATTGGGAGAGATTTGGAGATATTGACACTAGGCTCTTGTATGACAATAAGAGTTGTTGATGGCAAGTACTCTTATGTGAGGGTAGGAAGGATTGACGGGAGATTGTCCGAGAGCAGAGGGGATTGATTGCAATCTTCTGGTGTGAGAGCAGAGCAAAATAGAAAGGATGGACAACAATATGTGGAGAGTGTGGTGTTATCAAGGATGGAGGAAGTGGTAGTAAGTGGTTTGTCATAGTTACTGGATTTGTGTTGCAGGTAAGATGTGTGAAGGTATGGTGTAGAAGTTAAAACTATGGATTATATAGGTTGGAAAAAAGCGCGTTCTGTCGGTGGCGTGGAAGTGAGGAGTGAATGCTCACACCGTGGCGAAGCGACTGTGGAAGTTGTTGAAGAATGATATGGGCTACGAGGTGAAATGGACACGTAATGAAGCAACTGCCTCAGTGAATTCAATCTTCATGACCTTACTAGGGTACTTGATATTTTCTGATGTTTGACTTGCATGATAACATGATATAAGACAGGGACTTTTCTGTACTTATATATAGAGAAAAAAGGTACGTTCGAGGTGACTAGCAGCCATCACATCATAGAGCAAACATCTTATCGTGAGACGCTGGTCAAAACTATCTGAGTTGAAGTCATCTCCATGCGCTAGCATAGAGACCCCAATCTAAGTGCGCGACAAGACTAAGTCGAAGTACCAGATAACATCAAGAGGCAGACTCATTTATATTGTAATTGTCGGATGTGAAGATCGAAGAAATGATGTCATTACTTACTTGAAGCATGTATAACCAAGTAAGTACAAGTGTAAGGCAAATAATGGATGTGGGAGTAATACTTACTGAGAACAAAGTCATCTCGACAGAGAGGTCGTTGGCACTGCAATTAGTATTAGATTCATTTGTATTATTGGAGTATGCCAAGAGCATATTCCTACACTGTTTTATGAGTGTCAGTTCGTTGTGTTCTTGAATTGCGTTGAGGTGTTTGAATTTCGATGGCAGCGAACTTACCTATTGAAGACTTCTAGATCGCGTCAACATCAATTGCGACCAATTTAATAGGTTCGAATTGAAGCAGAGAGTGATACAGTCCTCAGAATAAGGTTAGAAGATGGATTAACTTACGTATAGCATGATTTTGGAAGGTTGGCGTTGATATTTTGATGAATATTGATACATTGTTGGTACAAGACAAAAGAAATTTGAGTTTGAAAGTTGAGGAAGAGAGGGAATTTGAAATTAAAAACAAAAAACACATTTATGTGAGGCTGGAAGCACTAAGATTGGAACTTGTCTCAAATGGGCATAATGCTCGAGGTAATGCTCGAGGGTGTGTCTCGGCATGAGGCCAGATGCTCTCGGTTGCTGCCTCGATGGCCTGAGGACTATGAGGTGCTATCCCAAAGCTGGCTTCTGCTTAGTCGTGGAATAATAATAACAAGCTGATTTGTTGGTGCACCACAAGGTTCATATATGATAGATGATAGAATTGGATTGAGCATATGTCTTTTGGTAGTATTCTTTGAGTGCAAATACCTTGGAATCTCTTTTATTATATTGTCTAAATTGATCTCTCACTCAGCTGAGCCTGTCTAATACTGCCCAGGAGCCCAGAAAACTCTTGCAGAGACAGACTATCAACTCATTATCAAGGAAGAGGTGTTGTTTGTGTTTGACAAACTTATTGTTATCATGACCTACAGTAGGTTTTCGAACCCCGTCATCATGTCTTTGTTAATCTGGACATCATCAGAGGGCAATCAAGTCAGAAAGATAGCCAATGCTAATTATAGAACGGTAGTGAAGCAGTTGTATCGTCTCTTTGCTTTTTGCTACTACTGAATGTCATGGAATGGCAATTGCTTGTCCTGAATGAGGTGTGTGCTATGTTTGGTGGACTTCCTAGCATTTTATACCACAGGTGTGTGAATTCATTATCTAGCTCATTATTCTGGACTCAAGAAACCATATTAGATCAAAGGAAATACAAATACTTACTGAAATGAGGTCTGCAAAGTAGTCGATCTTCCTCTTGCTTCGATTGTCACCAAAAGCCGAAAAGAAACTACTGCTTGTTCGCCAAAAGCGTTTCCTCTCCCTAGTATATACACTGAAGCTATACGAATCCATAGTCAAGCTTGGTCTATCTGGACCGAAGAAATGGTACCAAATTAAGGGATTAGAAGGTACCTACAATAATAATATCCCTCGATGGGTCCGAATCTTCCTCTTACTTCGATGGTTACCAAGAGCTGCGAAATAACAATTGTTTTTCCGCCAAAAGCTCTTTTACCTCTTCTAGCAGCTATTTATTATATCTCTCGCCACACCTTTTGTTGTTCTGGACCCAAGAAATGGCATTAGTTTCAGAGAATAGCAGGTACTCATCACAACAACATCCGTAGATGGATCAAATCTTCCTCGTGCTTCTGATTATCAACTGGAATCAGAGAACCAAGAATCGCAACTGTTTATCCGCCAAAAGCTCCTTTCTCTCTTCCAGCAGCTGATAATTATCGTACACTCCCTGTATCTGAGCTTGATTCCCTGTCTTGTCATCTAGACTTCAAAAATGTCGTTAAATCGAGGGGAACAGGAGGTACAAGAAGATCCGCAAATAGATGCCGAGATGTTTTTTCCTTCTGCTTATCACTTAAGACCGGAAATATCAACTACTTTTCTCCCAGAAACTCCCTCCTCCTCTCTTTCAGTAGCTGATTATTATCTGATAGTAGATATCCATCACAACAAGGTTCGCAAATACACTAGATTCCTCTTTCTCCTTCGAGTTATCACCCAAAAACAAAGATCACCAACTGCTCGTCCGCCAGAACCTCCTCTCGCTCAGCGCATATTATTTATTAACACCACGGGTATTTGAAATCGGTACCAGAGTTTGTTGATCTGCACATAAAGAGAGCACTATCAGATTGAGAAAAGCTTAAGATCCATCGCAGTAAAGTCTACATAGCAACTAAGACCTATCATTTCCTTATTGATTATCGCAGAATATTGACTGCTTCTCTGTTGAGCTAACGAACGAATTTTACATAACCTATGACTATCGAATCGGAGACAAGAGGAATAACGAAGAAGGAAACGAATACGAATAAAGCACTGTTGAGCTGAAGAGCAAACCCTATATAAATATCGAATCAGATACAATGGAGGAGGAACGCGAGCATCAAAATAGGACTGTCGAATCGAGAGAAGCATGGCATTTATCCCAATCAGGTATATATGGACCAAGTAGCAGCTAGGACCCCCTTCCCCGCCCCAGTCATCATCGAGGACCGCAGAACGCTAACCGCAGAGCATTGACGCTTGTCTAATATACTGACTACTTAGGTATCTTCTGCAGTATTCGAGTAAAGAACGAAATGTATATAATTTATTAAGTTATAACCGTCTAATCATCCCTCCACAGCCCCGAACCGAATCCCACTATATTTGGTATCTTACCATCCCGCATACTATCAAAACACATATACCTATTCCTTCGATGGAAGCTAATACCAAGACAATGACTGGTAAACCGAGAACGTTTAATGACCACCATATCATGGTTAGGTACCGCAGCCGAGAAATCTTTTTCTCGCAATTGCATTTTAACACTGACTTCTAGTTTACAGGACGGGCTACTCCCCTCACTCGCTGAACCGAAGAGCTAATACTCGAGTATAAATATAAATATACAATTAGAAGACTACGAGCTACGTGACCATGAATGGAATGAATCGAAACAATTCAAACGAACACACCAAACCAAACCCAACAAACACCCAAGATTTACTTGCCAAATCAAGAGAAGCTTACCATCACACCACTGTATAACCTTACTCTAGTACATATCCAACAACCAATCCCAAAACCAATACCAATACTTACCCCCGAACTATCATTCAAGAGCATAGAATGCATCCCGCTACCGCAGTTCAATATATTGACTGTTTCTCCGTTTCTCTGTTTCTCTATGAAAACCTACAGATAACAGATTATTAACAGCTATTAAAAAAAAGACCAGCGTTAGTTTAGTTTAGTTCGTTGAACAGAAAATTGAAAATTGAAAATTGAAAATAAAAAATAGACCAAGAAAAGAAAAGAAATGAAAGATATACCATGACGGCAGTCATGCCATGCCATGCCATCACAGCGTGAGTGAGTGAGATATACCTACCTATATATGACCCTCAGGAAAGGAATACCTTAAGTGTTACGTTAAAAAACCCTCGAGCAATGATAAGTTAGGTAGGTAGGTAAATCCACTCATACTCAAGTAGTATTCGACACAAACTCTTTCCTTTTCCTTTTCCTTTTCCTTTTCCTTTTCCTTTTCCTTTTCCATATATCAATGTCAATATCAAGATCCAAGATTTCAAAGTACCAACTGCCAGTGATACTGTTTATTGAAATTACTCCTCACAACTCACAACTCTCATAAAGATCTAAAAATACAATTACATCAGCTAATTTGTCAAAAATGGAAGAAATGAAAAGGGATAAGTGAGTGACTCTTGATGGATATCTTGAAGAAGAAAGTTTGATTGCCCTTGATTGCAAATACAGGTACGTATGTACCTTTTTGAAAAGAAATCATGAATCACATTATCTACGAGTAAACTATGACTAGGAACAACAACTTGCTATGCAAGAAACCAACCATGGTTGTGCTTATAATATCCTCCATTACTCCTTTTTCTTTTTAAATGAATGTAAGATTACAAATAGAGGTATCAAAGGTATCAAAGGTATGCTATCCTATCCTATTTTTAACAAACAAGACAAAAGAAATGGATGTGTGACTAACAGATAGACTACTATCCGTCCTGTTTACCATTCCCAACGTATGTATCCCACCCTGCTGCTCCAACCACCCCTTTCCCAGTCCCCCAATGGTATAGTAAGTTGTGGTACAACATGGTATCCCAACTCCAAAATCCATCCATCCTAACAAACAATCAATCCATCATAAAGAATCTGTGCCGGGCCATAGCTCAATATCCCCATTGTGAAATGCCCTACGTTCATTGCGAAATGAGCTAAGTTTATATGATTTATGAGGGTATTCCAAAATGAACTAGGGCATTCCGAAATCAACTTAGTATATAGAAAAATAAATTTTACAATAAACTAAATATATTATACAATGAGTTAATATATACATTAATTTGATCTCTTTATGTATCAACTCGCCAGCGCTTGCTCCTACACATAGGCAAAAGGTCCTCAACCTTGTCGTCGCCCCCATTTTTAACCATATCGTCGTCCCTATTGCTACTAGCTTTGAATATTAGATTGAATAATAAAAAGAGTTGATAGATATACAAGAGAACTGAATGAAAAAATCAAATGAAATCATATATATATGGTGGGGTGGATCCTTAGAGCATTTGCGAATGAACCTAGTTCATTTCGGAATACCCTCATGAATCGTATGAACTTAGCTCATTAGGCAATGAGCTAGGATATTGCCCTATGAGCCAGCTCATTTCGCAATGAACGTAGGGCATTTCACAATGGGGATATTGAGCTATGGCCCGGAACAAATCAAACAAGTATATCCACTCCCTCCCCATTACCATACATATCCATATCCTCACTTTCATTATCTTCCTCCAAAAATCCCAATCCACTATCATATCTCCTCTTCTTCTTCTTTTCATTAACTCCTGCACCACCACTTGATCTCCTTCTCGGCAATCCTGCCTCAAAATGTTGTCCATTTCTCACAATTGGACCCTGAACCTTTAACTTGATATCGGTTTCTCCACTTTCCGTCTCACTCGACTCATTACCATCACTCTCAACATATCCCCTTGCGGCATCCAACACACCGGCAAGTTGTTTCCTCATTCCCTCAACCACTTTCTTTCCTCTTTTTTTTTCCTTCTTTACATCTCCCTTCAACCTTTCTGCACAGTTCTCAAGATCTTCATTTTCGGTCTTCAAATCTGAGTTTTCTCGTCTCAAATTCTCAACAGCTTTTTGGGTATTCTTCAAAATGAATGTCGTTCTCTCAAGATCCTCCTGCAGCTCTGCTATCCGATCATCGCGATCCATCAAATCCTCGCCAAATTGACGTTCCGAAAGAAGTATTTGACCCTCTTTCTCATTTAAAAGATCCTGAAGTGTAGCAGATGCCTCCAGAGCAGCTGTTAACCTTGTCGATAATTCGCCCACTGTCATTTCTTTCCCTTCGAGTTCCACGGCAAATGTATCGGCCCTCAGGATTTCTCGTTGGAGTTGATCATCTAGACTACGAATTCCACGTCTCAAATCTTCCTCGACAGCTTTATGTCCTCTTTCCATTCTCTCAACGAGATTTTCCAAACCCGAGACTTCGCTTCGGTATCCGTTCAATGCAGTTTGAAGACGTGAGTTTGAGATTTCATTTTCGGCAACTTCTTTACTCATTCGAGAAACAGCGGTGGAAACGGCGGATAACTCTTTCTGTACATCATGTAAGGTATCGATACGAGCGGTCAGCTGTTGACGAAGGATAAGTTCTTGCTCATGATATTGGTCGATAGTTTCATCTTGTTTCTTTGCTTTCTCGGCCAGATCCTTAAGACGTCCGAGTAGCATGCTGAGGAGTTTGTCGTTTTCGAAACCTTCGATTGCTTCTCCAGGTGTAAGGTACTCGAGTTGAAGTCTTGCGGCACGAAACTGTTCGACAATAATTTTGATGGTCATTTCAGGGTCGGTGGAGAATCCTAGAGAGGTGACTTCGGTTGAGAGAGCAGTAAACGATGCTTCCTTTTCAAGGGCCTGAGCTTGAGCGATGGTGAGAGTCGTGAGAACAGAGTCAAGCACTGAGTCGAGGGATGAGTTGTCGTGAGATTGATCCAACGGAATATATGACGACAACTTTTGACTCAGACGATATTCATGGTCTTTGTTAAGTGCCAGGGAAGATGTAAGACTCTTGATCTCAGATTGCAAGTCAAGGAGTTGTGCTTCCAGGTTGCTTGTGAGTGGGTCAGGAAAGCTGGCTTGTGTCGAGGTTGACGCGCAGGAAGGCTTTTGGGAAAATGTATCATCTATTGTGGCAGGCGGCGACGGGAATGAGATGCTATGCTGTGTAGGCGTCATCATCAGGTCACCGGGATTTGAGGAGGAGCCGTCATAAGTCAACATCTTACGGCCGTCACATGAAGGCTCAATCGTCATGCCAGACTCCTCCTCGTGTAAGTCCAAACCACCGTGATCTCCACCAACACTCATATGCATATTGTGGTCGTCATCGTCATCGTCGAAATCGAATGGATCCTGGGTTCCCGTTATCCAGTCATGGTGAGCATTCGAACGTTCTTCCTTCTGAGATAATTCTGTTTTTAGGTCCTGAATTTCTCTTTCCATTTCTTGAAACTTCTCCACCATACTGGGATTTGCACGAATATATGTGCCAGCTTCGAATCCTAATTGGCTTGCAATGTCATGTTCATCCTGTATACACTGTGACTCGCGGTCCTTTTCCTCCAATTCCTTCCTCAGTCGATAAACCTCTGATTTTCTTGCTTTCGCCTCATGTTTTTTCTCCCATTGAATCTTGTTGACCTCTTCACTTAGTCCATTTCTCTTCATACGTCTCGTAACTCTGCCATCCAACACTTGTCGTAGTGGGGCGAACTGCAATTCTCCGGAAAATGGCTCGTTGTCGTGCCGACGATCCAGAAGTCGTACCGGTGCTGAATGCCGACGGTTTGATTTCGCAGATGACAGAGAAGTCTTTCGAATGAAGGGTGTCAAACCAGATGAAGATGCTTGAAGAAGGTTTGGTCCTGGATCAGAAAACCTTACCTTCTTCTTGAGTCTTCCTGATCTGGGTGTTGTGGGAGGAGGTATCAATACTTCAATAGTACACGATGTAGATGCTTGCGAATTTGATCGTGATTGTATTTCTGCCATATTGCGGCTTCTTCGTTTCTTCCGTAGAGCAATGGGTTGATCATCGCCCACGTCCACGTCCATGATCATGTCGTTCTTCGCCATACCCTTGATGTATGTTTATTAACCTCAAGAACTGGTATGATTGTGATTTCGCTGGAAAACAAAGCCAATACTGTACCGTGTTGTGCGTATGCAATTATGAGAAAGCGCTCGATACTTCATAGAATCATAGAATCATAAACCAAAACACAAAGCAAGAATCAAAATGCGACATGGGGTGGAAATTAAGTTATAGGAAAAGGGCTGTACAGAAATCAAGATAAATTTAATTGTTTACACCCTACCGTATTGGGAGTAGCGTACCTAGGTAATCGATTCGCTTCTTTTTTGGTTGGATAACAGAACGACAACGGGCCACCGTATTAGCATTGACACGACAAAAATGGCGTAAAAAGGTTACAGCAAGTACAGTGTGTTAACTCATGAATGGAGAAAAAAGGATTCAAGGAATAGAGAAATTCGAGAGTCGAGACCTTGCTATCTCCTAATGATGGAAAGGCTTGTCCATTATTACAGGGCTGCAGCTGGATCCACGACTTTGCTTTAAGATGGTTGGGCATATTAGGAGCATAGGGTAAAAGCCTCGATGTACAGGATCGGTATTTCGATGTTGATTAAGTCGACGTCGTTCGAATGAGTGAGACGAGAGGAGAAAGAAGAGAAGAGAAAGAGTAGAGAAGATTAGTTTGAAAAGACGATTGAATCTATTGGTCACGGTTGTTTATCCGGTAGGGTAAGTTTGGGAAAATCAATTTCTAATCAGATTCTAGAGATAGATCTGAAGATTAGATTCTGACTTGGGCCGTAAAGGGAGTCGTTTGCCTGGATAGAACGTTGTTTTCGCTGAATTAGGTAGCTTGGGTAGGTTTGGGCGTACCTACATTGGCGTTGGGTTGTCTTCTAGACTTTCACATACCGGTAGCTGAAATTGAACTTCATGCACTTCTGAATTGGTTGAATATAAAACTCTTCTATTGGAGCATATCTGGAGTGAACCGGAACCCGAATCCGAGAAGTCCCTCCCGATGCAACACTTTCCGCCCACAGAGCAATCTTAGTCCAACCGTCGCGCTTTACGACGGAGCATAGCGAGAAGAGGAAACCTCCGAATGCTCGTAGGCTACAATCACGTATCCAAGTGTACTACCAGTATTCCATACATACATCAATCCCCACACCCCAACGTTTCGATTGCTTGGTAACTTTTCTCAAAGATACCAGATATTCGACCCCCCCAAATACCAATTTTGCCATCACATATACCTCTATCCCAAGATCTACAACCGCCAAAGCAAATACCGCCAAAGCAAATACCATCAAAGTCCATCTAAGACTTATAATTGGAATGAGGTTGACCTCCAGGTTATCAATATCTCGCAGATCCCCTGTTCCTCATAACCAAAAGAGATAAGATACTGTGGACCTACTCGAGTACAACTATACAGTTATGGTACTGATTTTCTTTCAGTCTACTTCCTATCATGAAAATGAGATGTTTGCTCACTTGATGATATGAAATTCTATTTCCTATAGTATTCATGAAATGGTACAAGGATATCAATGATTGAATATAGAAAGGCTAGGTAGGTACTTTCCTAAGAGAGAAGCCCGGGTCAATCCCGGATGCAAACCCTCTATCCTTCCCGATCTGCTGCTTCAACCTTTTCATTGCATTGCATTTGCTCAATCCACTTCAACAATTTCCTAACACATTCATTTTTCATTCAACTTTAATTCTCAATAACAATCCTTTGAATAGTCTTGGTAGCAGTGGAGTAAGCTGAAAGTATTGAGCTTCGTCCTACTCGCTGTTCAGGAGTTTCTCCTCCTAGCCTGCTATATTCCCTATGCTGTCAAACATGGCTGATATAGTTATACGAGTTCGTTGCACAATTTCGTTGCATAGTTTCGTTGCACAGATTCGTTAGCATTCGGGCTCAGTGTCACTTACCGATTTTAGATCTTCGGTGAGTTGAGGCTGGGTCTAGAAGGAGATTCTCCTCTCACTCTCAGACACGAAAGTGCTGGTATCAAGAAACTCCTGATAGAGTCAACTTTTTGAATGTTCAACACCGATCGTGATAATGTCCGACACTGAAATGATCGACGTGTCCTATACTCCTTCATTTGAGCCTCATGATCTGAGCAAATTGAACCACCACATCACCTTACCCGATTTTGCCAAAAGTGTACAGAAAGCTGTCAATGCAAGCTTTCCGAATGATCAACAACGTAAGCCATATTGTAACCCCAATGTCCAACGTTTCGTGGATGTTTCGCTGATTCTCCGGTATTGTAGTCAAATATGTTCGAGTCTACGCTCTTCTCTTATTATGGGAGGATGAGGATCCAAAGCTGCCTGTTTCAAAGGAAGTAAAAGATTTAAACAAGGTTCTAGCTTCTGGCTATAACTTCGAAGTCGAAATTTATTAAATACCTAGCGACGGAAGTCACAAAAAGCTAAACCAGAAGGTTTTGGACTTTGTTGAATTGGGCGGAGATAGTAGGGAGGACCTGAAAATCATTTATTATGGTGGACATGGCATGTTGGCTCAGAATCGGCAGCCTTGTTGGGTGAGGTGAGTGATTCAAGAAAGTGTTCTACAAAACGCTTGTTCAATATCAAGTTCACAACGGACAATTATTGTCGGAGTTTCGAAATCTTCAATGTTTGAAAATAGTTGAGTCTTTTGGGAAGGGTTCATCATTCCAAGTGGATTGAACATCCTAGAAGAGATCCATAATCGATATGGTATCAGCATCCCAAATTGATAGAATCCATCGATCAAGTTTAGTATTCTAAACAACTTAAAGAATCACCGAGGCTTTTATTGTCGGACTTCAATCCAAACTATAGATAATTCTGTATGATCAAGTTCGATTATAGCAGCGAAATCATTCTTTAAATGTCGAAGTTTGACTTGAACATTCAAGAAACGTATATCATTTTGGAAGCAGCTCTTGAGCCATCTAAAATGGGAATTCCGCTCCCTTGGTTATGGTTCATGTTCGGCAAAGTATCGCTACTATTGCACCAAATAGCTAATCCCTACGTATGTAGTCGTTCCGATCCTCAGGACCCTAGTTATAAAACGATCAAGTGGAGCGGTATCCAAAACTCATTGGAAGAAGCACAATCCGACGTCCTACTCTTGCTCGACTGTTGCTCATCGGGCACTGCAGATACAGGGGACGGCTGCGGAACCACAGAGCTTATTGCTGCTTGCGGTTTCAATGATGTTGCAAATGGCGTCGGATCTCATTCATTCACCTCTGCTCTGATAACAGAGCTAAAATTATTAATATCAAATCCGAAATTTACTGCAGCTGTGTTGTACAGTAGAATTCTGTGCCGAGTTCAGAACTGGATGCCTAAGGGGAGGGAGTTGCAAAAAGCTCCGTTGCATGTTGTTCTTACCCAGAATCCAGCGTTGCCATCCAGCATACAACTTTCAGTGAAACCGAGGCCAATCAGTCCGTCACTCGACCCCTCCCAGTCCCCGGGCTCTGCAAGTCCAGCTTCGCGTTCGAGTAATCAGATGACTGATTGCGATCAAGGATCCGGTTCATCACCTATGTCAAGCCTCCTGTCAGCCGAAGCACAGTTTCCCAGAATTTTGCTGAGTGTGAGACTCAAGGAAGATTTGGTGCCGGCCTCATCTGCTGATTTGTTTGCCGATTGGCTTCGCACGATGCCCATTATTGTCGAGTCTTTCAATGTTGAAGCTGGCTTTCGCAGTTTTTCAACGTTGTTATTCGTTTCAATGTCAACACCAATTTGGGTTTGCTTGGGAAGGGATGCCGCCATTAGTCTTGTAGGTATCATAAGAAAAGAGACCAATGCAGAGTCGGGTCCTATACCGACTTCCTTGCGAGCGCAACTGGCCGAGAGCAAGCTTATTCGGCCATTGGAAACAGAACATCCACCGTCAGTCCCGACAGCTGATAAGCCCTCCACTTCAGCTTCTCTTGAACAGTCCTCAACGGAAACACTAACTCTTCCCAAACCTGGCGATCATTACTCCTTGCTCTCCTCTGAAACCGACACCGCCCCCGTAATTCCTTCTTCTGTCCATATCGACAAAGTGCAAACCCCCTCCGCAATATCAGACATTGCCTTCGCCCCCGAAATCTCTTTCGATTATGATTATCCTATGAAGTCCAGAGCTTTTGGGGAAGCAATGCGTGTACTCCACAAGAGTCGTGAAGTTATTGTAATGGAGGGCCTTGAAAGTGGCTTATCGGTGATCGAGGAACCTAACTTGAGACGAAAATTTGATGAACTTTCCCGAGCGATAGAAGTCTTGTACAAGGAGGAAGTAAGATTATCAAGAACACAGGAAGTGAATAAGAAGATGTGATATTCGTGCAATCAGAACAGACAAAAAAAACGAAGAGTGTTCCAGTAACTTGCAAGAAACACAGCATCTGTATCACTCCACGAAAATGAAGAAATGTTATTGATGGGTAGGGACAGTTAAGGTTATCCGGGGTTTTACGATTACTTATGGTTGAAATGGAATTGGGTCTTAGCTTTTCTTTGTGTGTTCATGATGATGGTATGAGATTCAGAAGCCGAGTTTCGATGGGTTTTTGTGATTTAAAAGTTAATGGATAGGGATGTTGAGTTTGAGTTCACTGGTTTCGGATTTGGATTTGGATTTGGATTTGGATTTGGATTTGGATTTTAAACCTCGAAGTTAAGCTCTAGTTACAATCACATATGGGTTTAGGTTTAAATTTAAAAGAAAAAAATATGAAATGGTTTTTGAGGTTCGGAATGTTCGCATTCATGCTCCTTCCTACCTCGATATCTGGGTGTATTGTCTGTATTGCCTGTATTATCTAAACCGTATATAGAATCTATGTGATACGATATTACTAGATAGTACTCTCTACAGCGATAGAGACATTCCGTTCCCTTTTGTGAAGACGAAGGCGAAGGCGGATGTTATTGATATATTAATACTCGAGTACAACTTGGACTTGGGTTGAATACTGATGAATGAGTTGAGTTGAGTGGGCTGTAGTGACTTGTAGTGGATTGTGGTGGGCTTTAGTGAGTTGTGGTGAGAGGGATGTAGAGAGGGATGTAGAGGGGTGAGGGATGAGGGATGAGGGATGAGGGATAAGGGATGAGTATAAAGAGATAGGGGTAATATATTGCATATTGCATATTGTAGGTTAGGAGGGAGATTCAGAGGATGGATATGGGTTTGGATGGATAATGATATTGTTGATGGAGGATCTTCGGATATGATGGGGCTGTTTACTGTCTGTAGGTGATGTATTGATATCGGTATGAGTGAAGAATATATACCGGTATATATGAAGCCTGCTTCAAGGGGGAAAGGGGGAAAGGGGAAGGTAGGCTAGGATTGGATTTGAAGATTTAGTTTAATATGCTTTTGTAGTTTAGATGATGGGTGATAGGTAGACGAGAAATCTGTTATATACCTAAGTACTTGTTCTGAATATCAATTATTTATAAAGGTACTCTGTTTCGGAAAAGAGTTGTTTTTCCGAGTCGTACTGTACGTACATACGTGATTATCCACCCCACTTTCCCCATATGTACAGATTCACCCCACCTTCTCTTTCGACATCAGGCTAAAGACACTTTCTTTACCCCTCCTTCTCATATGACTCCACTAATCTCCTTCTTATAACAAAATCTTAACTTTCATAACCTTGAGATTTCTGACCCTTCATCTACTCTTTGACTCTCTACTATTAACTTTACTCAAGTAGTATCAAACAAGAACCCAAAATGCCACTTGAAGCAGATTTCGAGTTCCTCCCCTTAGGAGCCATCATCCAAACATTCCTGGTTCCCACCAAAGACAAATCCTTAAACATCGTCCAATCATTTCCTACTGCGGAGCTCTACCAAAAACACAATCAACCATTCTTCGGTGAAACGATTGGAAGAGTAGCAAATCGGATCTCTAATGCGAAAATTAATTCCTTGAATGAGAAATCGTATGATCTTGCGCAGAATAATGGAGGGAATGCGTTGCATGGGGGAGTAAAGGGATGGGGTAAACGGATTTGGCAAGGTCCAAAATTGGTGGGTGTGAGGGAGATTGCCGGGGTTGAGGGATTGGAGGGGGGGGAGAGTGTGGAGTTCAGGTTGAGGGATGAGGATGGGGAGGAGGGATATCCCGGGACGTTGGATGTTAGTGTGGTTTATACGACGGGTAAAGAGAGGGTTGGTGGGAAGGAGATTAGGGTGTTGGGTATGGAATATGAGGTTAGGTTGGTGGATGATGGAAAAGGGGTGGAGGAGACGGTTGTTAATGTTACAAACCATTCGTGAGTAATTTTGGGTTTTCCGGGGCTAGTATTATTATTTTCGGAAAAAGAACTAATGTTGATGGTATGCTAGGTACTTCAACCTTGGTGGAAAATCGACAATTGAGGGCACGCAAGTTACATTGTGCACAAATGACTATCTACCGGTAGACGATGGAGGAATTCCTATTTCTGGACCAAAAGCATATGAGAGCATTACACCCAACAAGGAATTCACATTAGGACCCCAGGAACCCAATGTTGATGATTGCTTCATCGTCGATGCGAAATCCGAGGCAATTCCTCTCGATACACGATCTTTACCTCTCACTACCTTGGTAAAAGCTTTTCATCCTGATACTGGTATCCATCTAGAAGTTCTGAGCACAGAACCTGCATTCCAGTTTTATACTGGAAAATACATCGATGTACCAGCGGTTGAGGGATTGGAAGCTAGGGGGGCAAGAAGTGGTTTCTGTGTTGAGCCGAGTCGGTATGTTAATGCGATTAATGAGAATCAATGGAGGGGACAAGTCTTGCTGAAGAAGGGAGAGGTCTATGGAAGTAGGATTGTTTATAAGGGTTGGTCTGAATAAAGGATTGGTATGGGGTTCTTAGGTATTCTTATTCTAATCGTCGCTCTTTACAACGGAGCTTAACGAGACGAGGAAACCTCAGAATGATCGTCAGGGGTTTCTTGAGCAGCTTTTCATGGTGGAATTTTGGTACGGGAAGGACGGGTACTTAATTTGAGCTTTCATCAGTACAATGCCATTTGTTTTTATTGGCACGCTTCATATTTTATTCTCGACGCCGTTAAGTATATAACATATGAAGAATCCGTTCAGTTGGTACTTCATCTACACATTAATCCTCTTCGTTTGCAATCAAACTTTTCAAACTTCATGATAAAAATGCCGAAACCCATCACGTGTTATCTATTTTCGGCATTATGAACTTGTGACATGTACCTCGGCATCCGGATATCGGGTATTGGCGCTAAATGCAACCGGTAAATCTTCACATGTCAAATACGATGTATCAACCAATCATATATTAACAAATTGTAAGATCGAGTTCACATGAGGTGGTTCCGGAGTGCATAGTGTGCAGGTGATACGATATACTCGAGTAAAAGATGGAGAAAATCCGGGGTGTAGATGGGTTTGGAGGTTGGTTGGTAGCGGAAGGATGGGTGGATGGGTGAGCACTACGGTATAAGTACACTTGAATCAAGAAATGAATGCGATGTTTTGCTTATAGTGAAGAATTGAGTGAGTGAGTGACATGTGAAAGGGGAAGAAAGAGAAAGTTGATCCTGATTGATTGTCAAACAAAAAGCGAGTAGTCTCTCGGGATAATCATTAAGAACATCTTATTCCCTCCCTACTCGTACTTTACTTACCTCATTTCCTATTCACTTCTTTTTTGGTTCTCCTCCTACTATTCTACTATTTAGAATCAATATTGTACAACAACACAGAATCATACAAACAATATGTCGAAGACTTTCAGTCAAAGCGATGTTGCATCGCACAATAAGCCAGATGATCTCTACATTATCGTAGATGAAGATGTCTACGACCTCACCAAATTCCAAGATGATCATCCCGGTGGCAAAAAGATCCTCACAAGAGTCGCTGGAAAAGATGCTTCGAAACAATTCTGGAAATACCATAATGAAGGTATTCTCAAGAAATACAAGGCAAAGCTACATGTAGGATCATTAGACACAAAGAAAGCCGCCGCACCCCCAACACCACCTGCTACTCCTCCACCTGCCAAAGAAGCTGTTAAACCACAGGCTGAAAGTGGCGCAGTTGTGCCGGCTCCAACGGGGGCTGCGAAACAGGTCTTGGAGGAATCGGAACCGTTGGAACCGTTTGGGGATTTGATTCCATTCGCGGATCCGTCGTGGTATCAGGGGGTATGTTTCATCTTCATCACTTCTTTTTTGAATCTGCGAATAATACTAATAAGGACATAGTACCACTCGCCATATTTCAACGAAACGCACGCTGCGCTTCGTGCCGAAATCCGCGAATGGGTATCCGCGGAAATCGAACCCAATGTTGGGGAATGGGACGAGGCGCGGAAGGTCCCTGATGATATATACAAACAAATGGGGACTAGGGGATATCTGGCTGGATTGATGGGGATGCATTATCCCACGCAGTATACCGAGAATCGAATCCAGAGTGTGGCGCCGGAGAAGTGGGATTTGTTCCATGAATTGCTTCTCACGGATGAATTGTCGCGCGCGGCCAGTGGGGGGTTTGTGTGGAATGTGATTGGAGGGTTTGGGATTGGTTGTCCGCCTTTGGTTAAATTTGGAAAGAAAGCTTTGGTGGAGAGAATCTTGCCGGGGATCTTGAATGGTGATAAGAGGATCTGTTTGGCTATTACCGAGCCGGATGCCGGTTCTGATGTTGCGAATTTGACTTGTGAGGCGAAGTTGTCGGAGGATGGGAAACATTATATTGTTAATGGGGAGAAGAAATGGATCACGAATGGTGTTTGGTGTGATTATTTCACTACTGCTGTTAGGACGGGAAAGGATGGTATGAATGGTATTAGTGTTCTTCTCATTGAGAGATCGGCTGGTGGTGTTAGCACGAGAAAGATGGATTGTCAAGGTGTTTGGTCGAGTGGAACTACATATATCACATTTGAGGATGTCAAGGTTCCAGTTGAGAATCTCATCGGAAAGGAGAACCAAGGATTTAAAGGTATATTTCCTCGCCCTCTTTTCGTTTAGATTTTACTAACAATTCCATAGTCATCATGACAAACTTCAACCACGAAAGAATCGGCATCATCATCCAATGTATCCGCTTCTCGCGCGTCTGCTACGAAGAATGCATCAAATACGCACACAAACGCCGCACCTTTGGCAAAAAGCTCATCGATCACCCGGTCATCCGTCTCAAACTCGCCCACATGGCCCGCCAAATCGAAGCCTCGTATTCCTGGCTGGAATCGCTCATCTACCAATGTTCGAAAATGGGAGACACGGAAGCCATGTTAAGACTGGGTGGTCCAATCGCAGGTCTCAAGGCCCAAGCTACTGTCACGTTTGAATTCTGCGCACGAGAGGCGAGTCAGATTTTTGGGGGTTTGAGTTATAGTCGTGGGGGCCAGGGAGGGAAAGTAGAGAGACTTTATAGGGATGTGAGGGCCTATGCTATTCCTGGGGGCAGCGAGGAGATTATGTTGGATTTGAGTATTCGGCAGAGTTTGAAGGTGGGTAAGGCGTTGGGGATGAAGTTGTAGTTGGAGTTGTAGTTGAAGAGGGGAATTGGATTGCTGGGTATCAAATAGATTGTAATAATAAAATAAGAGATCCTTTTGAATAAGAGAATGAAAGAAAGACAGAAAGACAGAAAGAAAGGAAGAATCAATATTGATTACTCTACTTGATTCGTATATCTCATCTCATCTCATCCCCAATTTTTGGGGGGGGGAGGGGTTGGGGGAAAGGGAAAGGGAAACCCAAAATCCGGGAATAATCATCAGAAGGATATCTTATTCCCAGCAGATGTATTTTGTAAAGAATTGGGGTTAGGAATGAGGGATGGAGGGTTTGGACTTTTCGAAGTTTGGTGGATGTGCAACAAAAGGGTTTGTTTGGGAAAATACACGTGATGCTTAGTCAGCGGAGGTGGAGGTGGAGGTTGGTTTTGATATTGATGTTGATGTTTTCTTCTCTACTTCTGTTTTGATATTGAAAGAATCGAGAGTGAGTGGCATCATCTTTTGTTGATGTTGTGATTTATGGTATCATATGATTTTTATGATAGGGATTCATCTCATTTGTTTGGTGCATTATTGGATACTGGTACTTGAGTATGACTTGTACTCTTTTTCCAGTGCATCAATCAATGGGATAGAATACAAGTCATACTGCTTTACTGCTTTACTGCTTTACTCGAGTACATCAATCAGACGTTCATGTATTTGAGCGATGATCAGAGGAAGAATGAAATTGTATCGTGGTATTTCTATTAGGATCTAACATGAAATACCTTGAGGATATCATCTATCGCGATTAATGCCATCAATAAGGTGATGATGTCCTCAGAAAGCCTTCTTTTTTTGAGGAAATTTTAATAATCGAAATTCTAGCTAGAATATGAACCAAGTCAACAACTTAATCTCAATCGAGAGGCAGGGCCATTGGGAACTTGAATATTCGATGGAAGTCCATTCAATATATACATTTATTGATTTCCCCTTCATTTCTTCATATCGTACATTCCGCGTTCCGCTTTCTCACCCCCTTTTTTCGCTTGGTGGACATATTTAGTTCCCAGAGTAACGGAACATTCATCAGTGACTATTCAAATTTCAAGATCTTGAGGAATGTTATTTTCATTCCGACATTAGTTTTAAAAATACTCTTAACATAACAATAGATCTTGAATGGGCTGAAAGGAAATCAATCAAGTGGCTATGGTACCACTTAACCGGAGTCTAGAAGTCTCACAAGTAAATATGAAGAACATAAGAATGTGTTCTAATTCCCGCCTCTCCCAAGCTCATTTTTCTTATATTGCATTTTAATCTGTCCACTCGTTTCTCCTTCATTTCACTCTTCTCACCTCCTTCGTTCCTTCATCTATTGGAAAAAATAATCGACAATGGCAACCTCATCACTCTTTCTGAGATGCCTTACCATCTTCACTTTCATCACTAAGATTACTGCACTCACAGGATACCAACTCGAGGAGAATTATAGCGGGAATAGTTTCTTTGATGCGTTCAATTTCTTTCCGTCGCCGGATCCTACGCATGGTTTCGTCACGTATGTGAGCGAGAGTGCGGCTTCGCAGCAGGGTTTGATCTCGACGAGGAGCGATGGAGCTTATATGGGAGTAGATTCCAAGACGGTATTGAGTCCTGGTGGAGCGGGAAGAAATAGTGTGAGGATTGAGAGTAAGAAAAGTTGGACTCATGGACTTTTTGTGGCGGATCTAAGTCATATGCCTGGTGGTGCTTGCGGATCATGGCCAGCTAGTAAGTGATTGATTAGAACGTTGGGATTGGATGAGGAGCTGATCTGTGATGGTAGTGTGGACTGTGGGGAATAATTGGCCTTATAATGGTATGTTATATTGAGTCTACAAAAAAAGTCAATGGTTGACGTGTATTATAGGCGAAATTGATATCATCGAGGGCGTGAATAGTCAGAATCATAATGTCATGTCTCTACACACGTTGGTCTTCCTACATCCCACAATCCCACTCCAAAGAAGTCCTGACTAATACGGACAAAAACAGCGGACCAACATGCTCCATAGCTGGCTCAGGACAAACGGGTACTCTCCAAAGCGCCAACTGCAACAATTTCGCCGGTGCCGTCGGCGTCGGTTGCGGAATTAGCGATCCACGTACCAACAGCTATGGCACCAGTTTCAACCTCAACAACGGTGGTATCTACGCCATGGAATGGACATCCTCCCACATCCGCGTTTATTTCTTTCCACCCGGCTCCGCACCTTCCGATATCAACGGACCCAATCCCGATCCAAGTAAATGGGGAGCCCCCGTGTCGAACTTTGAGGGTGATTGTGATATCGATAGTCATTTCAGAGAAAATAGATTGATCTTCGATACCACCTTTTGTGGAGATTGGGGAAGTGCCATTTGGTCGAGTGATGCTACTTGTGCTCGTAAGGCGGCGACTTGTACGGATTATGTGGCGCGTAATCCGGGTGCTTTTACGGAACAGTGAGTCTACATTTTTTTTATCTTTGCAGGTTGTGTGTTGCGATTGGGAGTGGAAAGGAGAGAGGCTAATATAGAAATAGATACTGGTTGGTCAAATCAATCAGCATATACCAAGTTGGAGATATAGCCAGGCCCGCACCACCACTCAACACACCAACCGCAGCTCCAGTACCAGTACCAGCGCCCGCCTCCAGCGCTCCCGTAGTAGCAGCACCCTCCCCAATCTCCGCACCTCCATCACAAGACCCTGCGGCTCCAGGCCTCATTCCCACCTCACCAATCAACGATCCCATCGCCCAAGCGCCCTCTCAATCCAACGACAACCCTCTTGCAGGCCTGAACCCCATCTTCGATCAAATTCCCAATCTCATCGGAGAACAAGGTACATGCCATCCCCCTCCTCGTCCAGAACCCACCTATGATCCCTCCTACCCCCACTGCGGCACCGGTGGTAAATATCCACTAACACCCGCCTTCACCTGTACAGGTACAGGAAACAACATCCTCCCCTCCCCCCCAACCCTCACCCTCCCTAGCGTCATCCCCGCCGGCCAACTGCTCGGCATCGGCTCCGGCGGAATCCCAATTTGCGACGAAGATACATACACAAATACGGATCTAGAAACACAAATAAGCGCAGCGCAAAACGAACTCGAAATAGCAGCTCAACAAGGCATAGGTAAAAATATACAAGCAGCAGCGTGGAAAAATTCAGAATCGATAATTAGTGCGCCGCTGGAGACCCCCGGGGCAACACATGCGATTGTGGCGAAACCGTTTTATCCGGATGAGGGGGGTGCAGATGGAAATGGGAATGAGACGGCAGGGTCGGTGGCGAGTCCGACGCCGGGTGTGGGAACGGCGACGGGAGCGTTGGTCTTTGAGGGAGGTGCGCGGAGGTTGATAAGTGGAAAGAATTGGGGGTGGGGAGTGCTGGTGTTGTTTGGGGCGTGGGCTTTTATGTAGTGATGTGATGGGATGGGATAGGATAGTGTTTGGGGGTATTGTTTAGGTTGGGTAGATGATTATTTTTATGGGTATCATGGGTAAGTATAGTCAGGTTATAGGCGAGCTCTCTCTCTTTCTTCATATGTTAGTTGTTATTCTTGTTATATAATAAATAGATATTTCAAATTCTTGTGTTTCTTAACTCTTGTGAGATTACATCTTTTGGTTTTGTTTTGGGGTTTGTTTTGGGGTAAGGATGAGATAGGATAGGATAGGATATGATAGGATGAGCAGAGAGAAATATATTTGTATCTGTTTGTGTCTTGAACCTCATCTCATACACTCTTTCTGAAATTTGAACACTATCTCCTGATTATGCACACCGTTACCGTTACCGTTACCGTGCTTCCCCTTTATTCTAACTGAAATGCTTGAGAGAGAGACTAATACGTATATATATACATATATATACATGACCAAATCGGAAAAGTTCTCAGAAAACACTAACACTAAAGATTTACTAGGCGGGATAACCAATTGATTGATCAATTACAAGTATATCACTATTAGTAGATGAATGAAGCACTCCATAACATATATATACTCGTAGTTGGGTATTTGAAGTTTGATAGTGTTGTTTCTTCTCCTCGTTTGTACCTCTGCTTTATATCGACTTATATCGATATCAGGGTATCCAATAGTCCAAACTATAGTCTAACAAACAATAAGATATTCTTAATTCCTGAACTTGAATATATCTCAAATATTATTTTGATTTAAAATGTTGAAACTATTTCAATTATTAAATATATTTGAAATAATTAATTACTTGAAATGATTCAATTCATTTTACTCGTAGAGATTAAAAATATTTCGAATTTTGGAATCTCTCTAATTGGACTGCAGTCCGGACTATTGGATACCCTGGTCCGATTCGATATTGAGTAAGGAATTTTACTACTGATAATAATATTACCCACAAATACTTTCTTTCTCTTTGTTTCCTGCCTACTTCAAATTCAAGAAGAGAATACTGGATTGAAGGGATAGAATACTCAATTCCTAATAGAATACTCTCCTTACACTCATCAAATCTCAATCTCCATCTCAATCTCCATTCCCCTCAACCCCTTTCACTTCTCCCCTCCTCATCCCCTCCTCACCCCCTCTCCTCCCACGGCACATCCATCCCCCTTTCATAAACCCTCTTACCCGGCCTCGGTTTCCACATCCACCAGGTCCTCTTTTCTCCCAACTCATATGCCATTTTGCGCCATATATATCCCGGCTTCTCTTTCTCCTTCTCCTTCCCCTCCTCCTTCCCCATCTCAAACGTCGTATCCATAGTAATCACATCAACCGTCCTAAACCCAAATTTCTCATAAAGAGTTAAGCCATCAGCGCTAGCCTCCACTACTGCTTCTACATCCATTTCTGAAATTCTACTCATTCCGAACTTCATGATGAGGGAGCCGTGGCCACGACCGCGGGAAGTGGGGAGTGTATACATCAAAGAGAGTTCTGGGGTAGGGGTGTTAATATGTTAATGGACAGAGAAGATTTGATAATACAAAAGAGATAGCTGGATCAACGACAGCAAAACTAGGAATGAATATACTCACGAGCATGAGGTCTCCGCATCCTCTTTTTTTTTACATCAAAAAGTTGCGGAAGAACTTTCTTGGTGAAATCACGGGCTTCGCCTTCGGGCCACCAGGAACCGAGATCATTATCTTTCTCTTTACTTTTCTCATCGATGTTCTTTTTACTTTTATCCTTCTTTTCTCCTTCGTTCACATCCGCGGTCCCTTTCTCTTCCTCTTCCTCTTTCTTCTCCTCCTCCCCGAAAGGATTCTTCTTGTGAAATAGCCAGTTTGCTGCTGCTAAGACTTTTTCATTTCCCCCTATTTTCCCATCTTCTTCTATTTGATCCTCATCCTCATCTGCATCCTCATCCTCATCAACAACATAAACCCAAACACTATCCTCATCCCCCTCATGAAATCCCCATAATCTTTCCTTCGACTCCTGAATCGCAGCTGCCAATCCTTCGGCCGTCGGTGTTTTGATCGGAAATAAAATACTCATGTAGGGGCTGTAGGGGATGGAGAAAGATTCCCACATGCAGTCTCTTACGAGGGAGAACTGGGCGAGGGTGGTGACGGTATGGAGGGTGGGTGACATGGTGGGTGGAGGGGTGTGGAGAGAGGATTTTTGATTGCAAGTTTATTTGATTTGAGAGTTGTGTTATGAATGTTTATTATAGTGCTTCAAAAGAAGACGTCTCTCGTCTCATGATATACTCGAGTATATGAGAACAAGATATTAGTTTGGGGCGGAGCACGGCTAATTGTGTATGATTTCCGAATCTTACAATTCCAGATAAGGAATCTGATTGAGGCTAATACTGATGTTGAACTTTATACGTAATTACACGTCCGTACTTTCCCAGTATTGTAGTTGATCTGATTGCATTGCTTGTTGGTCATGGTTGGAGATTCTCATGCGGGACAGGGAAACTCGGTAATTGACCAATGGGAGACATTACATATGTGACTCGGATGCACTACAAATGGGGAATCCAAATCTAATACATTCAGTTTTATAATTAGTATCCAAAAGAAAACGTATGATTTCGATTTTATGAATTCTCATCTGAATCTGAAAATGATAATTCTGATAATAAAGTTATTTCAATATTCAAAATATCTAAAATGATTTCAATAATCAATAATTCAATTTTATCAAAGAGATTTTCTATTATGAACTTATTTTGATATAGTTATTATAGATTGAAATTCGAATTTTGAAATTGAGAATCGAATTTTCGAGGTTGAGATAAAAGTTCGCGAAATTCTTTTGGATATTAGTTATGAAATTAGGTGTAATATGCATGTCCATGCTTAAAAGTGACAGAATAAAGATCATGGGACCGTTTAGGAGAAATGGTACTCGTTGTCGCCAGAAAGTATACAAATCTCCTCTACTCGATAAGGAATTGGGCCAATACTCTTGCTTCATTTCCATTAATTCCATTAAATTCCATTATCCTCAGAGTAAGTATTGTGGGTAATGATTTTGGTGTAGAACTCTGCCAGATTATTACGCGAGGCACAAGTAGCCCTTAGATAGATGAATAGAGGGGCTGCTATTGCTCCAATAATAGAGAAGAGGCATGTGCTAGGCGAACGCTTGGTCCACTATTATTAGGTAGTCTTACGTTCTCTATGTTATGGTTATGGCTTGAAGCAGTGAGTGTCGAAAGATAAGGAAGGTACCTAGTATATAAGATTCTGTTCTTCTGGATTTGGCAGGCGCATTCTGATATTTAAATATTCGTTAGTCTTTTGCTCTAATTGCTAATCTGTTGCGCCATCAGGATTTTGAGATCAGAATTATCCTCTGTGTGGACTCTCTCAAGTAACTCCTGGACTGCAAACTCATGATTGAAATAACGCTATTAGCAGCGATTGCAAACCCGATTTAATCAGTTCTTCGGAACCCGGCCATTCATGTCTTCAATCATAGCATCCACCAAACCGATGCTGATGGCAAGGGCAGCATCTCACGGTTTTCAACTGCCAAGAAATCTAGAAGTGCCAGCTAATCAGGAATTTGCACAAGGATTTTTGACACGCTGATATGCACTAAAATGCCAGGTGATGGTTTACCGAAATAATGGTAGTAGTAAGTTATTGAGTGCAGACTACGGCGGATGTCTGACGCTGGCAATAAGCACGCTTTTATGCATATAATGGCACTGTAGGTAGATGCTAAGTTAGACGCAATTGGTTTGGCGATTTGATTTCTAGGAGGACGATGCAATGGCATGGATACTTATTCATGCGTTGTGCTATGTTATGCTAAGGAAAAATCGATTATTCTGGCACTAGAACTGGTTTTAGAAGTAGAAGTTGCGGTTTAATCACACTGTATACATACTGGAAGCTGAAATTAGGCCAGCGATGAGAGCTTTTGACTCATGAACTACTTCGAGGATAGCAGCTTTCGAGACCTGTATTGGTGATGAGACTAGAGAAGACTTGACGGGCTAAGATACTTCAATGATGGGAAGGTCATTGATTAAGTTGTGGAGATACTGTAGCCATTAACTTTGATAGTGTTCTCGTTAGAAACCGAGGCAAGTTAGTTAAGTCCATGCTCGCCATTTTTAGTTGTATCTATCTTTCCAACCAAGTCCAAGGAAAAAGTGTAAGGGGGAATTAAAATGGCTCAAAAAAGAGACGCAGAGAAGATAGGAAACTTGGATGTTTCTGCTCCTGAAAAAGTGTGTGCCTTAAATCACTTGACTCAACAACGAAATTGTGATCCGGCTTTAGTGAGATGACTATATCGGATGCTTTCCCATTATTGTATTCTCATGGGTCTGAAAGTCATGGATGATTAACGGAACACATGTTGCTTCCAGATATACGGCATATGGTACTCGTATATGGCGTGCCCTCGCGGACTGTGGTTACGGTAGTCAGTATTACACATATAGTTATTAGCTTCGTTTGACACATCAAGATGTTCATGCAAATGGTGTACTGGAGTAAATTGATAATTAAGATACGTGGGACTCCATTGTGTTATTGATAACTCCTTTGGCCCCATTGACTGAAACCATTGAGACCTTTCCCCTTTTCAGAATAGTACCCACCATACAATGTACTGATCGAATCTAGCGAAACCTATTTCCTTTTCAAAATAATATCCATCATAGAATTCATCTCCTTGATACCATTCTCTTGGCGCTCGCGTTCCGTCTCGGATTGAAGAGGAGGCAGATCTTTGGGTCCTGACGTCCTGAGAATTCCTTGGCCGTAATATTTATATCCTTCGCAGTGATATCCCTAGCCTTTATTTTCCCCTCACAATCAATCCGTGCATTTGCGATCATCACAAATGGTCCACGCCAATCCCGTGGACCCCCTGTGAGCTTGGCTACACTTGCATTTTTCGGTCACCGGTCAAGTTCAGGGCCATCTGCTAAGCCAAATATAGTTGCAAGAGTCCAGTGGTCTGGGCCTGAAACGCCTGGTATCAAGTCGAAATCGGTGATCCTGGGAATTATGTGTGCCGGCATGCCTGCCCCTCGACCAATGGCGCTATGAGGTGCTGGGTTATCGTAAAGTCGACACTCATGACAGCCTTCGCAGACAATACATTCGTGGCAGTAAGGAACGCACAACGGCGGAGCAACAGGTAGACATGGGAACCAAGCCAAGCGCATATTCGGGCTGTCTGCTGGAAAATACAATCCAAATTTGTGGATAGTTGAAGGGCGTGGCTTTGCTCTGGTCATCCAGACCATACAGAGATCCGAGTGTGTTCTCTTACACTGAATTGAGCAGTAGTATGTCGTATCATCACATTGGCAGACCCATCCTTGTTGTGCTATTCCTCTGCTACAAACACTGCATGGAACTGGACCAGAGTTGAGTGTGAGTACAGATTTATCTTGACGGAGAAATATTGGCATCGTTGAATCTGCGATACAAAGGTAATCGATAATGTCGAACAAATCTTTTGGGTTGTGGTGAGAAGCGGTTGAGTAATATTTCTCCTTTTATTGAATTTATATCTCTTGTGGATTCGAAAGTAGAAGACGATGATATTATTGCGGCTTTGGAAGATATTGCTTGTGTAGAAACGAAAGATTATCGGGTCATAAGAGGCTTTGTTGTATTTGGTAGACTCTGCCGTATTTATATTCGGTGATTTCAAGATGCCAGGCACAGCATGTGATTATCGAGTGAATATATACCGCAAAGAACTTGAGACGATAGTTTGAAATAGATGCGGAAAGATGAAGAGTTTATTCCTTGTAGATCAATGGTCAGCGTTTAGATGTAGAGAATATTCGAAAAAGGTGAGTTTGGGATCACGGGAATTTTGGAGAATTAAGGCCGTTCGTTAATTGAAGCACGTTTTATGTGATATGTCCTACTACTAGTCTGAAGTTATCTTTAGATTGTACTGCGAACACCAAACTCGGTTGTTTCGAGGTAAGAAGCTAGAGTGAGTTATGGCCTGCGAAATATATTCACTCTCATGTATGCATCTTCGTATAAAAATATTACATACATAGACTTCCCGAACACTGAACTGGTAAGAGTTTCTGAAGCTCATTAGTACTTCTGTAATCGTTGATAACAGTCAATGATGAGACATTTCGTTGTATTCTGTGTCCACAGAAGAGAAATTACTCATTTGTATGGAGATCTTAGATAGATTTATCTCATATCATTGTGTTGTTTGTGCGACATTTGTCATACACTGTGTTTAGTCCTAGGCTCGTGAAGAACTTCCTACCATTACTTGCCTTCCGCATAGCAAAGAAGCCATCACGAAAATTGCGAATAACTAGACTGCTGGCACATGATCCGTCTGCTTGTATACGGTTACTCAACATTATCGAATCAAGCTATGTCCTCTAATTCCGAGGACCGAAAAGTTTTCATAGCTTTATCATGGATACTTAGAAGAAGCGTATCAAGCTGAATTTGCAACTCCTCGGTATTACTACAAATAATGCAGAGTGCATCGATCCAGACAGTGGTTATGGTGGGGTTACTTAGAACAAAGATCGGTGATATGAGTTCCATTAGGAGGCCATATGCGTTATCATCCACTGGGAAACAAACATCGATTCCGGGATGGGTTTTATGGGAAGCCCTAAATCCCCATTCGATCATTAGATAAAGAGGCGGATTTTCGAAGAAAGCAATATGAAGACGGCACTCTACAATGGATGGTGTTGGTGACATTGTTCTAGGCAAAATCTCGAGTAAACGTAAATTCTGCTCTGCAAGATGGAGTGGACATATTTCGGCGATAACACATCGTGCTATCATCGGAACACTGGGATACTTCAAGAACAGCGAATCCCGAGAACACATCATATTCTTTGACAGCCAAACCGCCAGTTCAGACAGGTTATCGACAGGGATATAGCCAATGAAACGACTTATCTAGCAGCACGACTGACTTTGATAATGGAATTTGGGGAATTGGAATATGGGTACACAGAACAAATGTGGACATCCGGTTCTCTTTCGAATGTTCTCATCCAGTCGTTCTAGCCATTATCGAAGGTTGGCACTTGCCAATCCCCCCGACAGACTGGCCACAGCTGATGACTTAGGACACCCTAAATTCCCCGCAGAATTCATACATGAGACCATTCGCAGTCTAGCTCTTCTGTTTTCTTGTAATAATAAAGATTGTGGAAAATGATTCAAGCAAGTGGGTGCCTCACAAAGGCTTGACAAGAAGGCGATCCGACGTGGTCGCCTCAGCGCGGAAGATAGACGGACTGAAACGTTTAGATTTTGGGACGAAAGACTTTTCATCTTGAAAGAGGTCTTTGATGAGGTAGAGCCGGTTACTATGCCGCAATGGTAGTGTGATAGAATGAAGAGAATTCAATGGTACATGCTTTTCTTTGGGTTACGATCTGGGTGTTTCTTCTTACTGTGGTATGTGAGGTCGTTGAGTCGTTTGAGGGAGAATTACAAGTCTAAAAAGCATTTCAGTTATCATAGTGAAGGTGGATAGTGTGCTGTCGTAGCTCTGATGCTGTTTCATGAACATGTTCTACCATTCTATTGGCGATGTTCGGTGTTTTCGAAACGAGATGGAAGTTTTGAAAGCTTGGGTGAGGGCATTAAAGTAGTAGTTTTACAAATACTCATAGATAAACAGTGATAGTTCAAAAATTGTGAAAGAGCAAAATCATAAACGATATCAGGATGGGCGGGATGTTGTCTCGTTGTCTATTACAGTACGGTCCCCACCCAATTCACATGATTTCGCTTATGTAATATCCCACCCGGTCGCCCTATTTTTCACAGCGTTAGTTGGTTGTCGTTCTCAGAACAACAGTTGCACATCTCATCACCTTCCATCTACGAATGCTTCAAACAATTTCGATATAGAAATACTTTACTTGGATTCCCGTGAATACTTTGTGGTACTACTATTTGAGGAATTCGGGCTGTTTATCATATTGTGGTCGTGGAGGTGCGATAGTTTATTATCTGGGTTCGTCCTTCGGGAGAAATAACGAATTGAAGAGATGTACTGTAGCTATTCTAACTGTATCGAACCAGTCAACTTACCCCTGAACCCCTTTAATTCTCGTATCACCGTCAAGCATTCAAGATGCCTGCCATGCTCGACGATCCCAGTGCTCCCACAATCTACCGAACCTCGGGCTCAGCGCCCTTTCCAGATCCTCACGATACGAACCCCGCACTACCCCTCGATGTATACCCTCGACAAGTCACTTTACGTGACCGAGTGACAGTTGCTACAATCGTACCTTTTGCGTCCCAAAATCAAGTACCTCCCTCGCTTCTTGCATATCTAAGCGACCAATTCAGGAAAGAGGTCGAGTTAGGCGACACTTATCCTATGATTGACAGTATGCCCGAGGAGAAGTTTGCATCTTATTGGTTTCAGAATTTCGGGGCAGTAATGCTTCTTGGCAATCTTGAATCCGCAGATGAAGTAGTCGAAGGTAAAAACTGGGCTACAGAATGCCTGGGAAGTTATTATATCAAGCCTAATTACCCGGGACGTAGCTCTCACGTCTGTAATGCCGGATTTCTCGTCACAGATGCTGCGCGAGGTAGGGGTGTAGGACGTCTACTAGGAGAAAGCTATCTCGACTGGGCTCCACGACTCGGCTACACATATTCGGTTTTCAATCTCGTATATGAGACGAACGTAGCTTCTTGTCGCATTTGGGACGCATTAGGGTTCAAACGCATTGGACGTATCAAGGGGGCAGGAAACCTCAAGAGTTATCCAGGGCAATTCATCGATGCTATCATATATGGGCGAAAATTAGGGCCAGATGGCTCCGACTTCGTGAGTGAAGAACGCTTCGATAAAATCAAATTCTACTTGAAACATAAGGAATATCCATTGGGTGCTGATCGCGCGGAAAAAAGCAGACTTCGTAGCGCGGCCACACATTACAAATTACTACCGGACGAGGATAAACTCATGCTGAAGGGGAAGGAAGTCATCAGTGACCCGCAAAAACAATATGAGATTGCAAGGGCTACACATGGGGAACTACATACAGGAATCAACAAAACCACAGCTATTATTGCCGATCAATATCATTGGGTTAGAATCAAAGAGACGGTTAGTCTTGCAATTAAGAACTGTGAATCATGCACAGACTTGGTGAAAGCGCCAGTTGTCAAACCAGATTCCCAAGTCCAGCTACCCCGTCAAGCTACTCCTGAAAAACAAAATGTAGTCGATGCAAACATACCATCTCTACCCGAGCAACATCATCAGCATAATCATCAACAACAGCATCAGCAATCACAGCCTTCCCATTTGCAGCACGATTTTCAGCAAATACAACAACATCATCAAGACCACAACAGTACATCCGTATCGCCACAAGTGCTAAACCCAGGACTACCACCCCCTCCCCATTCTCATATTAGCCCCATCATCCACCACCAACAACACCAACCACCAATTTCCCAAATGCAACTCCATCATGCCGAATCTTGTACTCAATCTCAATCTCACTCTCACTCTCCACCGCATATGCATTCTACCACAGATTATCTACAAATCGATCCACAAATCATGGATTACACGCATACGCCTCACTCTGAAAATGCACATTTCGACACGCATCACGAACACGACACGGATTCTTTCCAGGCGATGTTGAGAGATAGGGATGCGGATGGGGTCCTGGAGGATGATGGGGGCAGTGGCGCGGATGGAGATATAAATGATATGCTTATGGATCCGGATGAGGTTGAGATTAACGTCGAAGGACAATCCGGAGATTTTACAGCGGTGGATGGGAATCATATTGGGGGTCATGTACATGTAAGTCATAATGGGACCATGGATCATCCGATGGGAGATAAAATACATGAATCCCATGAAGATGTGATGGCCACGGCGAGGGCGGCGCAGGAAATGATTTTAAGGGCGGGAATAGAGGGGAATGTGGGATGAGTGGGGGCTTTGGAGTGTGTTCAGTTTAATAACTACCTAACCCGGAAGACGATGGAAAAGATAGAGGAACTGAGCCTAAAAGGCATTAGAAAGTCATAATTCGACGCTGGCGGCGGATTTTGATTTCCATACCGTCAGTCACTGGCTGGCGACAAATGCAGCGAGTGGCCCATTAGATCACATCAGATACAGTGGCTCACGGAAGAAGTGCGGTCATATGATATTCGCAGGGGATCACGATTGATACTGACGCCTTCTCGCGGATACCGTTCTATTATCAGTCTGGAGGTGCGCCATGCCATTTAATATCAAGCAGTAAAGATATTGTACTGGCGGTTTGTTTAGAAGACAAGATGCCTTCGTTTTGAACGAAGTTTTCTCGAAGAAAACTGATGGCCAATGAAAGGGGAATGAATAATGTTCACGGTGAAACACAATAATATGTAGACATAAGCGAGGGGTTGACTTTAAAATTCTGAAGCGCGAGTATGTACTCATCATGCATCTAGCACTTCTACATCATATTATAGAATAATCATCTATACATCAAATTTTGTCCTTGCCCGTCATGCATATCTTTCATTCTCTCCTGCATCATTCATGAATCATGATCCCCCTCTACCATTTGACATTTATCGTCTCGGCATACCTCTTCCTCTACCCCTCAACGCTCTCTGGGCTGCTCCCGGAGGTAAACCTCTTTGTGGAGCCATGGGTGCCGCGCTTTCTTCATTTCTAATGGTCTCATCCACGCTCAAAATCAAACAACTGGCTTCGGTTGCTGCTTGTATGGCATTGACCTTTACCAACGCAGGTTCCCAAACGAAAGCTGCCATATTGTCTGTGATACCTTCACCCACGAAATCAACTCCGGCCCACACGTTTCCTTTTCTGTGTTCCACGCGGAGCTTGTTAAGGATATCTGTAGCGTCGAAACCAGCGTTATCGCAGAGTTGACGGGGAATAACCTCAAGAGCTTTGGCGAACGCTTTGATGATTGCTTGTTGTTTGTTTCGAATATTATTATCGGCATAGTGATGGAGATAGGCTGATACTTCCATTTCGCAAGCTCCACCTCCAGCAACGATTGTGGTGTTCTTGATGGCGCGCTTGACGATCATGATGGCATCGTGGAGGGAGCGTTCTACTTCGGCGATGAATTGCTCGGCGCCTCCGCGGAGAACTAAAGTGCAAGTCTTGGCTGCTGGGCAGTCTTCAAAGAAGTTGAAACGTTCACCTCCAATTTGTCGCTCTTCGAAAGAACCGCAAGTTCCGAGGTGCTCGGGATGGATATCAGAACAAGTTGATTGAATGGATCCTCCGGTGGCTTGGATGACGCGGTCAAGGTCGTCGGATGATACACGGCCGGCACAGAAAATATCTCTATCGGCAAAGTATTGTGTAGCAAGATCACCAATTGGTAGCTTAGAAAGAACAATCTTCGCACCAGTGTTGTATAGAGCTTCCATCTTGTTGTAAATAATTTGCCATTCAGCGTCGACAATAGCTTGGTATTCCGAAACTTGCTCGACACGAACTTCTGCGTTGTCTTTCTCGGACTTGAGCTCGAGTTCGACATTTAAGCACACGATTTTAGGATCCTTGAAGGATTTTGGTTGTTGTTCGAATCCGGCATATGAGAAGGTCTTTTTGAATGCAACACCGTTTACAAACATTGAGTCGGTAAGGGATCCCCCGGGAATTTTCTTCATGCCAATGAGTTTCTCATTCAAGTCGTCCTGATCTAATGTCAAAACTGCATCAACGACCACTGTATGTTGTTAGCTGCGCCCCACTACAAGATCTTGAGACCATACTCTTTGTGAAAAACCCAGTGTTTCTCTTAATCAGCTTACTGCTCATAGCAGTTCCAGCCAGTTTAATAAGAGTTTCCCTCTGGTTACCCTCACTCGTGTTAACAGCGATTTCCTTAATTTTGTTGACGGCCATCGTAGAAGCTCTCCTGAGCCCCTTGATAATTGTTTGCGAGCTGACACCTTGCTCAACATGATCCTTGATCTCCTTCAAAATTTCACCTGCTAAAACAACAACAGATGTTGTTCCATCTCCCACTTCCGCATCTTGTGATCGAGAGATATCGGTAAGGATTCGTGCTGCTGGATGGATAACATCAAGTAGCTACGCACAATCAGTTTCTGAAATATTTGGTATACAGAGGTTGCCCATAGAGAAAGCTTGCCTTCATGACAGTAGCACCATCATTGGTAATCGTTTGTCGTCCATTTTCATCAACAAGTAATAAATCCCCACCATATGGTCCCAGAGTACTTCTAATTGTGTTTTGAACGGCTAAACAAGCATTAATGTTGCTGATAATCTGTCCCTTTCCCTGCGAAGAATCCGTGCCTGCAATTCACCCTTATATCAGTATTTCATGCTGTAACTTCAATATCTGGAGTACCGACCCTCTTTCAGCACAATAATTGTTGGAGTCTGGCCACCAAACGACATTTTTGCAATAGATTCTCTTTATGATAGATATTAGAAAGATGCCGTAATCACCGATTAATCGCACTGCCGGGTGTGTATGAGAACGTTGCTGGGGTATGAAGAGAACTCTCAAAGCTTTGCTGCCGCTACCTGATAACTGTAGTTCAACTTTTTTCGCGTCGCGATTTTGCTATCATATCTTCTCCAGGCCACCACAATTTACGACACGTGAGATAGTGTCAGCCACTGTCCATGAGCTTTTAGCCACCCCCACCACAACTTCTCACCACCGCTCCCGGTGAGCTGCTTTCTGAGTTGAATTCTTCCCATCAATTAAACGAAATCTCACCACTGGGCGCTGAATGTCTCTTTCTTCACAACGACAGTATCGCGTCGTCGACTCATCCGATGGTTATCACTCAGTCAATACTCGAGGTTCTACTTACTTACCTTCATGTCATTCTGAAAACATCGAAGAATAGATTCTCAAAGTCAATGGTGTCACTGCTCTCCCCTTTAAACAACATTTATCAACGCATTCCTCGCTTTGGATTCGTGTGCGAACTATGTTTCCAAGGAATCCAATCAAGAAGATTAAGTCGCTTAGATCTTAGCTAGTGAGGATGTGAAAGTTTCCGACCTTCGTGTCCTGAGGTAGTATCTTCAAGATAAACTGTATGGTCTACAGCTCGTTCTAATTCTACTTCCCAAGTCCTCGTTGTTCAAGTAAAGTTTGGAGATACACTATCATATCAATCATTGTCATTCCGTTCTTGAATTGCCGTTACTTAATCGTCTTGAGTATATGAAGAGCGATGCGACTTTTAGCAATTTACATCCGCAACATTGTTTACCATGGCTTGAGCTTGAGATTCAGCATTATTCTCCACGTTCGGTTGAAGCAGGCAGATCAAGGTCCCTGAACAATCAGCTTTGGCCATATGTTATGTAGGAGGACCGATGTTGCTAAAATACATATCGCATGCATAGTATCTTTACTACTACTCCTAAACGGGACCTCCGTCCTTTCAGTCACGGCTTTCATATATATAGTCACATGAATCGTCCAGTAGTTCCACGAGAAAGCGTTCCAAAAGCGTCATGACATCGAATGAATCAACTTCTTTAGGACACTTATCCCATTTGTGCTACATCTTTGGAGTTGAAGCACCTCGGATGTCCTAAGCTATTGGATAAAGTGAAGTGTTTGCTGAGGGAGTCAGCCTAAAAACTGCATTGAAGCTGTGGGAGATGGAAAGGGATAGCATGAAGAGAAGATGTCAAGATGAGGATATTTAGAAACCAGAATGCTCCACGAGCAATACTGGATAAGTTGCTATCTTCGCTATAATAGATATAGTTAAGATCGAAAAACAACATGTGATTGCGCGCGGGAATGCGAAGCCGAGGATTTCCCGGAAGCGGAAGCATGCTTGCTGACTTCTGACTTTATTGAACTTGGCAAAATTGAAGTTTCGCAACTACTACAACTCCAACAAACGCAAGCAGGAACGTACAACTGAATTTGAAGTACTGTTTCATTTGTTACCAGGAAAGTAAAGATAGTATACATCATCGTCTTCTTTCTTACCAACTGTGAATGCACTTGAGCATCGTTTAAACTCAAGATTGCAACCTCTTCTTTGAAAGTGGTAACCTCATCTATCTCATCACCGATAGCTATGAATTATCTACAGCGCCGAGCGGCACAGTAAGGCTCACAACGCTACGTTTCCTCAGCCTCTGAGCTAAGTAAGGAGTAGAGCTCCTTTGATTTACTCAGGTCCTGGGTATAATGAGCCAAGCCACACAAGAGCCAAGTTGCTTTCGCTGTCGGGTGATTCATCTAGTCTCTACTCGTAATTGAGGCTGTCTGCTGGAAAGAGGCACCAACCAATTTGTCGTGTCACATTCCTTCACCCACTGAAACATAAACAAATACTTTACTCGAGTATGAGCCATTCCATAAACCTTCATTTTTAACATTTTTCGCGTTATTCTTATTCTGCGCGTTGCTCGACATTTTCACTTTTTACGTCTGTCATTTCCTATGCAGATTCATCAATCATCATGGCGCCCATCAAATACTACCCATCGCAAATCGGTTCTAAACTCGTTACCCCTTTATCTTTCACTGCATCTCCCATCAAATTGCTCCTTGAAGACTTATGGACTGCATTGATTAACCTAAGATATGCCCCCAATATAGTTTTACCTCTTTCTCCCACGACTTCGGGTGATCTTTGCGAATTGTATCCTTCGGCGAGGAATTTGGGAAATATTGCTTTACATGTTGTTCTATTCTTTTTGCAATGTTTCTTCTTGCTTTCGATCCCCATCTGGATCTTGATGCCAGTATGGGTGGTAGCCATAGGATTCACCATGTTCTGGGTGACAAACCTCTCCATTTGTTTTCTTCTGAATGGGTCAAGACTGGTGTCGACGTATCAGTCGGCGCCAGAATATGCTCAAGAGAAAAAAGCGCATGCTCATGAGCAATGGCTATTCTTAAATGGTGTTTGTGTTGGGTAATGATTCCACCGAGTAAACTCATCTGCTACCTGATAGACTGATGAATTAATAGTCGTCACTGGCTCAAATGTGCCGTCAATCGTCTCGCCCTCACGTTTGGTCGCCCAGTCCTAGGAATTCACAATCGAACGTAAGTATTTCTCGTCTCGTATGTGCATCCTGTTAACCAGGTGCAGCAATGGTGTCATTTTTGACATACTCGAATGTCTGATCCAACGCTCCCTCAACTACGCTAGCACCGACATCCGCACCGCCTACCGTATCCTCAAAGGGAAGTTATACGACCCCAACATTACTCGCATAATTTTAGTTCTCCACTCCCAAGGCGCCATTGAAGGCAGCATGATCATCGACTGGCTCCTCGCCGAGATCCCTCAAGATCTTCTCCAAAAGCTCGAAGTCTACACTTTCGGAAACGCCGCCAATCACTTCAACAACCCGCATCTCCATCTCGCATCTCAGAGTAACGCCCTATCTCATCCATCATTACCGGCAACTTCCCTCACAAGAACCATCACTACACTTTTCACCAGCTCGAATGGTCCCGTAGAACTCCCTACTAATCGAAATGGAAACGGAAAGTCCATCCCACACATCGAACACTATGCACATACATATGACTTTGTATCTCGATTCGGCGTACTCCACTATCACCACAACTACAGCCACGAAACATTTGCCCCCCGTTTCATGGGTAGAGTATTCGAAGTCGAAGATGTAAGTACAATTTATTTTCTACCGAATACATCAATCACATGAACAAATCAATCCATCCCCGAGCCCGTTGTTGGCCCTCTTCCTGCATGTATGTATGCATAATACAACATCAAACCTACTAACACCTCATTCCAGAGCGGCCACATGTTCGTAGAACACTACCTCGACCGCATGTTTCCGCTCTCCAAATCCCTCTGCAAACGCCTCGTCAGCAGCAGTTTCAGAAACGAGCGTAAGCAGCAAGATCTAATCACCGACGCCAACGCCGAAGAAGAGCACGTAGATGAAAACCCAGGGTTCATGGGAAGCGTGGTGCAGGGACTCGGGCGCGTAGAACCGGATGATAAATTAGGGAGGGAAGATTGGGAAGTTTCGTATGTAGGAGAATCGGGAGATGGGGACGAGGTTGAGAATGAAGATGAAGAGGATAGTGCACGAAGTGTGAGTGGCAAAGGAAACAAAAATGGCAAAAGCAGTGGAAAATCAAACGGGAATGCAAATGCAAACACAAACCCATCCAATTCGGAAAAAAAAGGAAGTCTAGGATCAGCAACATTAAAAGAAGAAGGAACGATCCTAACTAATGGTATGGATCAAGGCGAACTAAGAAGAGCGAGAGCATTTCGCAATAAGAAAGAATTCAAGGTTAAGAATCTTAGTAGATTGTGGTTGTATCGGAATGGGAAGAGTCCTATGAATTGAGTTGGGTGGGATATAGAGACAGACAGTATGGTGGTTGGGCTTTCTTTCTCGTCCATCACAGTACTGTAGAGAGGAGATAAAAGCTAAGGGTAAGAGGGCTGTGACTGGAGTTGGGGCTTGGGGCTTGGGTTTAGATATGGTTGGTGTTGAGTAGACGGATCTTTTGTGATGGATTTCTTTGGCTTTGCTGGGTTTTGGACGGGAAGTTTGGTGTTTGTTTGGTTCTGGTGGAATGACTGACTTCTTGCATTGATGTATGAGTATTGATTGGTATGCCAGTGTGATTGGCAGAGTCGGGAGTGGCGATTTTGGATTTGATGGCATGGTATGGTTAAGAATGAGGATAGATATAGATATTGAGAATCCGATAAATTTCTTCTTCGTACAATTTGCACGTCAAGAACATTCCATTCCAAAAGTTGTCAAGGATCCATATTCCAATAAGTATGGTTATTATTATATTCTGAATTTTCAAATTATCTGTGATGCCTCGCTCCGAACCATATAATGTCTCCAGAGTCCATGCATAAACGCATCAAGCATAAGCATCATCTCCTTTGCCTTTGCAAACTGGACAGCCACCTCTAATTCTATCCCGTAGTAACCTCGCCCTGGTAACCTTGGTCCCAATGCTATGCACATTCGTATACCTGCGCTCGTCGTCATCCCCATCACCAAACCCATCATAGGTGGGATGTCTTTCCGCATCCGCTGACTGACGAATTTGATCTTCGTTCTTGCCATAATTTAACAAATGGGACAAGTGCCATACATGACCGCATGCGAACCCGACAAGTGTTTCCATCTCGCCTTCGTAGAAAGCGCTTTTGCAACTAATGCAATTTGCAGGCTTGTGCTTGGGTAATCGTCTTACTGGAAGTTGTTGAGTTTCTTTTTTCACCTCGAATTCATGTTCTACGACATCGAATTTGACGCCACGACGTTGACCGACTCGAAGAGTGTTTTGAGTCATTGCAACTTCTCCTCTTAATACTCTTGCTACTCCTTGGCTGATGCTTTCTTGAATTTCATATTCCTTGATCATTTTACTTAGGCCTTCTCTTAAACCCTCGATCTCTAGACCCTCGGGGATTTTTCGAACCAGTCGGATTGGATCGATTGCCGTTCCAACTTCTTCCAAGAGTCCACGGATAAATCTGGGTTTATCCATAGAGTACTCGAGAAGGTCATCCCAAAGGTCAGCATCATTCTGAGATTTGGCAAATGATATTGCTTGTGAGACATCTTCGAGACGATCAATAATGAGATAGAGAGCACGTTTTGTTTGACCAGTCTTGGAGTAGAGATAAACGAGTTCTGGGATGTATGAGTGGTTTTCACATTCAAGTGTCGCCTAGAATGCTTGTTAGCTTATGTGGAATGAGGGGATAGCGCTACACAAACCTTTTCAAAAGTATAAAAGGTAGATGACTTGAGAAATTCCATAAGTAATTCGCGATCATACGTTGCGAAAAGGTCCACAGCTAAATCGGCGAGGCCGTCGACGAGTGATTTGCTCTCTGCCAATAAACGATCGCGATTCTCGCCTGGGATCTCATCTATACCATCGCCTTTCCAGAGCGAGCTAACGTAGAAAAAGAGATACAATGGCATCTTTTCTAGCTGATCCACGACAACATGGGGCCCAACGAGACCGTGATGAGCCTCATCAACAAGTAATTGTATAGCTTCGGAGGTAGCCTCTCTTAATTCTGAGATAGGAGCATGTCGCTTCTGGTCATTCGAAACGCGCAGCATGATGAGGCTTGGGATATCATCCGCGATTGCATCCACCAAATGATATTGCTTAATAAGACTCATAGCGGCGTCTGCATCTTGGAGCTTGATGTAACATTTCAGGGCCTCGCGAGCTCGACCATCAGCCACGTAGAGCTTCCCTAGACTTTCCATGACTATTCGCCAATCTCTACCAGTTTCACCATTTTCTACACTATCTTGTCGGACATCACGGTATTTGAGTTGGTTTTCTAGAGCTGTCGCTACGGCCTTGACATCAAACAAGTCAGGCGACCACTGGTCGAGTAATTCTCTGACTCGTGGTAAGTTGTGGGTTATGTAATGCCCCAGTACAACTTCGTAGATTGTCGACGGTAGTGGTGGCGTAATCTGTGCCGTCGGTATAAAGTTGGTAATTTCATCGAATTTATCCTTTCCCGCAAATGTCCAGACCCAATGCTCCCACCGCTCCGATGTACCTAGTACTTTACCACAGATTTTGCCTGCAGCAGCCCAGTCATCGTTTTCAATCAGGGACTGAATCCAAAGTTCACCAATTCTACGTTTCTCTTTTTCCACGGATGAATTAATCAAGCGACTTGCAGATTCGATGGTTACACTTTCATTGTCGTAGAAGTCATCACTACTCGACCGCGTTCGATCAGGAGTTCCTGGGCCAATCTCAGAAAGCTTCTCGGGAGAGGATGAGATCACTTCAGGATGATCATCGATTAATTCCCAGGCTTCTTGGTGTTTCCCGTGCTCTAACAGCCATGCGAGATGATCCGACAAATCTCGCTTCGTTGCCAAGATACAGTCATATGGACTTTGGATAAAGATCTTCATCCCTGGTGTAATGGTGTGAGGATGAGCAGCAGAGGCACGATTGTGATGAGCAAGTTTCGATTTAATGGAGGTGTGCTTCGAATCACCATCGCCTGTACTACCATTGCTAATCACACTTGCACTTGAACTGAGCAGTGCTGTAGCGTTGATTGTAGCATTCCACATACCACTGCCCATTCCAGTCAAGGCTTCCAGGGTTCCTCGGGATGTTTGAACGATTGGTTGATTTCGAGCCGCAGGTAGCACGCATAAATGGTAATCACCAGCTGAAAGTCTTTCATAGCGACTGAGAGTCAAGCCATCCGTATCGACTTCTTGGGATGTTCCGAGATCAATGAGACGAAGTTCTGGCGATCGTGCATCTTGTCGACGTCGTATTCCACCACTCGGTTCGCTGCCAGTTGACGCTGTGGATGGCTGGGATTTATGTCCCTTAGGTGTGACAGATTCCTCATCCTCGGTTTCATCACGCATAACATAAGCAAGCACAACAAGTAACGTCGGGGTATATAACGATAATCCAGAAATAATGCAATCCATCCGTAACCTAATGATGTTAGAAGGAGTCAGTGATATCGTGTAATGGGTTCGAATCCTGCGACTCACATTTTGATGATCTCAGCGCTACCAACTGTACGCTCTCCCACATCTTTTCCAACCCCAGTTCCACCAGGATGCACATTAATCATCCAGATTGTGCCCCCCCATCCAACGACCAACTTTTCAATTCGTAATTTATCTCTCGAGGCTTGCAGTCTCAGTTTAGCTGTGGCAGGTGATGCAGTTGATGCTTCGCGAGCGTTATCATCTTCATCTGTTTCAAGAGTTTTTTCATCAATCCATTCGACCCTAGCTTTCCAAACACTAGCCATGTCTTCCCATTGTTCCCCATCTGGGCGAGCTATGTGCCCAATGCGCTTCCAAGCAGATTCGGTGTCCGCACCATCCAGTTGTAGATGAGATCGCATGATTTTGATACCATGCTCATTACTCCATGCAACATATCTTCCTGATAAGGACCACTTGATGGTATTGATTGTGCCTTCTCCGGCGTGTAACACATTATCCTTCCCAGTTTGTGTTCCTAAACCAATGGTTCCTAACCATCCACTGGCAGTAGCCGCTGCACTTCCGGTTGTAGTAGATGTTGAGCTTGTCCCAGCTTTGCCGCCAACGGTAAGCACAAGATTCCCTGCCAATCCCCCCGATATGTATGTGCGGTCATTTTTGTAATCCGGCGATAAACTAACAGCTTGGACAGGTCTTGCAAAATCTCTCAACTGCACATCTTTTGCATCAACAAGTGATGCTATGCAGACCTTCCCATCGACAGAAGATGTTCCAATGTAGATTGCGTTCGAGGGAGTTTTTGGTACTGCTGGACTTCCAGGACTTCGAGCTGTATTTGTAGAGGTCTGAGATGCCATTGACGCAGCTCTTTGCGGTGTGTTTGCGGCATCCGGGTGCACTCGCGATGCAAAGCGTTGCACAGCTTCAGGAACCGCTGTAGGTAACGGAGGAGGAAAGGGGGATATGGATATGCTCGTGATAGAAGCGGAGTGGGCATGGTAGGTTCGAATCGACTTGAACGAAGGCAGTGATAACACATGCTGTATGGAATGTTAGCAGGTTGCTCTGAGAATAGGGGCGATTTGTGGCATACAATATTTCCATTATGTGTGCCAATAAACTATAAAACGATTAGCAAGAGAAATCCAGTCGCCTATGAGTGGGGAATCACCATCTTGTCGCCAGCAACCAGGAAAGTACTTGTAGCATCTCCGTTCCTATAGACTGGACCAAGATGGCTTGTCATTCGAGCATATTTCAGCTTGGGCTCCTCCTCCTCTTCTTCATCTTCATCCTCATCCTCCTCCGATTCAGTTTCGACAGTGTCATCGTCATCTCCCGTATCAGTCCCCCCCTGACTGGACTCAACATTATCCAGATTTTTGGTGTCGCCTTGTTTTTCTGACCCTTCAGCCATAACGGCAGACTCTCACGATCACATTTGCTGTTGTTGTCAAGGGTGTGGCAGGGGTAGCTACACCGACGACGTCAATATCTCTATAATTTGGAGCACCACAGATAGCCGAGTTCTAGGCTTTCGGCAAGTACTTTTTTTTTTTGTACAAGTAATCTCAAGAATTTGAATCCAACCCCTGCAATCATGGACAAATTCCTGTATAATTTTTGTTGTATGCCCAATAAATTTTACAACTATCATGAAGTCTTTTTGTCGTTCTTTTTCCTCCATTGCAGTTAGACGGCCAATTGGTGAAAATAATTCACGACTTCCTTATCGATGTCTGTTTGCTCCAGCATCAGCACCGCACCACCCTAGAAAACGGAATTTCATTTCTTCCAACGCTGCTCTCCAACAAGATGTCACATTTTCCAATGGTGAGCCAACGATCGAGGTGAAACCAGTTCAGAAAAGGAAACCTTTACGATCGCCAGCTGGAAAGGCGAGTTTAAGAAGGGTGGCAGCGGAAGCTCAAAGATCCAGACAGAATTCAACTCGACCTGAAGCCACCTCTGAAAATGTCGAAGGCACAAACAGAGTTACTGCTATCTCCGTGGCAGATTATTTTGATATGGAAGCTGTAGCTCGAATTCTACGATCGCATGGTTTCTCAATTGACCCGGATGAAACTGGTTTTGAATCCGATGAGGTTATACACACTCGAGGCGTCAACAATGGGGATATATTTGTGTTTCCTTCGGGCTCAGTTGTGGCATGGTCCTTACCTAAGGATGTGGTTACAGATCTGGCAACCAGGACCCTGTTACCGGCCGCTATCGAATCACATGTGGGTGATATTGAGATAGAAGATTTGGAATGCGAAGAAGACCCCAAACGGGAGAACAGCAGTATCAGAGGAGATATTATTGTTTTAGGAACGAAGGACTCGCCAAGTGAGGGACGCCTAAGGTATGTTACGCTTCCCTAGTTGTATTCGTTTCGAGAATCATAGACATTAACTTTGCCATAGCTCACAAGTCGACACAACTCTTGCGAAGATCGCCTTTTCCTCCGGCCTTGCTCGGTCTACAAAACTTGCGGTCCTTGAGACTATGCTGTCGAAATACTTCGAATCTACTAAAGCTATACCTACGTTACTCTCGCGAGGGTCAAGATTACCTTTTAATCGGCAATTTATGCTACAAAAGACTGGAGAGTTACTCGATTTACGGGCGCGGTTGAACCACTATTCCGAGCTTACGGATTCACTCCCCGATTTATTTTGGGACAGTCGGCATGAATTAGGTCTAGAAGGGTACTACGAACAGGTCGGAAGGGCTCTTGATGTTGGTGTGCGGATTAAGACTTTGAATCAGAAGATGGATTATGCCCAGGAAATTGCAACAATTCTTCGGGAGACGATGAGCGAGAAACACAGCATTCACCTCGAGTGGATCATTATTGTTCTCATTGCTGTGGAGGTGGGTTTTGAGCTTCGGAGATTATGGAAAGAGCGAAGTGAACGACTGGAAAAAGAGAAGGAGAAGGAAATTGGGACATGAAATGTCATCAAATCGACTTTGCTTCATTGTTTTTGCCTTCATTTCAAAACTTAGAAGGATACCCTACTCAATACATACCCGAGAGCAGAATTTCGTTGCATTTCTAGTTCCAGATAAACTGGAATATTGCCTTACATCGTTGAATACTGACAGGCACTGGGATATGCTTGATCCCGAACCGTCGAAAATAATCTCGAATAGTTTGGTTGTGCTTTTATCATATATTTACACAACATCTGGTGGTCGGAAATTTCCCCATATTGGATTGTGACATGTCAAGTGTTTACCAACAAATGGCAGCACCGTTTCGAAAGGTCTGGGATCGCAGGTAGAAACATCTGATATACCAAATATTATACCTTGGCAAGCTTTGACTGAAATTTTCAGAAAACGTAAGTAATGCTTTCTGCGATATTGTTGACCGGTGCTTGTTGTGATGATTGAATGGACTGGAAGGCTTACGAGACTATTGGCAGTGCTTGTGAATAATCCAGGAAGTTATTTTAGCCAGAACATGAGAATTTACTGGAGCGACGAAGACAATCCAGTGCTAACGAGCGTCTCATGGGCCAAGTGGACTGAGCGCATGGTACTCTAGGCAGTACAAGAAGGTCGTAGTGGAGCAAAAAATCCGCCCTGATGAGCGTTGACCTCCTTCACAAAATCGAAACTTGTTTTGCCGCGGGGTTCAATGGAATAAGAGTGACTGGCCAACGAAGATGGCCGTTATCTGAATTGCTGAAGATGATTTCGCACTCCAAATACCAGAAGCCACATCCCAAAATTTACGGACATCTTGGACTTACCTACCGATGACGTTCAAGCACATAATTTCGACATGAACTATTCTCAGTCAATGTTTATGGTTTTGTTGATCTTATCAACCGCTACTCTGGGACCCGGTCAACGATATACATTTGAAGGAGACTCTCATACTCCCATCTAACGTTGTAAGAGAAGATGTTCGTAGGAGAACGGAAGCACTATTTCCAGCGCTTATTAGCAGGACATCAAATTCACCAGATCCATTGTTAGACCGTCCTGGATATAACACGCTCCCCTAATTAGTCTTCACATTGACGCTTCGCATGCGACAAGAGGGCAAGGCCCTTAGTGCATCGTGGCAATTAGACGCTTCGGGAATCATCTCCCACCTTGATGAAAGTCATGGACTAGGGCTTTCTTGGCATACGCAGGCAAATAGGGCGTTGCCGCAACCGAAGTTGAAGAGGATGATGTGGCGTGCCGGCTTATGGTTACTGATATTATGGTGGTGGTTCGCCGACAGAGTGAAGAACATACACTTATGTACAGAGCTCTGGTATACGCTTGTGGAGACTATCCTATGGAACGCGAGTAAGTCTCTGAGACTTTTGAAAAGTTAGGCACTCAATTAATGGCTTGACCAGCCCAGTTTACAAGCGTTGAAAAAAGATCATGTTCTGTATAGACAGGCCGAACTCCTCTGGAGCTCAACATTGGTTGAATGTTATGCGTGGTAAAGATAGGACGCACATAGGAGAGGAGGGGACGGATCCGTTTAACAGCATGCCCAAGTATCTACTTGTTAACGCAACATTGGTTGTCGACATTCCAGTTTGTCCATCCTACTCAAATTCTTACGGCAACAAATTATACTGCCGGCAAACACACCATCACCATATTTATTATTATGAATTCCTGAATGGCCCTTCCAGTCAATCCTGAAATCTAATGTTCCCATGTCCACACACCATCTTCACAACCGTTTACCTCTGAACGAAAGGGATACAATTCAAACTACCTGCTACATGGCCTCCTCCGCCGCAAGTGATCTTTTTAACCTGATCGTTCCGATGATTGCCTTGCTTTAGCCATCAATTGTTATAACTATTGCGCACCATCACATCCTTATCATTCCAGAACGGGCCCCCATCTCATATCATCAAATAACACTATTCAATATTGGCATGACTTACCACCGCCACCGCCACCGTCACACTAGCCTCTCATCCTTCGTCAACAAAATCCTTCTACATCACAAGCCTTCCCAATCAAAACAGTTGTGCTGTCTAATTTGCCTTTCGCAGGGCAAGATCGTTTTAGGCCAAAGTCTTGTGTCAATTGAGGAACCTCCTAAGCCTTCTCCGTCGCTCTCTGTCAAATACGAAAGTAGTATCATGACGAGCCACCCCCACTCCTATCCCGCGACCATTTCCCGCCTAATCGTGGGGTACTGCAATTGTTCTTCCACACTTTTCACGTCGCTCCATCTTGCCATGGCCCTTAAATCGAACAAATGAAACCCTGCATGACGGGTATATTCGGACATATCTACAAACCGCGGCTTACCAATAACGAAGAATCTAGTTTCCTGATTGCATTTCGTGTAGAACCGAATTATTGATTCAAATGTAAGAGTCGGCATATTTTGAAGAAGTAACTATGCGGCGCTTTCATACGCATTAACTATGTTGATGCCTTAATCGGCGAGTGCGATGCTGATGAAATAGATTGGTCGTCATTGCTAGCTTTACAAAGTTTTGAGCTGAACATCGAATTCGGATTCGCGGGAAGCGTTTACGTCCTTGTCCGTCTCATAACCGGTAAATGTTTGCTGGGTGCACAATGAATTGTTTGTGGCTATTGATTTGACCGGCACATCCCTTGCAATGCTATGCCAAGCGTTCAATCCAGAGCTCCTACGGGGCTAGAGCTGTTCAGGAACATCCATCTGTTATTTTCATTTGTCGAGTGACATTATTAGTGGAGTTACAGCAAACAACTTCTTCCTTATGGACGTAAATGACACTCTAAACCAAACCGAATATTTACGTACGTATAGACATAATTATACAGCCCATACGGGTGCAACTGAGATCCAAGATCTGATGCAGCGGTAGGGCTGCAGCGGTTGCAGAACGTGCGACCGGAGCAGACCTATCTCTGTGGTACAGTACCGCAAGGCTGAGTTGCCATGTATTACACATCGTGTAGTGGCCACTGAAGAAAGCATAATTCGCTTATGTGTTACTTACCAACACACGCGCTAATATTATATGCGCGAGGATCGCGAGGCTGAATTCTATAATTGTGATCTTTGTAATCTAGAGAGTGGCCATCCATCCCTCGTCAAATTCACATTGTTACGGCACAGCTGCTGAATCTAAAAGTTGACTCAAGGGTCGACAGCTCCCTCCATATATAAAAAATGCCATGGGTACCTGGTATCATGTCTTGGATGGAACGAGAGGTCGATCCGCGATTAATGCGAAGAAGCAAACTTACCTACTGAGAATATATTAATAGTTCAAGGCACGGCCACCATTGCGAGAAAGAAAACTTGGAGACCCAAATCCAAAACTAGATGTGCTACTTGTCGGTTATTCATTCTGCCTCGATTGATGCTCCCAGTGTAGCTCAGCGTAGGGGTATAATTGTAACGTCACATTGCTGATAGCATATAGGGCTCGCCGTGTCGAATGCGGAGAAGAGAGTCCCGAGTGCCTCCGGTGCGCAAAGACCAGACGCAGATGTGATGGCTATGATCCAGATCGTCCAGAAATGTCAAGCACCGCACTGGCACGAAAGGCTAGTGTGGTGTCTTCGTTGAGCGCAAGAACAGTCGCTAGCCCAATTAGAAATTATACTGCAAGTAAATCGCATTACCGTCTCCAAATATCAAAGGAGACGAGAAGGAACCAAGAGGTTTCAATTTCTTCCTTGATTTGATAAAAGCCAGAACTGACGAAGTTTTTTAAATCTAAATTTTGGAATAGTCTAATTTTACAGAGATGCCATTCGGATCCTCCTATCCTCCATGCGGTTATTCTCTTAGGGTTCATCCACGAGTTCTTCAAGTTCGGCGATGTAGAACTTCTGGAGGCGGGATCTATTGATGATCCCAAGCAACGATTTGCTCTGATACAGAACAACAAAGCTATACAGCACTTGACAGAGTATCCTTTCACATGGAGGGACCCCACAATCCAAAGAAGTGATTCTGATGTCTTGCCTCCTATTCATCTGCTTTGAAGTGATGCAAGGAAAGTACCAAGCTGCATTTGCTCATCTCAATAGTGGTCTCAAGATCCTAGGCGACTGGATGGAGAGAAATGGACATAACCCACAGACTTGTCCAGAGCCAAACTTGACACGAGGATTAATTCGCTCGGAATTCGTAAGATTACCTCTGTTCGATGCTTTAAATATTCAAGCGACAGAAATTTTACCAACTACTTCTATTCCGTGGGGAATGACTATGGGGTCCACTCGGGTAGATTTCAGAACCCAGAGTACTACACAAAATGTTATTTTGTCTCTCAGTAAAGCAAAATATCATTTGCAAAACCTGACTCATGGAATCTTGGAGTACAATCGAAGTGCAGCAGAGCAGCACAGCTCAGATAGGACGGGAAAAGACGTTACTCTACGCTCGGACACCATGGATGCTATCATCGAGGAGAACAGAAGACAGGCTCTCCAACTTGAGCAGTGGTCCAGCGTCTTCAATATCTTCGCGTAAAAAGCAGGTCAGACAATGGATACGAATAATCTGCGAGCATTCATTTCTCTCAAGCTGCACTACGTTACGAATAAGTTGATTCTCGAAACGGCGCTATTTGACAGTGAAATGAATTACGATCGATACACAGACCAATTCGAGCTCTTGCAGACGAGAAGGTAGTTTCATAGTAACTATGCTAGTAGTATGGATAATTGGATCATCGAGAAGGAAGAAGCGGGGCTAAATAATCTCGCAATGGCAGAACAAGTATTTGAGTCTGCTGGATAAGTGGTGGTGGTGATAATGCCGCCGGGACGACGGCGTGCGCTGATTAGGTTTAGATGGAGTTTGGACTGGGAGGTTGGAGATTTGGAGTTGAGGGGAGAGTGCTTGGTGTGGTGATGTGATGTGGTGTGGCGGTGTGATGGTGTGTATTTACGAGTAGATTAATAGGGACTCTGGTAGTCTGTCATGAGAATGTAATATTTTGAATATAATGTCATCAATCAGACATTGTCACATTGCATGAAACCGAAACAGATTCTGGGGCTTCAAAAATCAACGTGAGAAGAATCGCATACCATACTGTAGAATTGCGAGTGACATACGAGGGAACTGGATGATACATGTACTGTCATAAAGTATAATTTAACAGTGATTATAGAATATCAGTATCTACAGTCACGAAGTTGGGTAGCTAACTAAACTCGGGATTGCATCAACATTAGCATCAGCATCCTAACACCCTAAGGTGAGGAAGAAATTGTATGTATGATCTAGGGATGGATTCGCAGTCTATTGTATGACTATTTCAACTATATCAACTATATCAACTATATCAACCATCTCAACTATATCGACCATCTCATCACTGTGAAATTATGGCCACTGGCAGGCAAGCTAATAACTACACTAGACGAGAAATACAAGTATATACTGTATATAATCACAAGATTCCTCGAGGTACTTATTACTGTAATCTTACATTATGATTGGCAAATAGTTACTACTGTATACTATTGTTTATTACATTGAAGAGGAAGGAATACAGTATAAAACAAACTAGAGTAATTGAGCTATAATATGAAATCGTATATACCGGTATCGTATTATTGTATTGGGAATTTCAATAAAATAAGTATTATCCGCCAAGAACTGCTAGTTAGCTAGTTAGCCATCTATCTAGTTTTATTTATTGTATCCATAATATAACGGGAGTTCCCTCATCACAGGCAGGGAAGGAGGGGGGGGGTCGAGCCAGGTGCTAGATTTTAGGGCTTAGTAGTTAGTGTACGGAGTATGCAGATGCAGATGCCAAGTCTGGGCTTTCTGTAAGACTATAGCCTCGATCATGAATATAGGAATATAGCCAAGAACTCGTATAACATTTGCATATTTGTATTTTCACTGTCGCAGTTTTGTGAGATATGGATTGATTCTTGATTTGGGGTTGAATTCTCGGTTTAGCTATGAAAAGTACCAACACCAATATAAGACGCGCGCCTCAAAACGCCATTCAAACGGCTAACCGCTACCCTGCCGATGATTCAAATCCCGTGAACCATGAAACTGTTCAAGTAATAGATACCTAGCGGTTGCAAAATTAAGTAAACTACATGAGAGCGACAAAGGAGAATCTAGACGCCCCAGCGCCTCACGAAATCTCCTTGTCAATACTGTCCATGTTTTGACCACTAGCACCCGAATTTGAACCATTCATGGGGCTGTCAAACATCCCCATCAACATTTTCCTATACAGCCCACCATCCAAAAACTCCCTATCGATATCTTCATACGCAGCCACTCCTCCTTTCCCCCACATATTCTTGCCCAGCTTAGCGATACACGCATCCCCACAAACTCCTGCACTCCACCTCTGGTTTAAGGACAAATCGTTTCCTTCGGGTGTGTATAATAACATGTATGTTCCTGTTAAAACATGATCTGTGGAATCTTTGACCATGGCTAGGGAAGAATATTTTTGTATTCGAGCGTGCCAGGGATCGCCATCTCCCCAAAACGAACGCATGTCGGGAACGTGGGAGAGATGGTTATCTTTGTGTCCCTCGAGGCGAATATCGATTGTGCGGAGAGTGAGGAGAATGGGTCGTGTACCCGCTTGGGGTAGAAGGATAACCGTGACAAAGGTAGTGACAAATCTCGGAGAAGGAGGAGGGCTTGTGGTGAAGACTTTGTTGAAGATGCCAAGGCGGTTTGTACTGTTTCGCCGTGAAGGCTGAGATGAGGGATTTGAGTCAGTGGAAAGATGTGGTATTTTGGCCTGCCCTGTGATGAATTTTGATTCGTTTTCGAGGGCTTCATATCGTTTTGCGGTGTCAGGACCTTGTACATGAGTTGGAGGTGGACTGTAGATTCCTGAGAGAAGAGGTACTCGTTGCTGAATTGCCAGTTGGGCACGGTAACTTTCAGTGGATGTCATATTTACGAAGGTAAAAAGCAAAAAACGTATGTCCGTTGGCGGATTGGTATGTTCTAGGCTATCTTCTGTACAACAGGAACCGTTACGTAGATGTAGGTAGAGAAGTAAGGCTTAGCTTCCGTATTACGAAAGCTACGGAAAGTATCCGAAAAACAGTAGTTATGACAAGCTTGATTCGAATCAAATAAAGAAGACCGAGTACAACAAAACTGGCAGAAGTACCGGTATTCTTGCGCAAGTGTAGAATTCCTGAGGGGTATGAGTTACCAGGTAGTGTCACGGCGGCAAGATCTTGTGGGGGCCAACCAATTAGATTCAAGACGCTCGTACCACCAACCAATAGTTCGGCAACTTATGCGAGCGAATTATTGGTGTGGTGGACATTTCGAGGTGGTAGACTTGTACTGATGTTATATACACGGTAGTTGAGCTATAGCCATTGTATATGGGCAACGCGTGAAGGAAGTATGAGTATGTATAATTCGTTTGCGAAATGTCGAAATATGATGGAAGAGGGGATTGTTGAAAACCGGCTAAGCCTGGCTTACCCGATTACATGCATAGTTCGAAGGCGCAGCAATGGATCAAATGACAAGTCATGATCTCACTAGCTGTTGAATCTGCCGGTGTGAATCCGAGTTGAGGATATTCCCGAGGCGCATTCGCACTATTCTGCAACAAGGTTTTACTGCAAAGCAATTACTCTCGTCGTATGTAATGATGTCCCAATCAGAGAGTGTAGAAAGTCCCGGGAATTTGGTTGCAACATAGATAAGGTCTGCGATAAGGTGGCTAATGCACGATCCTTGTGCTGTTTCTTCCTCTCCATAGCGAATCGAATCCACAGCTCCCGTTGGTGACGAAACAGGCGCTGACAGGAGTGATTGGGCTGACATGCTGCGGGGTACAAACTGAAATGAAAGTCCTTCCCACCGTGATAGTTCCAAAAATCATGGGCTTTTCGATGTGTTAAACTGTGTGCGTGTTCCAACGAGACGCCAAAAGTACACCCCTATCGTTTGCGCAACTTAAAATATCTGATATTAAGAGCAAGCGGTGCCATCGAAATTTGTACCGACTAGAGATGAAGCACCGCTCCATTACACCATGATTTAGGAGGGACGGGCGCTCGCAACCTTGATGGCGGGCGCAATATACTCTCTATGAATTCTTTCCTGTCTCGCAAACCGTCTCTGCATGTTTACTTTTATCCTTGACGCATAGATAGCGTCCCAATGACATGTCGATACGGCGCAACCAAAAACCGAAATATGACGATCATTTTCCGGATGTAGTAGAAGTTGAGAAGGGTGGTTCAAAGAGAGTTCATCCCTTGAATGAAAGTCGACAGTAACGATGAGTAAACAGAGATTCGGGAAATAATGGCGGATGATGTTTTCTGCTTCGCATTCTGCACCCAAAATTGATTTTCGAGAAATCACCAAACTTTCTACACTCTCAAAAATGCCCAAGAGAGGCACCAAATGGCCACCACTCCCGAAAAAATTCGCGGCTGGTGGCCAATAGTCTTGAACAAAACCAAAGTCCAGATTTCTGAGAAATAATGAATCGATCGCAAAATTTATAGAAAGTAAAGTTTCCATCGAATACCCAAATGGCCGAAGCCACTCAAATGCCTCTTCCCTGGATTCAACACATGTCGAAAGAAGGGATTGCGGTATCTTCTTCCGAAATCCCCATGGCGGCAACGACGATTCGGAACCTGACAAGGTATTCATGGAAGGTAGAAATTCAAGCTCTACCATAGAAGACTCTAGGAGAGCAAAGGCCCAAACTTGAGCGCGGAGTTCAGGAGGTAGACTGCCAAAAAGCGCAAAAGAAGTTAACTTTGGCAAAGAAGTACCATGCGATATGCTGTGTGGACAGGTTTCGATAGACTGAAGATGTCGAGATGCAACGATGTGACGCATACTCCGCGTGATTGGGACGTACTTCGCGACAAAGGTCTCTGTTGCATTAATATAAAGACTCATTCTTGAGATGGTACGTAAAATCGAATGAACCGCAACGTCTCGAGCATCTGAAAATTATTAAAGCAGAGTATATAATTCGAATAACGATTCTGGTTGGCGATCGTAAACTGTATAAGATAGTGATGGGAACAGTCTCCACCATAGGGCCAACCAACACATGTTACGCCATCCATTGCAAGCTGGAAGTGCGCGCGTAACGAAAGAACAGATGCTGAGGCTTATTTCGACTTCGAATAGGACGATTCCTGACGGATTTGCCAATATGATGCAGTAGAGTGGGAAGGAACCATCATCACCTGTATTTTCGTTTGCTCGCGGTGATTGCTACCTGCAAACGGATTCATAAAGCCCAATTGGATACCAACACGAAGGACTGGAATCCGCAAAGCGCAATGCACCATATTCCTTTGAAAATACCATATTGCAGATGAGCTTAAGATAATATTATGATTTGATTAAATATAGGAAAGGAATGTCTGCAAGAGGTTGGAGAAGAAAGGAGTACAAAACGACAAGCACTCGGGATAAAGTATATCCATGATTACTAAGCCGATTAAAGTCTGTAATTTTCGACTATGAATCTACACGTACATTCTGAAGTTCTTTGCAATAAATAATAATAATAATCCAACGAAAATAGTTCTTTCCATACATTTACTTGTCCATGAAGCCGTTGCTAAATGTGCTAATCTTTCTACTCAAATAGTTCTACTTCGAAGTTCTTTGGGAGTTGACTGCAATGACCCAGAGAACGGAAAAGAAAAAGAGATTCTGCCCCATCCATCTCTGTCGAAAGGTCACACACATAGTCTTTCGAAAAACCTCTACAGATACAAACATTGATCTTGTTTGATTGCAGGCACACTCTTCCCCTGAATGCCATCCTCCATGTTCATCGGAGGTTTTTGGTGTTCCATTTCTTTATCCAGGAAACAAGTGAAATGGTAGAAGTCGATTGAGCTAGAAACTTACGGTTGGAAAGATAGCAATTTATTCTTTGGGGGATATATATCGAGTCAGATAAGTGTGTTCCTTGTATGTGATTTTGGACGATCAAGGAATCAGCGTCGTTGTCTAAATACATAGTGCATTGCACAACATCAAAGGAGGGATCAATCCATCTCGTCACGTTAGATTTACCCCACAAGCGATTCTTGTTCCAAATTGGCTTGAGGAGATGATCATCAGATATAAATATGTTGGTGGCTGATTTAGACAACATAATTTTTACATTCTACATCTTTTCAAATACTCAATCACAATCATGTACGGGTTTTTGGAGTGATGGTAATTCTACATCACAAGTCTTGAGGCAAGTCTGTGAAATCGATTTCCTACTATCATGGTCTTGGGTTTCAATGCGATGGCGATTTCAACACCAGTCTTTCTTCCACTCATCAAATGGTTCAAATTTCATAAAATGAAAGAGTGATCTATATATGGCCAAGGAAAAGCAAAAAGAACCAGAATACCCAAAGTTTAAGCGCCAATATCTTGGGCCTCGTATCCGTGTCTTCGAAGGGGGTAACGCGAACCTCGAGTTACTGCTAACCATTGAGCTACGATTAGAGTGTCGTTGACAAGCGAGTCGTGCGGGCCCATTGTTGAAAGGTTCCTGGAGAACAACCCAACCTCTTGCAAATACGCATCGTCGAGACGACGATTGCGATTGTGATTTCCATGACGTGGAATCTCCTCAAATTTCGAATGCATACAGTTGGTTTGAAAAGTTTATGCAATCAGCTCAGATCGAGCAAAGGAGATTCGCCTCACATAGAAGTCACAATGTTCAACTATCTCAAAACTTCAGTTGGTCAGATCAAGGTGCTTTCTTCATAATCTCGTCAAGAATAAGTATCAAAATTCAAGAAACGCTAATTGCTAAGAAATTAGATTCAAGGGTTATTTTTATACTCGTATACAAGATCATGATACAACGGTATTATTAGCCCAGTGGCAGATCAATTAACACAGAATGCAATAACCATCTCGATTCTTCGGCGACACCCCTGCCATCAGTCTTTCAAAAGTTATGCAGGTATACTTCGTAAAATAATACACTACACATTCCACATCTCAGACACCACATTCCTTATACAGACAGAAATTCCGATTCGCATGCGCATTATTACGAAAAGCCACCACCACAAGCTTTTTGCCTACTTTTTCCCAAGCGCACAAATAACCTCCAAGTATACTCACAACGATCCCCTAACCTCGTGATCATCAAACCTTCGCCAAGACCAATATAACCGGCACATATGAAAAACGAAGAAACATCATTGGTGGATCTGGCAACATCTATACATTTTCTTATTCAGGCACAGATACTTTATCAAAGCTTATATTGGAGGACCTCAATATCGTGTGGATGATCAAGATGATTGGCCCGGGGTGAGATTGTACGAGGGCGATGAGGAGCTTTGTTTCTTCATTTTGTTTTTACCTGAAGGGGATATATGTGTGTACATATATGTGCAAATATGCACTTTTCAATGGCTGGCGGAAGGTCAATTTGATTGAATGGGAAGGGGAAACTCGGCACCGAGTGGGAGGGGCAATGAAAGGAAATTGGAATATGCATAGGGCTATTCTTCCATATGTCCGTAGGAAGAGATGAACGTCGGAAATGCATATAAATACAGGAAGTCCACACAATCCAAAAAGCTTGGCTCAAACATCATCGGTCATTCTACAAAATTTCCCGGCTTCAACATCATTCATCATGAAAATATCCGTCAAACTTCTTCTTTCCTCGCTCGCGGCCCAGGTATGTGCAGTACCAACGCTGTATCTAGCCGGTGATTCGACTATGGCTCCTGGTGGTGGTGGGACAAAAACGCAGGGTTCGTACTTTTTTTTTCATCCAGCTATCACATGCGTTGAAGACTATCGCTAATCCTCAATAACTTGCGTGTAGGTTTCGGTGAATACCTCAAATACAGTTTCAAGGGTATCAATGTTGTAAATGATGCCGTTGCTGGCCGATCCGCTCGCTCGTACTATAATGAAGGGAGATTTACTTCGCTGGCGAATTCCGTCGTTGCGGGGGATTATGTTCTCTTGTAAGATCATGTGCTCAATATCGCAGCATGGATGAATATGTATGTACTGACACATGTCGCAGTGAGTTTGGCCATAATGACGGAGGATCTCTGAGTACGACTGATAACCTCCGCACCGATTGCTTTGGAGGTGGTACCGAGACGTGTATTTCTCCTGTTACGGGGGAAAAGGTGTATACATATGTTTTCTACCTCATACAAGCCGGGTGCGTGAACATCCATCCCTCCTTCCACCACCAACCACCAACCACCAACCAACCCCACTCCTACTAATGCTTCTTTCTTCCTTCTAGTAAACTCATAACCGCCAAAGGCGCACACCTAATCATCTCCTCGCCCACGCCCAACAACCTCTGGGAAACCGGCACCTTCTCGTACGCAGCGCCGCGCTTCACAGCGTACGGAAAGACCGTCGCTGCGGCACTGGGTTCGCTCGCTTCGTTTGTGGATCATGGTCAATATACTGCGAATATTTTTAAATCGCTGGGAGCAAAGACCGTCGATGCTTTTTATCCAATCGATCATACGCACACGAGTCCTGCGGGGGCAAATGTGGTGGCTGCGGCTTTTGTGAAGGGGTTGATGTGTGGGGGCGGTGCGTTGAGTGCTTATTCGAAGAATAGTACGAGTAGTATTGCTGGGAGTTGTGTTTAGGTTGTTGGGGTTGGGGTAATGGAGAGGGGGGGTGGCATTGGGAGGATGTGGGATGAGGGATGAGGGATGAGGGGTTTGTGATGAGTTTCTTGCACATATGTACACAATTAATGACTATATTCTACTAACGACTTCTACACAATCTATATCTATGCTCTACTATCAATAGGCAACAAGCCTTTCCCCAACCGTTGGATCTGTGATGAATAATACATGCTTTGAAACCCAGCGCCAACTTGCTTTACAGGTGCATGGCGAACCAAGAAAGGTACCGAAAGAGGAGCAAGAGCGATTGTTGCTTCCTCATCCGGTATATCTTTATTAAGAATAATTTCCTTTGGCAATTTTGGGATGACAGCGGCCGGTCTAGCGATCCCAATCAAATTACAACCGCCCGACTGCAACGCCTCTTCCATACCGATTCTCGTGCGGAAGCCTCCTGTCACCATGAGGATCACGGAGGGAAACTGTTCGCGCACGTTTTTGGCGAATTCGAGAAAGAAACTTTCTCGGGAAGATGTGGATGTGGATGTGGAGGCTTTAGCGTCTGGCGAGCTTTCCCCTAGCATCCGAGGATTCTCATAGGTGCCTCCGGAGATCTCGATGAAATCGATACCGGCTTCCACTATGCATCTGATTTGCTCCATGCTGTCCGCGAGCGAATCGTTGGAGGCGGCGTCTACGCTATTCATCTTGATCCCGATGCAGAATTCCTTGCTGGTTTGCTTTCTAACGGCGTTGATAATGCGTACGACGATTTCAGCTCTCTTTCTGGCGGTGCCGCCAAACTCGTCACTCCGGTGGTTGGATTCGGGAGAGAGGAATTGTGCTAGTAGATAGCCATGACTAAAGTGAAATCATGAAATCAATAATCGAAATCACGAGGCTTCAGGGGATAACTCACGCGCCATGTACCTGAATGCCTTTAAAGCCTGCCTCGAAAGATTGTTTTGCGGCCGTCACAAATTCATCGATGATGCCACCGGGCCCAGAAATCTCGTCCGTGGTTAATTCACGTGGTGTGCCGAACATGAGTGCAACAACGGCTCGCTCGATGAGACTGTTTCCGAAATTTAAAGGTACGGCGGAGGGAGCGACGGTTTTGTCAAAAAAGCCGCGTTTTCCGGCCATAGGAGGAGATTGTCGGCCAGGGTGACATATTTGCACTACGGTGGGTGTTCCGGAACGTTGACAGGTTGCTGCCCAGGATTTCCAGACAGCTTTAGTAGATTCTGTAGGCTGGGGGCTGCTGGCTACGTCTTTGTTGTTTCCTAGGTATTTGGATGATACTTGGACGTTTCCTGTTTGTTTGGTTAGGATATGAAGATGTAGTAGGTGGAATTGAAACATGAGGGTTGGATATGAAGATGTAATATGTGGAATTGAAATATGAGGATTGGATATGTATCGATGCTCTTTTTCAATGCTCCAAGGGGGTCCAAAGTTTCTATAACAAATCATTGAGATGTTTATACATACCTGTCAATATCATTCCCCAACCACCATCCGCCCAAGTACCGTATGCCTTCAAAAAGGACTCATCAGGCACGTGAGTAGTCGACATGTCTTCAGCCATTGCACCCTTAAAATTGTATTAGCATCATTGAGAAAAGATAAAGCAGAATTTTCATACCTTGCAAAGACGATTTGGTAAACTCATACCACATGGTAATGTGATATCTTTGGAGAGTAACATGATGGAAACAGTTCTTGTTGACCTGTAGACTGTAGTATTTCCCTCTTAAGTATCGGGATTCCTTTGATGTTTTATATCTCGTCGATCTTCATTAACTCCGAGGTAGTACCCATCGCATTTGCGCAAGGACTGGATCCATGATTAGAAACCACCGCAATGTCGGAACTTCAATCGGAACTTCAATTGTCCCGACTCAGAGTGGAGAATGAGATTGAAGTTTGCACAGGAGGTACGGAACAGAACGGTGTCATGTAATTACCGGTAACTGTGTATGTGTATGTGTGTGCCAGTGCCACTTGGCCTATCTAAGGAGAAACCCAAGATGTTGGCGACAGCAGAGATGTTGTAATTTTGGGGTATTCGGAATAAGTCATTAGCCTATTTTCGTGTTAACAGATAGCCTTTCGTTCGATGTTTATTATAGGCTATGTAGATTGCTTACTAATGTGCTGACTGTTAGCGCAGTTCCAATAATCCTCAACGAAAGGACAATTGTTCAATTGTTATATCTATAATCAGATATCGTCTACAACAAAGTATCGTATCATCTCTTTTAAACAGCAATGCCATTACATCCTTTATCCTAGGAAGCATCAACGACCCTGCATCAAGATATCAATTTTGAGCAGAGGATCCGAAACCCTGTATCCGGAATGCTTCAAGTTCAAGGTCATTTATTGTGCCTCACTGCTGCTTCCACCTCATGATGGCTGCCTGCGATACTTGCTGGATTGCTGAATCTCAAGCTACGTAACAGAAAGAAGGCTTTCATTGCTTTGCTTTCGAGTTTGATGAGAACACACATCGGTGACATCGCCGACCTGTAATGTTCATAGCTCCCCATTGCAAGGTGAGTCTGTTTGGCGCCCACCTGGCCTTAACAACTGAAAACACAGATTTGCGATTTCTTCTGCCGCTTGAGCCCTTTCAAGATGGGCTCTTATGACTTCAAGCTTATGAACTTGCTGAAATGCTGGTTACATGGGCTCGGACATCTCTTCTTGAATAGAGATCGGAAGAGTGTTTCCCAAGAAGATGGCAGACTATGATCGTGTCCATGGATGACGAGTATACACGATCTTTCATTTTTCTCGGTAGCGACAAAGTACCAGTGATCGAAAGAGTTGATCTCTGCCTGACTTCATCCAGAGAATCTCGTTGATATATTGCACAATCTGCTGATGCCTATTATGGCCAATACAATCTGACAGTTTTAGACTTCGCAGTCATCTGTCCGAGTAGTATCCTCTCCATGATTTACAAGCTTAAAAGCAATCCAAGATGTAGATTTCTGTGGACAAAATCGTGATTTTCTCGTCAGATACTTCGCGTCAGCACGACTACGCCGCAGATTTTCGGTATGGATCTCTTGCGACTCGGGTCTATATGTGGTCAGAGTTCCTGTTGTTGATTTTCTAAGCCATGTGTTATCGACGACTGCCATTCGCCGATTTATAGATATCCAAACCCATGCGTCAGAATAAGGATTCTGTGAAGGGATTCGGGTCGAAGCTTCCGACCATTTCTTACGGGTCATGATCCTACGGTGATATGAAGATGATCTACGTGAACTTTATTCAAAAGCATGTTATTCGAAATCTGATGCTGATAAAATTGATTAGCTGAATATAAGCGGTTTGGTCTAGGTTACATATCCATTGTCGGTTCCGTACTGAAATATCTTTAGTAGAGGAGAAGAGTACCAATCCTCTGATACACTAGGAGTCATGTCTGTAGCTGAGCTGAATATCAAACCGAGTCATACTGTGAGAGAAGGGTGCCTATTATACCGCCAACCTGGCTATTATATGTTGCGCCTCATAGTATTACTTTGTGCGACGTTCCAAGCCTGTCAGCATGCAGCTCGTGCTTCCTTTCCCGAGCATGCTGCAGGTCCATCGCGAGGCTTCAAAAATCCGACTACAGTCTATTCTCGGATCTTCTTACGCGAGATCTGCCACGCGATGTCCACGTTGTGATTCCGTGCCTGGTTACGAACGTAGTTCAAAAATAGCAGCCGCTTGTATTCCCAGTTTTGAGGTCGAATGAAAGGAATACACGACGCAAGCGAACCCCCGAGTCAACAAATTTTACCTCTTTCTGACAATATTGATTGTGTCAATATACGAATCCGATCGAAACTATCACCTCAGTAACGAAATCGAACATTGGTCTCGGGTCAACAACCATTAGTTATCTCTTTGCTGATGCCATCGCTGCCGTCGCTGCCGTGATCGTTGTTGTGAGACTTTCCCATTGTAGATAATAGTCTTATCTGAATCAAAGTGTGCTAATCTGAAGCCTGGGATCTCCACAAGTATCAGTTCCTAGCATCACCTGCCGGCAATAAAAAGGCTGGGAGAGCGGCTCAATGTTGAGAATCCGGTCGGGAAGTTGACTAGGCGTCATCACAATCAGAGCTATCAATCATTCACCCGTGTGAACAAGTTTTTGAAAGCCTCAGCACCCTCAGCAATTGAATCATCATTTCTTAGACTTGGAAAAAGAGGCACATGGCGGGCGTGCACAACCTTTGCTGGCCTCATCCCTGAACTATTGAAGCCATCGAGGGCTATCAAAGGGACAAAACTAGCGAACATATATTGCTCAGCTTCTCAATACTGAACATGCCGTCTTGATGATTGTGCTCTGATTGTATCACAAGGCGATGCCCAATCACGACAAGCACGTCATTTTGGTCTTGTATCGTTCAATTTGGTACAAACAGGGCGGACTTTTTTTGGAAGAGGTACGATTATCTGTATCTGTGTACACAACCTTCCCTTCGAACTGTTTCTTCACGGTACTCCTCATTTCCATTTGCATACTCCGTATCTCCATTCATTTATCTACCTCTTATCTTTGAGAGCCTTGCTGCTCGAATGCATCATTGCGCAACAAATAATGCCAAACCTTTAAAACATGGCGTGGGGGTTTGAGTGAGTGTGTATGAAAATGTTACCAAGGGCGGATGAACCTCCACATTTGGATGTACCTGAGATCTTATTATGATACCATAAATCTGGGAACATTCACATGTTCAATCATCGATCGGGAGTTCGTTTTATATTCAATTTCTTATCACCGATGACGGCTTCACCCCCGGACATTACGCTAGAAGCTGCCTGTGTAACTCTGCACCGTTATCGTACCATGCAGAACCCATGTATCCTTCGTGTCTTTTAGGCAACTGCAAGAGATCTATTTTAGTGGCTATACTCAAGACGGGCGAGAGACTGTCGAGATGGGCTTTACAAGCCCAGCCATGGCTGACGTGCCCTTCGGATTCAACCCGAGTAAAACGGTCATAGGAGACGTAAGACCACTTCAGAGATTTTCGACGCTATCAGCACTCAAAACATACGACCTCTCACATCAGATACATCTAGGAGAACATTATTTCAAAGCTTATTTCGGGATCTATACCCAATTTAGTTTGACAGCTGCAAGAATCTGAGGGCAACCTTCAGCAAGGGTATTTACTGGTTGAACGAATAGGAATTGAACGAACACCACCACTTAAAATCTTATCATATGGGACCTACTACATTAAGGGATCGCCAAGCAAAACTTTGCAGCGGGATGACGCAAATGCTTAAGCTTTATGTGGACTAAATTAACTGAAGAATTTGAATGGCCGCGGCAGGTATTCTGGCTGCTTCGAAAACTGTTTGACGTGCTTGAACCCATGAACCCTTCACCTACAGCAACTTCTAGAAGTGTTTGAAAGCGGATTTCTAATCTCAATTTTTTTCAATTTGATTGTGTGACCAAAATTCCGATTGACCGAGTCTGAAATCCTGCAGCGGAGAGGCGTTACCTCTCCCCCTCCCCCTTGATAATTTTGCGACTGGGGTAAGCTGCCCGTGGTTGGCAAATCTAGATGATATTCTAGTATGGACAGAAAGATTGTATGATATTCGGATCGAAACCGTTCCGACCATTACTTTCTTATAGATTTCTTTGTGTGATCCAACTCAGGTCAAGGTTATTGAGTTCAAGTATTACTCGATTGTTGATTCAGGGAGGAGCCAGGGCTTGTCAGCGAGAGATTGAGCTTATGATGAAGGGATTCCTATAGGTGGGCTATGCCGGGCTAGTGTGCGTGACCAGGATAATCGTATCAGTGGCACCAGTGGCTGCAGAATATCCATGTGCACGCACCAGGTTCTCTCCCCTGCCCTGACGTTATACCCGATCCTCCACATAATTATCCTTGTGGGGCGCAAGACTCTTTTGAGAATATCACATTAGCAACGCATTTTGAATTTTATATCTTCAATCTTTTAGGAAACTCAATGTATCTATTCCTTGTGACAATTCGCACAAGCTAAAAACACCGAAGTTTTGTCGGGTTTATCGTTGTCTTTTGGCTTCGAATCCAATACTACTTTCCAAAATCGAACTCGGGGTCCCGTAACTAATCTATCCTCAAGCTGGAGCTGGAGCTTGCCCTCAGCTCATGAGTATCGTGAACAGAATATCTGAGAAGACCATGGAGGATTAGCAACCGGACTTCAGGAGTCCTCTGAATTGGATGAAGTCTCATTATCAGTCCGACAAGGTTGGAACTCATTATGTAGACGACGACGATAAATACCATGGCTGCTTCCCGTTCTTTTTCAACATATCATCCATCAGCTTCTCATCCCTTCTGACCTGGAGTCAAACAGACCATATTCAGAACTTTCTAAACAATCTTACTTGCACTGCAATAATCCTACTTTCTGTTTAAGCAAGACCCCTAATTCAACAAGTTTTTGTCCTCTTGAACAATATTTTGAAATCGATCGACTTCAATCATGTTTTCCATCCGCTCCTTGAGTCTTTTGGCTTTGGTTTCTTCCTCGGTATTGGCATTGTGAGTATCCAGACACTACCAGAGTGGTAAACCCTCTTATTAACTTCCCCCAGAAATCCCAAGCAGGCTCGTTACTGGTCTCGAAACGATGCTCACCCCAAGGTTGCACGAGACACGCCGAGCGAAGTCGACTACATCGTTGTTGGCAGTGGTCCAGGTGGAGGACCTCTCGCATCTCGTCTGGCTCTTGCCGGGTACGAAGTTTTATTGATCGATGCCGGAGATGATCAAGGAGCCGATCTTCTTGCTGAAATGCCTATCTTCCAATTCGCGTCGACTGAAATAGAAGCACAACGATGGAACTTCTTCGTACACCACTACTCAGATCTCGAACGTCAAAAGAAAGATACGAAAATGACCTATCAAACCACTGATGGTGACTTTTACGTTGGATTGGATCCGCCAGCTGATGCCGAGCCGTTGGGCATTTGGTATCCTCGAGCTGGAACCCTTGGTGGCTGCTCAAATCACAATGCCATGATCACAATCTACCCACACGAAAGTGATTGGCAATATATTGCAGACATTACTGGCGACAACTCTTGGGCCCCTGACAACATGCGAACATATTTCGAAACGATGGAGCATTGCGATTATCTTCCAGAAGACACTCCCGGGCATGGCTTTGATGGTTGGTTCCACACTAGTGCGACCAATCAGACCATGATTATACAGGATCAAAAGATCAACTCGATCGTCATCTCTGCTGCCGATGCTTTCGCAGGCAATGCCTCTGACTCGATTCTTGCCACTGCTGAGGGCTTCAATCAAGTCGTCACTCTTGACGTTAACAATCATTTATCTACCCGTGACAACACCACCGGATTGTATCAAATTCCAATTTCCGTTGATGGGAGAACAAGAAATGGCGCTAGAAACTTCATTGTCGAGACAGTGAATGCAGCCAATACCGATGGATCAAAAAAGTACGGTTTGACCCTCAAACTCAACACATTGGTTACCAAGATCCGATTTTCGAACGATACTACACCTCGAGCTCTTGGTGTCGACTTTCTGGAAGGCAAGAGCTTGTACAGAGCCGATCCACGATCCGGTAGTGCCGGTGCAGGAATTTCCGGCAGTGTTAATGCGAGAAAAGAGGTCATCATTTCAGGTGGAACATACAACAGTCCTCAAATCCTCAAGCTCAGTGGAGTCGGACCCAAAGTCGAACTCGAATCTTTCGGTATTCCAGTTGTGGTTGATCTTCCAGGTGTCGGCACCAACATGCAAGATCGCTATGAAACAACCGTCGTCTCCGAATCTGAAGTCGATTTCTCAATCGCGAAAGGCTGTACTTTCCTCACAACCGATGATGATCCATGTCTAACACAATGGGAAAACAACACCGCAGACGCGGGACTCTATGGTACCCCAGGTCTTCCACTCGCCATGATCATGCGATCCAGCACCGCAGACCAAGATCCCGATATCCTCATTTCCGGCGCCCCAGCCAATTTCCACGGCTACTATCCCGGCTATTCCGGTCCAGCTCTCGGTGATGCTCTCCACTGGACTTGGATCACACTCAAAGCCCACACTCGCAACACCGCCGGTACAGTCACACTTCGATCGTCAGACCCTCTCGATACACCGTTGATCCAAATGCACTCTTTCGACGAAGGAACTTCCACCGACGATGCGTGGGAAAAAGATCTCCAAGCAATGTACGAGGGCATGTCACTCTCCCGCAAAGTAATGGGCAATGTCATTCCCCTCGATGGCTCCTTCAACGAATCATGGCCCGGCGCAGCAGTTTCCACCGAAGCGGAACTCAAGGAGTTCATCCAAGATGAAGCATGGGGTCATCATATCTCCTGCACTAATCCCATCGGGGCAGACGATGATGAGATGGCGGTGTTGGATAGTAGCTTTAGGGTAAGAGGGACAAGTGGATTGAGAGTAGTGGATGCGAGTGTCTTCCCAAAGATTCCCGGGTTTTACATCGCGGTGCCGATTTATATGGTTAGTGAGAAGGCGGCGGCGGTGATCATTGAGCAGGATAAGGCGGGGACGAGTTATAGATCATGAGGTGGTTACTTGATGGTGGTTGTTTATAGGACTGGTCTCTTTCGTTCTCTCTTTCGAAATACAGGCCTACCTTGGAGTGGTGGGTGGTGTAGGGTGCAGGGTGGTTGATTGTTATTGTGTTTTGTTTGTTATGCCCCTTTTCCTATTGTTTAGATGGGTGATGGTAGATAGCTATTCTTCTATGGGGTATTAGACTTGGGGTGTTGAATCAGATTAGACTTGGAGTGGCATTGTGTTTCCGTACGGAGAATTGCTAGATACTGTAGTAGATGGTTAATTGAATTTCATTCGTTGCGTTCTATTTGATCTACAGTGGTTCATTCAAAATATGGTGGATTGATTAATTTTTGAAATTCGCTGTTATCAGGGGTTGTATTCAGGGGGTTCTCGTTTGGGACCCGCTAGTTGTCGCGCTAGTATTTAATTGGTCAAGATCTTTGTTCATGCTTGTTTATGGAGTTTTTTGTTGCTCCTTTTCCTTTTCTATTTTTTAGGGTTTGATATGCTCATTTGCGTTCTTTGCTTGAAAAGTTTATATGGAATTGCACTGTACAGTCGCAATCTATCAATTTCATGAAAATGGCTCGAAAAGTTACTGTATAAACATTCTACTCGTACATTACTCGTACTGTTCACAATACTGTACCCAACACCGCTCTCAAATATCCCTCTTGATTTACCGCCGGCCCACGACAACTACCGGTACAGTACCGGTAGTCTGAGCATCTTGCCAATCCTGTGCCGTAAGTCTGTAAAAGTTGCTATTGAAAACGATGTGCTGTACCTATTGTATTTCTCAAGGCTATGCTGTATGAGTCTGTATCTTCAATCTTGTTAGATGATGATGGAGCTAGCTAGCTACTTTTGTTATCAAGGATCTCAAATGAGATGATTTCTGACAACGTAGATCTTGTGCGGGAAGCGTTAATGATCTACGTTTCGAGAGATAAAAGTTGTAAATTGGCAATTGTAGCCCTGTAGTTGTTGGAAGGAAATTGTTTGTTACAGTAACCGCTGTACCGGTAGTCATGTTATCTGTTACTTTATTCTAAACGGTCTTATAAGATTACATACGTTGTGTTGTGTGCCAATTTTGTTAAACTTTGCAGTTTTGGAAACATTAGAAATTAAAATGCAGGGAAATACTTTGGAATTGGTAGACTGCCTGCCTGCCTGCTTCATCTATGTATGTATTCACCGTCATAATCATTATAAATGTCGTCGCTGCATGGGTTCAAAAGATTGGGACGATCGCGTTCCTCTTTGCGGGATTCTCCTTTGATACATTTGTTCATCTCGACCTTGACTCATTAGCATTTTGTGATCTTCACCAAGCTGTCTCTTCCGGTATTTGTTCTCTTGGGGTCTTCTGTGGGGGCCATTTTCATTTTCAATAATCGGTACTCCTGCTTGGAGTGGATCTTTAAGTACTGTACAAGTACACTAAAATCGCGTTGAACTTGCATATGCTGGAACCACGTGTAGATCTCCTTAATGAGATGAACGTCTGGACGATCGGTGACCACGAAGGTGGGAAATTCAGCTGAACAAGAACAAGTGGGAGTAACTATTATCAAAGATCCACCCACTATGCTATTGTTCGAAATCTCCTGGCGGTCAATAGTTCATACCGTACCCTCTGCCCCTTTCAAGCATCTATGAGATCGCCGTCATGTCGTGACGATAGATGTGAAGAGTACGGTGTTAAGTCTTGTATATATACTTCATCATTTACTTCTTCATCTCATTTTTATTATCACTCATACATTCCACTATCACACTATCATTAACACCTCGTTCACTCTTTACGAAGCTTATATAATACCTATTTAATAATTTCCCAATCCTTCAACCTTCCACCAACCTCAAGATGCAATACCGATCAGGACTCATCGCTGTTCTCGGCTTCAGCGCAACCGCATTCGCTGCTCCCTCAGGTTCTCTCGTAGATGCCAACGTCGTCGCAAACGTTATTTCCCCATATGAACCTGTTACAGTCAATAACAACGTACACGACAGAGATGCTCAAAACATCGCCTCGCCATTCTCCACCTCCACCGGCGCCATCTCTGCTGCTAAGAGACAAGTCGGAGGTCTCCTAGGAGGTGCTGTCCCAGGAGGTGTTCTTGGCAGCAAAGGCGGTGTTGTAGGTGGTCTTTTACCTTTGGGTGGACTCGCCTCCTCTTCGGATGCAGATTTATCTCACCCCATCGCAGACATCGCCGCAGACGTTGTCGTCAAACGCAGCAATGCCAGAAGACAAGTTGGAGCTGTCACAGGTCTCACCGGTGTTACTGCCACCGGCGGTGCCATCACCAATTCTGGTAATGTCGTAAGACAAGTTGGAGCCGTCTCAGGTGTCTCAGGTGTTACCGCCCCTGTCACTGCACCCGTCACTGCACCCATCACAGACATTGTCAAACGCAACGTCATCGCCATCACCGATGTCGTCTCCTCCGTTCACACCTTGAGAACCACCGTCGTCTCAAACGTTGTCTCCATCCACGCTCTCGTAGGCTCTGTTGGCACCACCGCTGTTGGTCAACAAGGTCTTGCTGAGGAAATCATCAAGGATTTGGGAGAAATTGTTGGTGCGCTTACCTTTGCCGTTGATGGTGTCTTGGCCCTGACCTTACCTACCGTTGTCAATATTGTCGTCACCGAGGTTGCCGATGTCCTTGCTATCTTGAGTAATGTGGAGGCTATTGTTTTCCAGATCGTTCAAGTGCTTTCCGATCTCGTTGGTGGTCTTTTGGACTGTATGTATTCCCTTACCCCTCATCATTCTCCTTTCACCCCTCTGAATAATTACTAACTCTCGATTCTAGCTACCTTCGAACTCGTTACCGCCGAATTGACAGAAGTCTACAAGCTCCTCAACCCAGTCCTCAGCCCAGTCCTCACCTATGTCGGTCTCGTCCAATGCAATGGTGATGTTGGTCTCCTCCAAGAGGTTGCTGCTGCCGTTAGTGGTATCTTGGGTTCCACCAATGGTCTTTTGGGAAAGAACGGTTTGGCCGTCATTGAGTTGTAGAGTGTTTTTGTGAAAGAATGCAATAGAAGATGGGGAAAACAGGGAGAAGAAGTCGGAGACGAAGTGAATCGCACCGGAGTGACGACCGGACTGAAATGGATTGGAGAAATTTACATGTAATTAATTTATGAGATAATACTCGAGTAGTAATAATTACTTCTAACTGATGGCTGTTTTTCTTTTGCTTGTGATACCTTGCGAGACTGGTCAAATAGTCTTTTGCGTATGATGATATTAAAAATAGAAGACATCCCGACGTATGTACTTCATTTGGTATTACTTGACTGAGTATATCATTGCGCCTCATCAATATGCTTAAGTGCTATATAATTAATGAAATAGAATGACGACGATTAACAATTACTCTGAAGAAATAAAACTTGGCAGACGAAAAGAATGCGCTACGAAATAAACGATGTATTGATAAACTTATCGATCCCAATCTACTCAAAGAACATATTCCTATCTTCCGCTGATGGTACCTTCTATCACTTATCATTCCTCAAGCTCCCCAATGCCTATCTATGTCTTGCTAGTAGCCAAAGATGGTTCATCAATTATGAAACTTGATATATGATATTCGTGACCGAAATTGTCCTCCATGAACGCAGCGGACTTGGAGCTCATCCACAGGATAGTATTGACCCTATTATTATGTAGCTTTATAGTCAGAAGCCTGCTGGCCTTGATTCCATACTGTATATGACTATACAAACTGCTTATCTGATCTATGTTCAATCATATGCGGATGACAGGCACCGTGTATTGTGATAATAGATGAACAGACGTCGCGCGCGCAAAAAAGGCTTGATTCCTATATATAGATGAGAGATTTATACTGTGCAGTTTGTGCAATTCATGCAAAAGATACCCCAAATCAACCATTCATCAATTTGAACCTAAACATACAATCAAGTACACCAACTCACATAGGAACTCTCTAGTTCTGTGGTGGTAAGATTCCACAATAGCAGTCAGTTGTTTATATTTCACCATCCACCCACCCATGATCTATATATCACCCACCACCCAACTACTAACTACTAACTATATACTCTCAGACAACTCTACTATATAAACCCCTTAAAGCCAGAGTCTTCATCCAGACCGCAAAGGCGACAAACAGTCTTGTTTGTTCAGGTCAAATGCGGTCTGGTGGTGGAGTGGTAAAACGCCTGGTTCGAATCGAAAAAAATCCCCATCGGGGGGTTTCTCCTACCGCCCCTCGAGGGGCGGTAAGGTTTTGCTGGTTAATGGACTGATTTGCTTTTATATATTTTTGAATTTTTGATAGGTTATATATTATATATATATATGTATAAGAAGAAGATGGGTGGTAGAGAGAGTTTGTTTGGTTTTCTTAGGAGGATGGCGGGAGTGGATAGGGAAAAAAGAGGTCGCGTCGGCAAAGCGGTGAGATGAAATCTATATTGTGTTATTGTTTTTGACAAGAAGACATTATCGGAAGTGCGACAGCTCAATTTGAAAATCATCATCTGGACTTAAGGCTTCTTTCTTGCTTTTTGTTCATTTTAAAATCCATGAACATGTGGTCTAGTTGTTTATATATCCAGAGCCACATATTTTACACTACGCGATCTATAAGTTCTTTTGTGTTACTACACTACAACTGGTCCCTTACTTATAGTCATGGACGCAAGGCATATATATAACCGCCTATCGCGTGTGTTGTTAACGAGATAACCAAATGACAACATGGTTATCGCATGCCCTTTTCAGAATCATTTCGAAGGAAACGGCAATCAAGATCACTTGTGGGAAAAGTGGCGAGATGAGTCGACACCCAGCAGTGTTCTATTCTATGAGTTCTTCATCAGTCAATAATTAACATGTCACTAGGAATATATAATCCACCTTCACGTGCTCTACCTCAATGGTCTGACTTCCAAGTGAAGAATGAACGGTATTCTGGTCCAGGTACTGACTACTTGTAGACCGTGTTACTGGGACTCGATACTTCTTACAATATTTAGAACCATCCATCTTCTACACATACGACATTATCCCGTGAGAGCGGGAAGAAACATCAGTTTTAAGGGAATACATTTCTAGCTCATGTCATCACGAAAAGAAACTAGATACCCTAAGCACGCGTGATGAACTTTCAAACATGCAAAATGAAGGGTTCAAACTTGTAAAGAAAGATATGCTTGAATGTAAAGAACCTAAGCTCAAAGTTTTGGTTCCAAAAGATGATATACATGCCGAACTAAACGATCATCGGAGAGTCCGAAAGCTAATATAAAGGATATTCCCATAAGTTTAGTACAGATTCTATAAGCTCGGTTTCATCGCAAACTACGAGTGAGTATATGGCACTGGCTCAAGAGCTATAAGAAACGCCGCCTATTCTCTCCCGTTGTATCTATATACATACATACATACAAACAAGATCAACGGACTTCCGAGGCCTAAACCACTGTCTATATGAAAACAAATACAGTATTGATTATATTGATTATCTGACTACCGAAGCCATATCATTTACTCCTGGTATAAAGGGATAGACTCATAACTTCCACGTCTGACCAGATCTTCATGCATATGCATGAGCAAAAGTGCGGGCACCTCCAGGTGGTGGCCACGTTTCAATGCCACCACGCAGCCACTGCTGCTGCATCTGCTGTGGTCGATCCTGCCTGTCCCAAGGAGAATGTAAGGTTAATGGCGGCTATATCGAAAATCTGCAAACTTTTCGACACTTGAAGTCGCTATGCTATCCCCACAATAATGTGTATATTATATTGGGGATACTGGTATTGTATTATAAAATTACTTGGGGCAGGCCGTGGTAGGTTGTTGTAACCTTTGATATGGAAGCCCAGGCTCAAATGTAACCGTTGCTTGGGTACAATAGGCCAGAGAGGAAAGCTTAAAGATTTCCATTTTAAGGGATGAGAGAAAGATAATATCTCTGCCGATTTTTCCGAACGAAAAAGAAACAATTCAAAGTTTTTGAACAATTGATTTTGAGGCTCAGTGAGTTCAGACTTTTGAAAGCGCCCTGATAGGGCCGATGGCATGTTTACCCCTGATTACTCTAAAGCCTTGATGGATGGTACCTTTTTGTACCTTGTAGTATGACACTATGAGTATAGCAAGGGACCGATAGGAAAAGAAGAATATTAGATCATTCAATATGTACAATACAGAATTTTATCACAATTCGCTTCCTTCGAGTAGATACAGTATCCGATATTCGATAGCCGATTGATTAATGGAAAACTACACCAAGAGAGATTCGTCCATTATTTAGCTGATCCAGTCTGATGGAATTCAATCTGCATCAGCTGGCTGTCACTTGACGCAGGGGATAAATGTAGGTTCTCCTACTCTGAAATCCAGCCAGACAATTCTGGTTATTTTCTATGCAGTGTACACAAGGCTGTCAGCTTATAAACAGGTACCGGAGACCTGTACGAGGATGCAGGCAGGGGTAGGGCAGAAGGTTGTCACCTTCTACAAGTGAGTACCGTGGATTGTTGGTACAGTATGTGATAATGAATAATGCCGAACTCGATTCACAAGAGAGTTGTGGCAAGTAGAAGGAAGCAAATATTCGAAGCGCCCGCCCATCAATCCCTCAAACAGATATTTCTCACTGATCTGTTTTCACAGTGGAGATATTAGGTACTGTATGAGCTATATTACCTACGTTTTGCTGGCTTTGTTGGCGTGGTGGTCTCGTTCGCTTTACAGTACGTACATGTTATGTTACAAGGGAAGTAAATTTCACTATAATCAATAACCAATAGGGAGGTCAGCATGGAAAGCTCACGCTGTGCCGTTTCAGTGTATATGTGTGGGCATATGCACTTCGAAATTTTAATCGTAAGTCCAGTTCTTTCGTGTATGACATTACCTTACCACCTTACCTTACCTTATCACTCATTATTCATCTACTATAATCATTATCTATATTTTATAACAACCTCATGAGTTGCAATATATACATACATACATACATGCATAGAATTCGACATCGAGACAGTCTACCTACCTACTACTACCTATGTAACAATGTCTGTGAGAGTGAGACGAACAAGATCGGTATCTAAGTGGAAAGAAGTCTTAGGCTTCGACGAGGGGTTCTACCCCACATCCGAAACTCCTCCTCCATATCATCGTTATGAATCCCCAGAATCCCTCTATGAATCCATAGGATCCATCAGTCCTACTGTATCCTACTATCATGAGACACTCGAAGAACTCACTCCCAAATTCAAATTTCATTATTCCGACGCACCGGAAGTCGTTAATCACACACCATATTACGATGATTCGCCCGAGGCCATAGATACGCCTCTCGATTATACCTATTCAGATGCGCCGGAAGCAGTTATAGAACCATCAGATGCTCCAGAAGTAGTGATAAATTCATCAGATGCTCCGGAAGCAGTCATACATTCTCCGATATCTTCAATAACGTCGAGGTTTAATACTTCTACTTATTCGACTCATGCACCAAGCAATATACCATCGCATACCCCAATCAACACCTCCAATACCGGAATTAGGTTTCCACGAGATTTAACCTTTACGAGGAATTCGATATATGACATTCTCCTTTCACCATCATCACCACCAGCAGCATCCAATGATACAAAACCCCTCCCGTCCCCACCACCACTATTTTATATAACCATCCACCAATCCACGCCTCAAAGTACTCCCGCTGTGCCATTCCTAAGTAACTCCAATAAACCCGACATAGCACTCCATTCCACCGCCTCCCCCACTTCACCCCTCCTCGCCTTCGCCAGCTTCAACACCGTCACCCTGATTACAGATATAACCACACTCCCGCGACTCACCCGGCCCCTCTCCCCCCTCACACCCCCAACCTCCTCCTCGTTCCCCTCCAAATCCATCGTCCCTCCCCCCACAACCTACAATCTGCCTACATCCCCCGGAGACTCACTTACCTTTGGCGTTCGATCCCAAGGCTACAAGACGGAAAAACTAGTGCCCACGGGCGGAATATTCACCGCGGAACGCTTCGCCTTCTACCACACGCTCCCGCGCACCTTTGTCAAAGAGAAATTCGAATGGCGACAAGTATCTTCGTCTTCGTCCTCGGCTCCCCTCGTCGGTCTCGCTTCTGTGCCCGTGGAAATGACAAGTAAGAGAGGGGGAGTCAAGATGAAATTATTGAGATGTTCGACGGGCGAAACAATAGCGGTGTATGTAGGAGTCGGCAATGAAGATTGGGCTGATAAGGAGAGGAAAAGACGGCCGAGGAAGGAGAGGGGTAAGGTGCTGGGTTTGATGAGGTGGTTGGATTTGGAGAGTGGGAGTGCGGGGTTGGGGGATGAGTTTGAGTTGATGGGGGTTATGAGTGTGCTTGGGGTGATGGAGAGGTGGAGGAGGGTTATGAATGTGCAGAAGCAGTTGGGCATGTTTACTTCGTGAAGTGGAGGTGATTGAGCGGGGCGTGATTTGAGGGAGGGGAAGGGGAAAGGGTGGAAATGTGATACGATACGATACGATACGATAAATGAGATTGATATAGATGAAGAGGAACCTGGATAGTGGATAGTGGCTGGAGAAATAAAAAATTGTATATGAAATTGAAGAAAAACAGTAAAGGTATTCAGTGGTGGATTTGGCATGTATTTAGCAAATTATTTTACATTATAATGTATCTTTCGTACAGTATTCAACAGAGATATATCATATCACCAACAAGTCGAAAGTGGTGCGAACAAGGAGTATTTGAGATTGCATTGCTGCTATCGATTCTACACTCTAGCAATCGTATAGAAAGCCAGAGAATTAAAATCATAGCAGCAGGAACGACAACAATAGTACAGTCTCCACCATTCACACACCCCCCTTCCCTTCCCCAAACCTCTTTACATGTACGAGTACATAATTCTTTGAAAACCCGTCGTCCCCTCTACCCAACACCCAACCAATATCCTCAACCCTCACTCATCCCCTCATCCCCTTCATCCCTCTCAACCTCCCACCAACTCTCCCAGCACCATACGGCTTAAGCTTATACCTCGCATACCGTACCTTTTACAAGCCAAAGCAACATCATCCAAACCCAACACCCAACAACCAACACCCAACATCACCAAAATCCCTTTAATCCAGTATCTCATCCGAAACCCAATTCGCATCTTGATCCAATTTCCTCTAATCCCATCTTCAATTTATACAGTACACGATGCCGTAGCTAGTCAAGAAGAGGCTAATCCGTATTGAGAAATGAAGTCTGTTTCTCTTCATGTCGAGCAAAATTTTCAGGGAGAGTTTCTTTCAAAGGTGAAAATGCAAGGATTTTGAAACTGTATATTTTGATATTTCTGATAGTACAATCATGTATGTGTATATGTGTCTTCAATTCATACTTGCTTGTCATACATCTCTCCTGGAAATCCACACCCATATCTGTCTATTATATAGGGTAAATCTATCATACAATGATCTGGATCCGCACGAACTCATCTTGGCCTAGTAATATGAAGCTATCTTATTTACAGCAGGTTCACTAATCGTTGAAGAGCTCCCACCAGGTGCTACCGAAGTACATCCTTCAATGTAAGCTATAGCATCTTCATCGCTTGGCCATGTCCAACCTTCGACACTTTCCACCAGTTCTCGTGCTTGATCTTCATGGGATGTTCCATTGCAAAAGACCTTGATTGCGATAAGGGTTCTTCTCAAAAGCTCATGGCCATTGCGGCTCCACCGAGCCTCAGTAAGCAGACTCTTGTGATGAAGTATCATCCACTCCACTACGGCTTGAATACCATTGAAATCCTTTGATAGTCCTAGAACACGAATGTAGGCATGTAGAATAGCGCCGTTTAGATTGTAGGAGAGCGCCGAAAGTCCAAGACATTTTGTAGTTGCTGAAGATAGTTTTGCGAATTCTCCCTTCACAAGATGTATTGCGTCCACGAACAGTGGTTCTTCATCCGTTCGTGACGTTGCGAGCATTGCCTTTTCTAAACATCGGCAAATCAATTGAAAGCCTTTGGGGTCAAGCTCAAGCCCCGCATCGTGAAAATCTTGCAGTGTAGCGACAGAAATTCTCCAGGAATTGACATCATCTTGAGGGTCACCAATTATATTAGGATCAATGATGATACCAGGTCGAGCAAGTGCATCAAAGACCGCATACCACGTGGGTCTATACTTCGTCTGGCTGGTTCTTATAAGCTCCAGTGTATGAGACAAGGGATTGATACCAGACTTCTTGGATCTAGGTAATGTTTGTGGCATTACCCCATCCGCATTGATATCGTTGATGATATTTAAACTGCTTTCATGAAGCCCTTTAAAATCTTGGAACATGGAAAAGTCTGAATTTGAAGGAGCTCGTGGTGCAAGTTTATCCGCACACCTGCAAAGTAAGGCAACGAAGGCATGGATGATGCGAGTCTCTGCCGATGTAAATTTCGCTGGCGGGTCGGGAACTTGGCCAATCAGATAGTCCAAGAAGGTATCGCGTTGTGCACTATCACGAAGATATTTTATACCATCAGGTATTCCCCTGGCATGGCTAACCATGAAACGTAGGCAGTCACTATCTGGATGTATACCAGATGATATCATGGTCTCATACAGCGAATCAATAGTTGATGGTGGTCGAAGCTCCTCCTTGTAGAAGGCGCTGAAATTGTCGCTGAATGGTGGAAGAACTTCTTTACCCTCGCCAGGCAAAACATCTACCATTCGAGACTGGCCAATCCTCTTATTTTCAGCCTCGATTTTCTCCATTACAGCAAGATAAACCGAAGGTGTGGGTGTACCCCCTTGATGACGAAAGTTTTTAAAAGCGCTCCAAGCCTCCTGGACATCACGAGTTGCTTTGATCCTTGCACTCCAAACATGAGGATTTAGAGGGCTCAATTTCACCAAAGAACGCTGTCTTCGAATATGAGCTTTGGACATCGACCTGGTATGGATCGTCGGTGTTCCATCATCTTCTTGTCCTCCAAGGATACCATAAACATGGGTGTTGCTGCTTGAACTGTATCCAGCTTGCTTCATTTGCCTTATGGCAAATACAATCCTACTCATATCCTCATCTGAAGATCTCTGGGCATCCATACCATCTTGGTCGACTCTCCAGGGAGGCCAATCTCTTGCCTGGAGCATAGCTAATCTTGATTCTTCCTTGGTTTTTTGTGAGGCAAGTAGTACAGCCTGTACAGATTGATAACCAAGTCGATCGATAATCAAGGGTGGTGAAGTACGATTGGCTAAACGCAAGAGAACTCTCTGAGCATGCCAATTATGACCCATGGATCTAAGAGGTTCTAAACGTGATGGCAGAGAGAGAACATGAAGTAGTCTATTGAGCAAATTAGAGCCTCGGCTATGTGCACGCGACACTAGAGAGTCTGTTACAGACCCATGATTCAGATGATGGAAGAAATATGGAGGGATCATGTGGGATATGGGGAATACTGCAGAGGGGAGTAAACGCCGGGCTTGATAGAGGAGGCGAGAGATGAGAACTTTAAATGTGGTTCCTTCCATGCCAGGTGAAGAAAATGGCAGTAAATTATCTGAATCATCCGCCTCCTCTTCAAAGAGAGACTCGGAAACTCCTGACCAAGAGCCCCCGACGCATTCTTGAGAGTTTACTGAGAAAAATTGAGCCCAAGTATAGACCAGAAGTGATCTGAAAGTTTCCACGTGCTCAATATCATGGCGGAGGATTTCCAACAATATGAACGTTGGCTTTCGTGAAGGTGAAGAAAAAAATCGCTTTGCCTTTTCATCTAAATGCTGTCCTTGTAGGATCCAGGCCCAAATTACGAGGTCATCCTTACTGAAGCCTCGTTTTTCTAAGCTAAGGGTCATATTCATGGTCAAAGGGCAGCGCTAAATTACCTCAAAGTCAGCAGTGTCGACCTAGAAAATTTGATAGACATACTCTAATATGTTGCAACAGAATCGTTGGTAATGCTGATTCTGAGACTTTAGAGCCCTTGGATCTTAACTCTTGCCAATATGCTTCCCGTGCATTGTCATCTTGCAAATCTAACCATTTCCCAAGAACCTCAAGACTCGAAGGCCGTAATGCTTTTTTAAGTCGGTTGCTCTTCGACCTTTTCCTTGTTGGGCACACATTGGCTGGTGAATATTTCAACACATCATTCCCCGATGTAGGAAGTGCTTTAGTGATAAATCCAATGGAGTCTTCGCCGTCCGGATATGCAGTTTGATCAGGCAACTTATGCGAAGTTATATCCTCACCATGCTCATCCAACTTAGAGGTATTCGAATAATGTCGAATTGGTGCAGGTGAGGGTAGATGATAGGGACTTCCTTGGATGTACCTTATTCTGGCGGGAAACTATATGCAACAAAAGATATTAGGATCTATTGGATTTTCCAAGAAATAGAGTATTAACTAGTTACTTACTCTGAGTATTGAGACAATGGATGAGAACCTGGCATGACGCCATGAGAAGGCATTGCCAAGTTTCGAAGGATAGAGGGACGATTGCATCCGTTCATGTTGTACTGTACAAGAGCTCTGTCTAGGGAGATGCTAAAACTAATCAAAACACAAATTCTAATTGCATTATAGTTTTTCGAGATAATTATTTCTGTTGAGATGTATAGAAAAAAGATCTATTTCTTTCACTCAAAGAGAGGAAAGAAATGAGCAAGATTGAATGAAATATAGTAGAGGTGTATGATATGGGTTGCTTCACAAGTGAAGGTAAAGTTATTCGATAATGGAATATTGATTTGTCCCAAAATTTATTTTAATGATGACTAATTCTAACTATATACTGCACACGTGATAACCTATACTGTACTAGCTAATTTATTGATGTCCGTGCCTCCTCTGGTCTTTGCTTGCTCTCTGTTACTGCCTCATCTTTCGGAGCCCTCGCAACCAAATAAATATTGAAGAATAGAGGAACAAGAAATAATAATAACATTTCGAATCACTTTCTCAGAATACTTTACAACAACAAAAACTTTTTTCAAAGAAGAAGAATCTAAACATTACGACTTCCTACTTTTTCATTCCTATTTTGCGCATTCAAATTACATATGAAGTACTTTTTGAATGAAGAACTTCATTGACCTTTGCTGAGCTGAATTTTGGTTTTCCTTCTCCCAAAGTATTATAAGAAAGAAGCCTGTCTCCTTCATCGGTAACACACACACACATACTATTTGCGATCGATCGCGACGCGAAAAAAAAACGGAATTTCGAAATTCTTTGGACCGCGAGACTACGTGATGGCCTCGACCAACGGGATTCTCAGTCCCCCCACTCAACCGCATTTAGACATCACACTATCAGCGAAACGAAAACACGACGATAGCATTGATCAGCTTGCTCCTTTAAATGGCATCGTCAATGATTCCAAAATCGCAATTACCAAAGAACCGTCGACGGTAGATACACAAGAGCTTGTTCATGATTTGATTGATGTGCTCAAAAGGTGAGTTTGGCATCTGCAGAAACATTCCCAAAGCTTGTCTATAAGATAGCTCCTTGTCTTGCATCAATCTGACCATCAATCTGACTATCAATCCGACCCAAACCTCTTACTAATCTGTCAACTCCCTAGTCATGACCCCTCACCCTCCATCTTAACACGACCTCTTCCAGAACCATCCCCTTCGACCGAGCCTCAAGCCAAACGACAAAAGTCAGATGGCACGACTGATTCATCGACTGATTCACCAATCGAGTCACCAACTGATTCACCAACTATTCTATCACGCGCTTCATCAAATAAATATATCACTGTCGATGAGGTTCTCAAAGATATTGATACTGCAGCATTCGATATTATAGAGAGGCTACAGTTATCCAATGGCTCGAATCGAAACCAGTACATTCCTGTTCCTGCCGGACAATCGGAATTATCTGTCAAGATTTTAGCCTTCAAGAAGAAAGCTCACGAGCTTGTGCGTAGAGAAAAGGCTGCCACAGGACTACAAGCCAACACGAAGGGCAATCAAACAATCAATTCCAGCAGTTATTTGGCAAACAGGAATTTTGGAACCAATGCTAATGCGCCAGTCACTGCTACGTCGGAGGATATCAAAGTGGTTCTAACACTCTACGGAAATGCACCGCAACCGAAACAGCTGTTCTCCAGCCTACAGATCCCAATAAAGTTTGACGGAGAATCAATCTCTCAGCCTCTCCGCGAAGCCGGCCTGCCGAATGGTATCACAACAACTCAAATCATTCCCATACAGCCCACGAGCTTTGTCGATGATAAGAAACGGCCGCAGACTTTGGGAGAGCTGTTTCCAACACCTCCAAATATTCAACCATTGAAACCCCCTAAGGTTTCCAAGAGCTCATTGCCATCATCAATCGAAGGATGGCGCCAACCATTGGTTGCCGACTCACGAAGTGCTAGCTATTCTAAACAACCAATCACTACTGGACAGTGGCTTGATTATAGCGATACCTCATCCCTCAGTCCAGAAAGAAAACGCGCTAGAATTGCAAGTCCTAACGGGAATGTCGAAGCAGAGGTTGACTCGAACGAAATAGATGCCGCCAAGTTGGATGCTTTGTTTCGGAGTGCATATTCGGGATTTGCGCCAACTAAGGATGATTCCAAAGCTATCGCCCCGGAAAGTGTCTTGAGTAAAATCTGGTGGCAACGTGTTGGTGAAAAACAATGGGGAGTTATGGTTGGAAAAGCTGAAGGGTTTGACGACAGCTATCCCACAGAACCAAGTGCTAATAGCTTAGCTTTCAACGATGCGGAGATGGATGAACTTGAGCAAGCAGTGAAGGAATCTCCTAATGCATCAATCGATCCTAGCTTAATGTCTTCCGAATCAAATGTGGAGAAAACTGCAGAAGAAAAGGATGTTGAAGAGGTACTTCAGGGCATTTCGGAACTGCTAGAGACACTTAACTCATACCAAAGAAATCGGCATATGTCTCTTAATGCTATCAGTCGTCCTGTTGGCGTCTTTGGGGCATCGGATACTACATTCATGGGGACGCCTTCTAAGCCTGGTGACTCAGAAGTGACGACGTATGAGATCCTCAAATCGCAGCTGGCATTGATGGTTGCCATGTTACCGCCATATGCTGTAGCGAAGCTAAACTCTGACCAATTGGCTGAACTCAGCATTAGCACAAAGATTGAAGTTTCGATAACTGATCAGAAAGGTGTTATGGAGGAGGACGAGATAGCAGCCCGCGCAAAAGTGGCGGCAATGAGCGCAGCCTCAAATACACGCCCCACTACTAGCTCTTCCTTACATAGAAGCTCTTCTACGGCTGCCCTTTATGGCAATCAATACTCGTCTTCGCGGCCAGCTGCAGCCTCTACTGGCCAAAATTACACTACAACTCAGACTCCAATCAGACCCCCGCCAAGTAATTTGCAACGTCCTCCTGCAACTGCGCCGGTTCCTATTTCTTATGCACAGCGTGCCCCATCTGCTCCATCCTATCGTCCAGCGGCATATCCGGGGCCTGCCTACCCACACCAATTTCGAACGCCAGGTCCAGCAGCACCGCAATATACTCAAACGAATGGTCAACAGCAACAGTATCACCATAATACGCCCGCTGCTTCATATATACGCCCTCCAACCCAACCTTACCAGAACATCCCACAATCCACACCTCAAGCAGTGCGGTATCCAAGTCAGCCACCTGGATATGCTGCTCAGCAACAGCCCATTCAAAATGGCGCCACGTATCCTCAAGCCTACGGAAATGGAGCACACGTTAGTCGACAAAGCTCGCCTCCAAAACCGGTGTACAATCAACAGAGCCATCCCTCTCAACCTCAAGTTCGCCCTTCGTACTCATCACCTGCCCCTCCCATTTTACCACCAACCGCTACTAGACACATTCAAGGCCAGTTGGCTCAACCACCTGTCATGAACGGCTCCTCTCAATCACCTCAACCTCAATCTCAACCTCAATCGCAACCTCAACAGGCTTTGCCACAATCGCATCACCAAAACTCTTACAATAACATGAGTACTTTCTTAACTTCAGGCGAGCAACAAAGTATAATTGACCGCCAACGCGCACAAATTGTCCAGCAACAAGGGACCCAACATCAAGCTAGAAATGCCGCTCAACCAGGTGCTCTGGGATCTCCACAACCGCAAATTAATGCAAACAGTGCCGTTGCGGCAGGAACATAAGATAGTCAATTAGACGGTGTTTAGGTCGGAATTTTATTGAGACAATCATGACTGGATAATCATAGGATGGTTAGTGCAAACCCTGGGAATGGAGGGAGCTAAGCTGAGCATTTTTCTTCTTTATGCTTTATGCGCACAGTACTTTAATTTCATGGATGGATGGCGTTTGTTGGCAAGATCTAATTAAGGATGGGCATGGATGGTAGGGATGTAAAGGGCAGCGATCAGGAATGACTAGATATATGGTTCATGATTGATACGTCTTCTTTTGGTGGCTATAGGGCTATAAGTGCAACATGTGTGCTGGAGATGGTCTTAAAATGTATTGTAAGATTATAGATCTTTGAATTTTAACTTTATGAAGATAAAATGAGTTTCTTCAAGTCAGGGTGGTCTGTCATGTCGTAACCAAATTATCTACCCAATTGTGCACTGTGCATGAAATGATTGTGTAATTCTCGATACCTTTGAGCCGTTAATTCATTTACATTCGTGCTAGAGCTGAGTCCCTCATAAAAACTATATAGAATCATTGGAGTTCCATTTCCTTGCCCTCATGCCATTCCCATCCATACCAGTTCTATATCGCTTATCCTCCTGCGATTTGAATGCCTAGCCTAAACTACAATATACAGTACAGTAAATAATACAGTCGAACTTTATACATATAATCACACCCTACCTACCCCCTTCTAAGCCTCTTGAAACAATTCATGCACCTGAGTAAACAGCCGTACAACCCCTCCCACACTCAATCCTCTGTTCTACGCTCACATTCCTCCCCCCAATCTTAACTGTCTTCCTCGGTGTTATCTGAAAGCGATGTTCCTCTTTCTTCCTCTTCTCCCCATCAGACGCCAATTCTAGCGGCTGTATATAAACCGGCTGACTGACATTATTTCTCCTCCCCGTCCCCAATTGGTAAAACTCGTTTCCACCCCACCATAACGCATCGGCGCCCCAATTTGTATCATTGTGGCTGGAATTGGAGGTGGCTTCCAGGTGAGTGACATTATTCATTACGGCGGAGGCGTGAGTGCTGCCGATTGAGAGGCGGGAGAGACGGATGGGAATTACGGTGCGGGCTACTTCGTCGTATTCGAACAGGCCGGAGAGAGCTTTCATTTTTGAGGGGAGACTTTGGACGTGTGTCCAGCGGCCGTTTCCGAGGGCGCCGAAGATTCCTTGCCCGCAGGACCAGGTATCGGCTGTGATGCGTCCGAGATCTAGGGGGGTGGTTTCTTCGGATTGGCCGGCGACTCGAGTAGCGTCAATGGTGAAGAATGTATTCACTCCGCCAGCGAAGACACCGGTCACACGAGGAAGTAAGTTTGTGCCTTTATAGAGTCTGTCTATAGAGATTAGTGAAGGGGCATCGATGGTAGATAATTCGGAGTTGTATTCAATGCCCAGTTGGCCCACAGAGTTGTCGCCGAAACTAAAGACTCGACCTTGTGTATCTACTGCGAGGGAGTGATAGTCACCAGTAGCAATCTTTGCCATTTCAAATCCTTTAAGGGTGCTGATCAAATGTGGTTGATCGTGTGGTCCAGGAGGGCGTGACTTCCATGTTAAACCAGGGATACCAAGTTGGCCTTTGGTAGGGTAGTCTTCGGAGCCAGATGCTGCAGAGAAGAGTCGTCCTTTAGATGTGAGGAGGAGACAGTGCTCGAGACCGCTGCTAATATCATTAATCTTTTCGCCCCAGACCATATTATCCGGGTTAAGTGTTCGGTAGCCTATTGGAGATTTACTGCTCCAAAATGGTATCCAGGAACTTTCCTGCGGTTTCGGCTCCAATGCTTGGTCTGATCGTGATGCCGAAATTGAGTATACCGTGCCTGATGAGGAAAGTGCTATGATTCGGTCTTTCGAAATAGATATCTTGACGAGATCTTTCCCTTTCAGTGTTGGCGTAGGCTCCCTACTATCCGGCGAATATTTCGTTCCCCATTGTAGCAGATCACCATTCTCAGTGATTGCTGCCGCAAAATTGCGATCCAACTTAATATCTCGAATAATCTTCCCGTCGAAATATGGTATTCGTCTTGGAGTCTTGATGTTCGTTTCGTCAGAATCGGGTGCAACAACTCGACCCGTATTTGAGCCCCATGCATATACTCCTGGCTTCTCCCAGCTCCTCTTCACTTGTAGGTGTTGTGAACTTATTTGGTCTCGATTCTCTTCCTTTGTGCGAGTGTTCTTCCTCTTCTTTTCAAATTGCAATTCGGCTGGTGTAGGAATCTCTTCTGCATTCAGAGCTCGTGGGTAGCCTGTTGCATATAGACCTCCAGCGCATATTGTGAGTGATAACAACAACGCAGCTTTACGTGACCTCGAAGGTATACTTGCAATGGTAACTCGAGAACCGCTTGTTCTTCCGATGTATCTCTTCTGGAAAGTGATTGGGTAATTGGTATGTCGATTTGCTCGTTGAACAACCGTGCCGCATCTTGGTACTACCTTACTTGACAACATTATCAGTATTTTTATGCCTGTATCAACGATTGAGAACGAGGCTTTGTATATTTATAACAATACGTCTATTAGACTCGCCACTTACCCCCCAAACCATAAAGTTCTCCTCAGCCTTGTCCATCAGTCCTTCCATGACGAGATGATTTCCACCTAGCCAATCAAAATCTAGTAAAAGGTAAGCCTTGTAGTCCGTGCACACTACCGACCCCTAAGCTTATCTAAGAATAAACGGGTTGTTCCGAACACACTTCAGCCTTATTTGATTGCTGCTCCTTCACAGTAATTGTAAAGAAGAGGCCAAATGTACGAAGATTCGTGGTACAGTTTTGTACCAGAAACAAGTTTCAAAAAAGACAATGTCACTTCCCAGGCATCACAACATCGTCGCAAAGAATCTCTTCTGCAGCAAACTAATGTAAGTCCTCCTAGTATGGTAAGAAGTAGTGTCGTGTTGATGAAGGTGTACAGGGTAGCAACCCAATGCTGGACCAGAACACTCCAATGTTAGGAATATATGAGGATGAACCTTTATCGAAAGACCCTCCGAAAGCTACATTGGCTAGAAGAGCAAAATCATATAGCGATTTCTATCAAGTGGCCATGGCATATATAAACAAGGAAACCGATGAGGGGAGGACACATAACGAGCGCGATATTGAAGTAGGGGAGCCTAAGACTCTCCTTTTTGAGGAGCGGTACAGTGCGCTTGAGGATGACATTGTGGATGGAAGCCTCGAGGAATACCAGTATGTATCTACCACAAATGGGGATTCAAGCAATGCGCTGACCATGCGAAGGTTATATCTAGACCAATTAGTGCTATCCGAAAGTCACCTTGACAATCTCCTAAATGATACCTCAAGTGCGCTAGATACACTAGCTACTCTTTCCGAATCTTTCAAACATGTCGAAGCACAGACTACGGCCTTTCAAGCACAATGTGAAGATCTCTTGGAAGAACAAAAACGTATACGTGAATTGGCGGATGAAGTTGGTACGGATCTGCAATACTATGCCTATCTTGAACCTTTGACTCGACGTTTGAATGCCCCTGGTGCCGGAAGGCTTATCAAAAATGGTGACTTTTTGGAAATGTTGGAGAATCTTAATTCTTGCATTGAGTTTATGGATCAGCATGTAGGTTTTGCCTTTCTTAGATCCACATATCAGAGGTTTTGATACTTGGTGGTTCCTTGATCAAAGGTTCCTAAAATGCGTTTATACATGCCAGTAATTTCTACCCTAGCAATGCTTCGAATTATGGTATAAATATTCTTCATGTCATCGAGTTACAACCGCTTCATATTAGATTACAAGGCAATCATCGGTTTTGAAACCGGCCCTTGAGTTGTCGTGGCTAATTGTTTACAGCCCAACTATAAAGATTCGACTGTGTACAAGACTCGCTACACGACACTTTTGGATAAGGCCCTGAATCTTGTCCAAGTTGCCTTCTCAAATGCTCTTCGCGAGGTGTCAGATGATGCCTCGAAACAGCTAAAAGCGAAAGAACATACTGAAACCAATCAATACATTCTTCTCTATGGCAAGTACGAATCTGCCATGGAGAGTCTAGGCCTTCCGACTGAGCGACTTTTGACCACTGGGGAATTTGCTTTTGGGCGGAGAGGAGATGTGGACCGAACACCCTATATCCAACAGTGGCATAATCTCTATCAACAATTACTCGAGGCCTACATAAGATCCCGTGATCCTGTCGGACCTCTTGTTCTTAAAAATCTTCAAAAGTTCGCAACTACTTCGCCTCTCCCTGACAAAGAGTTTGAATTATTTGCTAGACGATGTGTGCAATATATCTTCGACACATGCCAGAATGAGTTGAGATTGGCAACTAAATTCTTTCAGGATGGGCCTCTTATGGCAGATTATCCTCCACCCCCCATTCCGTGGAACATGGCTAGTGTATACCTCGAGAGATTGGAGGAGAGTCGCCTATATTATGTCAAGACACTCCACGGGTTCCTTGCCCCATATCTGAGCAATGGTGACTTGCGTCGAATTTGCGATTTGGTCACTTGGCTTGGCGACACTTTTATCTCAGCAGAGGCACATGAAGATGAGACCCGCGATGGACAGAGATTGGCGGCACAAGTTTTACTGGGCGCTCATCTATGGCCATTAGCCGATCAGCTTTTTATCACAGAAGCAAGAAAACTTGAACACTTCAAATCATCTCCAGAGGACCTCAAGATTATATCTCCTAATGCTCAAAAGCTGTCTAACGAGAAAGCCATTCCAACTAGTGGCTTGCGAGTTGATACAGCCCTTAAAGCTCCCGAGGAAGGCGCATCTGTTGAGGCTGGGGTTTCAAGCGCATTCCCAACAGTCAAGACGGCAGTTGGTTTACTCGTCTTATACAACGAAAGCATGCATGAGAGAACAGTAAGTCCACTTTGTATTCAGACCAAACCATCGTTGTACTGACATCTATCTACAGCTTAAGAAAGGCGATGTCCTCTACGAAATCGTGCATCAGACTACCGAATCTCTTCAGAGAGCCGCCACGATCATAAAGCGAACTTCAAATAATTTAATGGATGCGCAGCTTTTCCTCATCAAGAATCTTATGCTGATCGAGAACCTTTTCATGACTCATGAGATCCCCGACTCTATTCGTCAATCTGCCGAACTTGATTTCACTCCTATTTGGGAGACAATCAAGGAGCTTCAATCACGTCATCAAGTGTTTAATCCTCTTGCATATATCAGACCAATCATCAAAGGTCAATTACTTCCGGCAGTGGTTGATAAAGTATTAGATGCAAGAAAGGAATTAGAAAAGGTTTTGGTGCAACAAATTACGGCATTTACAAAGCACTGGCAATCGCGATTGTCAGACAAAGATCCGAAGAAGAGAAATGATGTCGTGAAGGCTACGCGAGAATTAGATGCATTGTTGGAGAGAGTCTTCGACGAGGATACGACGAGAGCGGCGTTGTTGAGAATGATTGGCGGTGGTGAGGAGTATTAGAGAGTGGAGATGCAGGTTCGTCTTGGAGTTAAAATTGATACCAATTTGAACGTTATCTCCAATACTATACATATTTCCTTCATTGTGAGTACCGCCCCAATTCCTTCTATCCGAAGTTCTGTTGGTCGGCATCAAACTCCAGTACTTGAAAAACTACCGTGTATTTCTCCCTCTCCCTTTACATCTTCCTCATCCAAACGCCAACTCGAACCACTACCCCTGTTATAACCACAAGCACATTACTCATTACTCAGTGCCATCCCAAGCCCCATTAATCCCACCCATCACATAATCCTCCTAATCCTTACCTCTTCCCCATCTTCACTTCAAAATGTAAATTCCTCCACTAGATCTTTGTTCCGTCAATCAAATATCCATTTATGATCTACTTCATTCCTAATACTATCAATATGAGTCAGGGGCTCACTGGTGCTTATATGCTTGAACTATAAGCTCAATACCCTGTAGCAAATATACAACAAAAGTTTCGAGGGATCGGGTCACGGGCAGCAGAGCTTCACATACACTCTTCTACCTCCTCCTCCTCCATGGCCTCTCCCCACGTTTCAGCAACCGTTCTGCGATCTGTAATTTAATTTTCACCTTCTCCTATTTGATACTCAAATGATTACCTACACAAAGATCACAAATATATGCGAAGTGATACTCATCATCCCAACCCAACAATATCAAAGTGATTGATTTCATCGGCATGTTCTTTCTCGGCTACAGTCCTCTATCAAAATGTTTACTCACAACCAAATGTATTACCAGAAGTCATGTCATAGCAGTGATACACAATCCCTACTGATTGAAGAAAAATGGTATATTTGACCTACTGGCTACAATGTCTTCCTAACTAGGGAAAAAAATAGTGATAGGGTAATTAAGATACTATACACTCCAGTAGACATAAGTTTTCGTTTGAATAGAAGGCTTCGGCTGATTTACCCATGATGGAAAAACCACTCAAGTTAAGTGACCATATTTCAATTAATTGGTCTTCAGTTAGCTATCATGTACCCCCTAGTGAGTGAGCTCCCCGGTTAGCTTCAATGGTTTACGATCCCCCTTACGATCAATAATAGTTTCACACTGCAGTCGAACGTGAATTTTACCGGGAATTTTGTACTCACTTGGGGGAGTGTTCCAATGGCAACAAGCACGGTAAGGTATTCAACGAAATGAGGTCAAGATGAATGTACTCAAGTATGAATGAAACTCATTAAATTGGTATAGTGTTTGCAAGATATTAACGTAGTGGCTTCTACCCTACCCAGCTTTAGCCGATCTCTTAAAGCTCCTCTGGGTATGGACAATTGAGAATCTGACTTCTTTTCAATTAATGTCCTTGGAATTTAAACCACGCCAGATACGCCTACCAAACCCAAATTTCATTCGTCTGTTCACCGTCAAAATCTTACATCTTGATGTCGCAAACGCCACTATTTGTCGTAACGTCCCCGTCCCCATCTCCTCATATCTTCCCACTTCAAATGTTCAATGCTTTGTAGCACATTTCTTTCCCAATTTCGACATATCCCTCATGTAATGCTTTCGGTAGTAACTCGCAATTCTACACATCACCCGCATATCTAGAACCCATATCATCTCTTTTGCTTCAACCATTCTCATGAAATCCCCTGGCACCACCCCCAACTAATCACAGCAAAAGCCTCTACCTTTTTTCAAACCCCATCACTTAGCTGTTTGTAAAGTATCTCTGTACCCTTCTCCAAATTCTCGGCCCAATTTTTGATAGACTTAGCCTGGGCGCTAAGTATAGCCTGCTTTCTAACTTCGGCCTCAGCTTTCGCACGCTTTAGCCGTTCAGTAGCTTCAATTTCCAATTCCACTTCACGAATTTTGCGTTTCTTCTCGAGCTCTTCCTTACGTCGCACTTTGTTGGCTAGATACTTCAGGCTATGCCCCAGGCCTTGCAACTCGTTGGGTATTGGACTGGAGTCTAGTGGTGGTGAGGTGTAGAAAATGATCCGACCGAATTCGTCTGTATGGAATTGTGAACGAACATCGGCTGGAATAGAAGAATTTGCAGCATCAGGAAGTGTGTAAACTTCAATTGCGCGAGGTGGATTATATGTGTTACCGTGTGAGCCATGCGAACTCGAACTAGGGCCACCAGCACGCGGGGTACTGCTGCTGTGGTAGCTTTGGTAGTTGGCTAGTGGGTTGGAGTGGTGATGGGTAGCGCTTGGAGTGGCGGCAGAATGAGTGTTATAAGCAGTCGCGGGTTGATATGATGGAGTTGGTGGCGCAGCTGGCGCAGTTCCGTGCGAGCTGTATGAATGAGCATGCTGAGGGGGGGCCGGAGAGGCAGATGGGCGAGCTTGTGCAAAAGGTTGCGTATATGGCGGTTGGGTTGAGTGCTGGCTGATCATGGGCGAGGCATTAGCACTTGGAGTTGTTCCAGCCATTGAGATGTCTCCTTGTGAATCGAATCGAGGTCTATCACTTGTAGGCGGGGGACGAATTGGTTCCAGATTTGGCAGAGGAGATGCGGGAGGTGGAGTGGGCGATGGTGGTGGAGAGTCCTTTATAATATTAGTATACGCAAGCTGACACGTCTCATGAAAGAAGACTCACATTTTCGGCACGAGGCAGCTTATGCACAGCTCCGACAATAGGAGGTGCCCCTTTTGCGCCAAAAGTAGGCTTTGGTATAGGATCATTTTCTGTGGCATCATCACGAAGTAGATGCTTGATCGGGCTCGGAAACTTCTTCATCGGCCTTGGAGCCTCAAAGAGGTCCATTTCATAATCTTTCTCCCTAACCTCATCTGGTACACAGCTAGCCCAGGTCTTGATTTTGTTGAGCTTGTATACATGTTCGTTGTAACGTGCCTCACAGACATAAATCTCCCTGTCTGCAGAAAAATGACGAGGGCGTCCTTTGAAGTATCTTGTGAAAAACATGACAAAGCAACGGTCAACAACATCATCAATCTTATGGTCAATATAACGTCCAGTCTTCACAACCTCATTTTCATAGAAATGCTTGTCAAATCGATGAACTGTTTGCTCAGGTCGGTAATACCAGCAAGCATTGATCCAATCCTGCCCTTCAATATCTCGCCAGGTCCGATATATCTGCCCAACCACTGGCTTCGTAACATCGTTAAGATTGGTCAAGTGGATCCAGTCTCCGACCTTCCATACCTCGTCTTTGTAAAGTATTTCTTTCAGAGGTATCCGTCCATCTTCGGAAACAAAGTCTTCATCCGGCCTCTTCTTCTCGTGTTCAGCCATAGCTCTAGCTTCATTCTGAAGGGATACTGCATCGTTGTAAACCTCACTATCCTCCTCATTGAATGCTTTGGCATTCTCAAACATGAGCTCTAAATCCTTGAGAACGGAATCCACAGTTTGATACTTCTTGCGCTTTGCCTGCCTCTTGATAAGATCCATTGCCATTGGGGCTTTGACTTCCTGGTAATATTCCGGCATGTTGGTCTTATCGGGCAATCTTTCGAAGGGTGCAATCTTGAGCTCCCCTCTAGTGTTTTTGAATTTTCTTAATCCTTTCAGGATATTATTTATGCGAGCTTCCATGGGCGTATGCACCTTAGGTGGCCTACCGCGCTTCTTCTGCTCCTCAGGCTTTTCCGTTGTTTCGTCACCCCCTTCACGTCTATTCATGCTCGAACGTCGGATTTTGCGTTTGTATTTTCGTTTCACACCTTCCTCGTCGGAATCGTCTTCCTCATCGTCCTCTTCATCATCCTCATCATCGTCCTCCTGTTCTTCGTCGTCAGGACCCGGTGGTGGTGAGTCTTCGACGGGGGGGAGTTCTCCAAGATCAGGCATCTCTGCTTCTTCTGCGGTAATAACCTTTCCATCTACTAATTGTTGCATTTCCTTCTTAAACAACTCCCTAAGCGCAATGGCGTCATGATATGCAGCTGCAGAAGGGCGGTTGTAAACTTGCGCATTGTGAGATATGAGGGCGAAGTCGCGGACGAATTCCTTAATGTTCTTGTATTGTTTCCTGATGATTTTTTGCTGCGAGAGCAACCTATTAGTTTCATTCGCGCGCATATGTTAGGCTGAAGATACATACTCTAACTGTGCTGAATGCAGTAGGTTCCTTAATCACCTCAAAGTAGTCCGGTAAAAACCTCTTGTTGAGCATGCGCTGAAATAGCTGTGATATGTCGTAACCGCTAAAATCATATTAGCATCCCTTGAAAAAGAAATGCGCAAACTCAATTGACATACTCTGCAGTGCGGTAATCCGACAATTTATGTACAACCTCATCCATAACAGCATATCCATCCTTTGTGACACCGTCGACCGTTGCAAGGGAACCCACTGATGCTGGCGCCGTTTTGGTTGTTTTCGACTTCGTCTCTGTAGCTGTAGCTGTTTCTACTTCTGCTTCTGCTTCTGGCGCATCGGTCATTTGAATATCATTGGAAGTGGCAGGGTCTTCATTTTTGACAGTCGATTGATCTTGAGACGGGGCCGGTGGAGGCGACTCCATCTTTTCTTATTTAATCTAATGCAGCGACAATACCGCGGGGTTGTGTTGCTACAAAATACTTTTGAGAAAGCTCGAGTAATCGCGTTGGAGCGCGATCGCAACGGGAAACGATCGGGGAAATAATATACTCACGTGATGTAAGTTATGCTTGTGTACAGCCGAAGTGGACAGCGGAGAGAACTTCATTCATTCACTTGACTTGCCACAACATTCTTGATTTCAATTATATATACAGTTTCGGACGAGATTTATTAAATCTAACATTTTGAATGATTCATGATTTCACAGCATTCTATATTAACTACTACTCATAGATATTTCAAAGAAAAGCCCCATACCGAGTCCACTTCAAAGGTTGACATCCAATCCCATTCACGTGCCAACATATCAAGATGCGAATCCGTATGAGAGGACCCGAAGGAACTTCCACCATAACTCTTCCTGACGATGCCAAAATTAGTGATCTCCTATTCGAAATCACTTCGAAAACATCGCTCAACAATTTCGATATTAAATATGGTTATCCACCCAAACCACTCCTTCTATCTCAAAGCGAGCCTTCACTATCTCTGAGCAAGTTGGACGTTAAGTTGAATGGCGAACAACTTACAATCAGCTCAAGAGAAGAACGAAAACCTAGTGGTTCACCAAAGTCTACTGTACCGTCTTCTTCTTCTAAGACCTCTTCTACCTTACCACAAGTAAAAGATAGACAAACGGTTGAGGAGAAGTCGTTTTCATTTTCTGGGATGCATGGCGATGCAAGTTCAAAATCGAATTCGGCAAAATCAGCACCTCCTGTGTCTCTTTCGCGTAAGAGAGGCATCGATGGAGATGTTCCAGAGATTTCACTTCCAGAACGTGGTGCTACCCTTGGTAATTAATTTCACCAACTTCCTTCTCACGTTCCTGTTTCCATCCATCCATCCATCCACAGCCATCATTCATCTTACTAATTATTTCCAGTCCTCCGTGTAATGCCCGACGATAACTCCTGTCTCTTCCGAGCCTTTGGAACAGCTGTACTGCCCGGCGATGACCTCTCTATGCCCGAGCTCCGTTCCGTTGTAGCCTCGACTATACAAAGCAACCCTGAATTGTATAGCAAAGTAGTATTAGAACAAGAACCCGACGACTACTGTCGCTGGATCCAGACTTCCGATGCATGGGGCGGTGCCATTGAGATGGGCATATTGGCCGAGGCGTTTGATGTGGAGGTTGTCTGTATTGATGTTCAAGTACGTTATCTTCCTTTCCAACTTTAATTTTTCAATTTCGTTTTCAAAATTCCCACAAATCAACCCTCAAATCCCTACGTACTAATCCGCTCGCAAGTCCCTCTCAATCCACAGATTCCACGAAAATGCCTCTCAACACCGCTGCGTCCTGATCTACTCGGGGATCCACTACGACTTGCTTGCTCTCTCCCCTTCTTCCCCGCCCCCCCACACAAAAGCCACCGCTCCCCCTGATTCCGATATAAGAATTTTCGACTCTTCCGACGACATCATTATTACTAAAGCACTAGAACTGTGTTCCAAATTAAAGGAGAAACACTACTTTACTGATACCGGGGGAATGGCTATCAAGTGCAAAGATTGCGGCGTGACTGTTTATGGAGAGACGCAAGCGGCGGCTCACGCGCAGCAGTTGGGTCATTATAATATGGCCGAGATAAATACTTGAGGTTGAAATTTTGATTTGAGGAGATTGGCAGGCAATTCGAGCTCTTATGGCTTGTAAATACAGGGTACTGCGGATATAAGTGGTTGCTACTTTGCCACTGGATGTTTAGATCAAATGCGGACATTGGAAATAAGGTTAGCTAGACCTTGGGGCTTGATACTATTGCGTTATTCAAGAATACAATTCGATCCGGTATTGGCAGTGGCAGTGGCAGCAGTATACCAGACATATAATACTAGAGTACATGGCTGACGATTTGATGATTTAATGGCTTGTCAACGTGAGATTTGACGAAGAAGTAATCACACATCACATCACATCACATACCACATCACTATCATTACTCTCTGTATTTTCACTACTGTGATATCGTTGATACTACACTTCGCACTTTCTATAATTCACTTTTCATAACCCCCCCCGCCCCCCCCCCAACACCAACACCACATCCCACTACCCGGGAAAGCCTCCTCTAGCCATTTTTTTCGCCCTCCCATCTCTCCGATTATGATTAGCACTAGATCCCTTATTTGCCTCTTTCCTCTGCCTGGCCACATCAGTCTCCTTATCACCACTTGTACCCGCCACATTTCCACCGCCTCTTCCCCCTCTACCACCGCCCCTCCCACCTCTTCCTTGTCCCCTAATTTTTCCACCCCTTCCTCTATTTCCATTACCATTCCCATCCTCTTCTCCCTCAACAGCTCTCCATGCCGTACTTTCCAACCCCCCTTGTTCACCCTTGAAAGTAGCGAATCTTGTTTCGAGTCGTCGCATTTGTCTAGGGTCGCGAGAGAGCATTACGGCCCATCCCTCGAGAGCTTCATCCGTCATGCCAGTTTCCTGTTTGATGGCTGCTCTTTCTTTGCTTCTACGAGTGGTTGCATCTCTAGCAAAGATACTTGGTGATGATTTAAAGGCGCGGAATAGTGCCTCATCATGTGCATTTTGTGATGAGTTCTCGGGGTTGGGTTCTTCAGGGTTGGTGGAGTCAACTGTCCCGCCTACATCGGCTACATCATAGGTGTCGTCTCTTTCGTCGTCATCTGAGTCAAAAGCAGCAAGGGCAGAGAGAATGGCGGCTTTATTATGGGCGGTAGAGCGATCTTGGAGTACATCATCGGCTGTTTGGTCGGGGTTGCGACGACCGAAATGTAGACGAGAAGCATCAACTGTGAGTTGGTCAAGCTCGTCGTCGTCGAATATGTTGCGACGAGTAGGGATTTGTGGAGGGGTTGAATGGGGTGCTAGGTCAGCGTGACTTAAAGAGGGTTCTTGAGGAAGTGATCTGTAAAGATTGTTAGATAAGACATTTTCGGGAATAAATTTACGCACAATTCTTCCGATTGATCAGCATATTCCAGGCTTGGTGGTAAAGATCCATCCAGAAGATGAGATATAACTTCTTCTGTATTATCGTGATACTCCTCAAGCAGCTTCACAATGAAACCTGATCCAAGATCTGGGAACAGATCCTGAACTTGTGATATTAGACTCATCTGATGAACATGTATGTTGCTAGTCATATGATCATCAGCCTCCGTCAACCCCTTGCCCTTATTTGGTTTCTTCTTGACAAGACGGGGAGGTCTTCCACTGCCTCCAGGTTTGCGAAAGCCTTGCAAAGTAGTGATCACAGACCTCGCTCTGCTAGATCCCGAACCACTCGCATCAATTCTTTGTTGAATTTGCTTTAGCACCGGTGTGACTGTAACCAATTCTGCAACCAGTGAATCGTTCACATTGGTTGGACCGTTCTTATGCGCTTCCGCCGCAGCATTCAAGGAATAAAGTTGGTCGACAAGAGATGAAAGTCTTGGTTTTGGGCCTTCTGTGAGTCCAATTATACAAAGATAAGTAGAGGAAATAATGACTTTGCGTAAAGGTGGGTTCATGAGCTTGTAACAGCTTATAAGAGAATCCACGAAATCATCCCCTGCCATGAAGAAAGAAGCTGCTTCAGGAGAAGCATGTAATAGGTGATTTAACCGTCTCAATTGTATCTCTGAACCTTTGAGATCTCCCTTGAGCCCAGCATCCAGCTCTTCTGTCAACAAGCTCTTGATACTGCTCAAAGAAGCCTCGATGGTCGTAGAGTGCTTGCTCCATGCCAATGTTGTGATTTTGCCACCTTTTTCTTTTCCATAAACTTTACACAGATCCGAGAGAACTTCCCAACGCAGTAAAGACTCGGGAGACTTATCAACGCTCATAAGTCTGTAGAACAAAAGATATGCTTGCTTGCGAAGTTGCTTAGGCTTCAAGGACTTGCTCGTTGGGTTCTCGTCATGTGATAGAGCTAATTCAGCAAAGTAAGATGCTAGGAAGTTTGGCAGTGATTCGTCCTTTACTGCCGTCCGGGTAAAGTCTAGAGTCGAAAATGAGAGGTGTACTTCAAATAGAGAAATCCAAGCATCTAAGCAAGCCTCCCATTCCTTTGGTAGTATATTTGACCTCCATGATAGCTTAGGGTATGGAACTAAAGGTGGAAGAACCATTGATTTTGAAGCCATCTCAGAAATTGCAAGGCAATATCGGTAGAATGGGAAAAGGCTGTGAAGACGAATTCGTGAGGAAGGGAATAGGTTGAGGTCAAGCCCCGGTCGGATGAGGTGGAAGAAAGTCTTGTGGAATACCGCTGTCCTTGGATCAAAAATGTCTATTTAAATTCAGAAGTACCTAAAAAAGGCGCAATGAAAGGATATAAAATGCATCAAGATATAATATATACAACGCTCGCCGTTTGACTCAAATATGATGTACCTATTCATCAAATACTTTCTACCACATTAATTACCTAACCCACCTATCAAATCAATGATGACGGCACCTCAGTTGAGTTGCATTAGATAGATGCCTTATTAGCTAAGAAGATTTTAAGGCAACAATAGATATCTAAGATCTAAGCTCTAGCCAGCCACTTATATAATCTTCAACCAATGATATACATTCGTTTAACCCCATACGCCAAGACTTCCACCCACACTCGCAAATCTTCAATTTTATCTAATCGTCGCGCCAAATTTCTGAATTCTTTTTTTTTCGACCACCTTCATCACTTTGCCGCAACTGGAACCATCGTTCGAGTCTTGAAGGAAATACATAAATCAATAGAATCCCATTCTATCAATTCATCCACCTATCAGCAAATATGTCTTACAACAAGGACAAGGACTTCGCCGGTGAAGGCCCAGTATGTTTAACCCAATCGCAAATTAAATTCCAAATACATAATTCTAACCTATTTTCTTGTCATAGAAAACCCACAAGATCAGAATCACTCTTACCTCCAAGAAGGTCGATTCCCTCGAGAAGGTCTGCCGTGAACTCATCGAGCGTGCCAAGGGCAAGGAACTCCGTATCAAGGGACCAGTCCGTCTCCCAACCCAAACCTTGAAGGTTACCACCCGTAAAACCCCTTGTGGTGAAGGTTCCAAGACTTGGGATTGCTTCGAGATGAGAATCCACAAGCGTTTGATTGAGTACGTTTCCCCCGAAATATAGAAAATGCCCAAGGATCAGAGAGAACAACATACTAATGGCATAACAGTCTTAACGCTCCTACCGAGGTTGTCAAGCAAATCATCATCAACATCGAAGCTGGTGTTGAGGTTGAGGTTACCATCGCTGCATAAATTACTTGAATGTGATTAGAAAGGGAGGAAATGATTGTGAACATATAGGTCCACCACTCTATGAGGGTAGATAATAATTGAACGCTGTTCCTCTCATCTATTTCTATCTTCCATGATACTTGTGATATATGTAATTGCGAGACACACATTGTCATTGAGCGTATTGTCCAACTGAAACCTTGTGCTTTTGTTATTCAAGCATACTTCACGAAATCGTTGCAGCTGATGATAGCCTACCGCTTACCGACCAGAACCCCTCTATAATTAGCCATACTGCCCTCGGCATTTGTGATACACCTTTGTCCTTACACCTCCAAACAAAACCACAACCACAACCACAAAGCGCGTTCCCCACCCCCCAATATCCAAACAATCAACATCCGTTCCACGGCTTCCCAGTTTCACTCCAATAACCTCCAGTGCTCTTCACCACCGAAGAGCACAACCTACCAACTTTAACTTTCAACTGCATAGACGTAGGGCCTCTTCCTCTTCCTCTTCCTCTTCCGTATCATCTTCCGTATCATCTTCATCCTAACCCAGCTATCTTCAACTCCATTCACCTCTCCATTTCCCTACCTCATCGTCACTGCAAGTGGTAAGCGCCACACAAATTAAAAAAGCATCCTTCCCCTTTAATCTCCATCACTTCAAAAAAAAGAACAAGAACAAGAACAAGAAGAAGAAAAACGATTCCATATTCCTACTCCCTCCTAGAACACATCCCTCCATCCGTTCAAAACCACATTCAAACCCCTCCCTAGCTAGTTACCACTCAATTCTCAGACCCCGCGATAAGATATATAGGTATATATCAATATATCATTTGCGGACGGGATTGAATAGCGGTAGGTTGGGAAAAGGATTTCGTGTGAAGGCCAACGCCTAGAGCCTATTACCCATCCATCCATTCCTTCATTCCTTCATTCATTCATTCATGATCTACACTCCACAACTACAAGTCGCCTCTCGGGTTCGGAATAATCAACCAGGTATGAAAGATTTAGGAATCTCCCCCTCCCAACCTTTCCCATCCTCGGCCTCGGCCTCTTAATTTCTTAACCATATATTTTATCGTTTTCCATTTCTCAATTCCCAGCAATTTCTTTCATTTCCCTCTCTGTCCTTCATCATCATCAAGCATGCAAGGAAGGAAAAGTCAACAAATATATATAACAAGCTCTTCGGTTCTCACTGCTCACTGCTCACTGCTCACTGCTCAGAGCCTCAGGGTATAGGAGAGAGAGAGAAAAGGCAAAGTGGGAATTCAAGACTAAATATCCAACATCCAATACCCAGTATCCAGTATCCAGTATCCAGTATCGAAACTGTTTGCTATAAACTCATTCCGTAACAGGGCTCAATTCAACTCAGGATTAATATGACACCAACACAATCGATTGCACATTCCTCCTCCCCCCTTCCCGACCAAATCATACCTCTTCATTTTTTGGCCTTCGATACACATGAAAGTGCAAAAGTACAAACCACAAACCACTGTACCGTACCTACACTTGCTTCTCACCAAGTTACCTCCTACTTACACCACACACACATCACAAACAAACAAACAAGATATCGAAACAAATGCTCAAAAATTGGTTCATCTTTTCGGCTTAAATAGGTATCATCATTCGTCTCCCCCCTCCCCTATCTCTCTTTTATCATCCACCTTCCCCAAATAGAACTACAATATGTACACACGAAAAGTATCTCTCGCCTATCAATCAAACCCACAACTCTACCATTTTCATCTTCATCATCTGACCTCCTCCCCCAAACAGCAATATATATTGGAAGCCTTATACCCAACAACCAGCTCTCAGCAGTTTCATATACACTCATGTTTTATCTCAGATTTCCATGCATCTCTCTCCCCCTCCCCCTCCCCCTCCCATCAAGCACAAGAATCGCAGAAAAGTTTTGTATCTTCACACCAAATGTATGCACACATTGGTTTTGTCCCCCAGAACGCCATGAAAACGCCTCAAGACTAGATCAGATCATCATTCGGGTCTTCATTAGAATTTAGATCAAGCCAGCCGATACATCAGAAGGAGAATTCCCAAGGTAACCCCAGGATTGTTCCGCCATGTAAAGAGCTGCTGTGTTGACCTTCCAGTAATCGTTGAATGTACTGAAAAGGTAAACGTTGGATGAGTTGGAGGCGAAGAGGTTCTTGATAGCTGCCATTGCGGTAGTCTGAGCTTCGGAAGAGGCAACAGCCAAATCATGAGATGTTCCAGCGGATGGCCATCCGGTCTCAGTGATGACGATATCCATGTTAGGGTCGGACAAGAGGGCTCTCAACTCGGAAATTTGAGTGCTAAGGAATGTACCAGCTGCGTGAGCGGCGGTGTGGGTATCGAAGAAAGGATGACAGTTAACAGCGCAATAATCAACATTATCACAAAGACTTGGGTAAAGCTTGGTAGCAGCGAGGGTATCAACGGCTACAAGCTTTCCAGTGTAGCCGGCGAGTGAAAGGATGCCTCTGGCGGTAACGATAGCACTGGCAACACCAGCTGCATCGGTTATTCCGTTATTGACCCATTCATTTCCGATAGAGATAGTAGTGATGGTGCTCCAGTCACCATCAACAGCATCGACAATTGCTTGCGTCTCGGTTGAGACCTCTGCAAAATCATATACACCCGCAAAGATCTTGAATCCATACTTCTTGGCGGCAACCAAAGTAGTAGCGACTTGATTACAATCAGTTCCATAGATGCGGACGGTAGAGTATGTAGACGGGATTGCGGCAAAATCCTGGATCACTTGGTCTTGGGTTTTACAAGCGTTGTTGGCCATGTAAGGAGAGTAAGCAAATCCAAATCCGCCAGATGATGCGGTGACAGCCGAGGTAGATGCGACTGCGGCGGAAGTAGTAGTAGTAGAAGAGCTCGAGGCAACTTGAACAGAGACAACCGCGGCACTGCTAGAAGAGCTGACAAGTGGAGCAGCAACACTGGTGGAAGAGCTGACGACGACCGGCGCAGCAGCACTAGTGGAGGCGGGGATAGAAACAGCGACGGAGACGGCGACAGAGACTTGTACACTCGGAGCCTGAACTGCTGTGGTCATAGCAGCGGCAGCGGAAGCTGCTTGGGTGTATTGAACAGCAATAGCAGCGGCTGCTTGAGCACCGACAGCTGCAGTTGTCGTGGAGGAACTCGAGGTCGCGACCGATGGGTTGGATTCAAAGATGGTGGATGGTACGTTGCCAATGAACTCGGTTGTGGTTGAAAGAGGGACTCCGGCAGTGTTAACATAGATGATCACTTCTGGAATTTCGGTGGCCTCGACGATGACAGTATCGATAACTGTAACCAAATCTCTCTTCTTGTGGAGGGCTCGGTGAGCATTGTGACGGTCTACAACATGTTAGTTTGGATGTAAGTAATGATTGCGCCAGCTTGTACATACTAAATGGTTGAGCCAAAGTCAATTGGAGAAGGGAAAATCCCGCAAGGGACAAAGTTGTAGTCTTCATGTTGAAGATAAGATTTTTAAATAGATTCTTCTATGTGTGACCGGCCAGCGGTTAGTATAGGATGAACAAGAAGAATGAATCAGAATCGCAACCGTCGTGGGAAAAGGAAAAAGAAGTTTTGAAAAAGTGAAAGTAAGTGAAATTTTCGAGAAGAGGAATCCCGATGTTGATCTCTCAAGACCTTAACAAGCCTCGAGAACAACTTTGGTAATCTTTGGTAATCTTTGATAATGAGAAATTAATGACCAACCTAGATGTCGAGATGGGTTGGAATGGTTGGAATGTAGACTTAATTTGAAGAATGAAGGCGTAGGAATGTTATATTTTCTTGAGAGATAAGAGGAATGAGTGATTTTGAATTCGAAGGTCTGTAGGAATGGAATCAACGATAGAAGTTGGTTGTAAATGGCCGTTGTATTGGGCAAATATGTAAGCAAAAGATGCGCGGCAATTTTTGCAATTTTAAAGACGTCTAGGTCCAAGAAATAAAAAGGGAATGAATGAATGAATGTATGTATGATTTTGGATTTTGGATCGATTGTCAATTTGTCGAGTTGGTGGATGTGATGTTTATATGTATGTGTGTATGTGTGTGTCTGTGTTGAAGGATAGTGAAAGAATTCGAAGATCAATTCGAAATTCCAAAAATCAAATTTAAATAAAGAAGGAACAACCGACCGAGAGTGAACTGATTGAAGTGAGGTGAAGGAAAGGAAAGGAAAGGAAAGATCAGAAAAAGATCAAAGTCAATCTAAACAACGAGAGTGACCGATGAGTGACCGGGGATGGATATGATGAGATGAGATGAGATTGGATTCAGAAGGAAAGTAATTAACAAGTTGAGTACCTACCCTAGTACTCTTGAAGATCTATCTGAAAGTTTAGAAGTCTAGAATTTTAAATATTGAGGAAAAGTCCAAAATTTCTTTCCCTGGTCAAAGAAGAATAATCTAAAGAACGAACGTAGTATGGAGCGGGGCGGAAGGGAAGGGAAGGGAAGGGGAGGGGAGGGGATAAGGTCTTTGAAAGGAAGGGGTTCATCTCAACTTTATAACTTTATAGATCAGCAGGTCAAAAATAATTACATTCCTATATTAAAATATATTATTCTCTTTAAAATACGCTACAGTATCACGTTCCTTTTATATTAACATATATTATATATATTATTAGAGAATATTATTTCATCTTCCTCGTATATGAAACTCACTAGTTACAATACTCGATCCCTCTCAATATTTATGTCCCTTAATTTATTAAACCCCCGGGCCCCGACCGACCACCTATATACCTACCCTAGTACCTGTCACTTAGTAGGCTAGTTCCTACCTATTGGATCAAAATCACCTTACGACAACCCACTCAACTACTCGCTCAACCGCCGAGATCAAGTAATATTCAATCCTGGTTGTGATTGACTAGGCAGGGCTGTAAGGATCGATCCATTCCCCTACAATGTTGATCCGATTGGATCTCGATTATTGATTGTTACTACCCATTTAATTTGATCCCATAAATTGAATTGAAAAGAATTGTGATCCTATGAAAGTAATAGAAATGAGTGATCATAGAAAGATATATATATACATGAACATATGAAGTCTCCGAGTACAATTTAATTCATTTCAGTTGTTCCTTTAAAGAAAAAGAGCACTAACTAACCACTGCCCTAAACCAGCAAACCAGCCGGACATACCCGTCACAACCTCCAAAGCGTATAGCGGCGCAACCCAACCCAGCCACGAGGCGCTAAGTATTCCAGACCCCTGTCACAGTTTTTCAGGTACCATTGGAATATTACTGGCTGATGGCTTGGTACCTGAATCAATCAACCCTTAGAAATTAGGAAATTAGAATATACTCGAGTTATGTTAGAGACGGTGAGGGACAAACTTTGGCCGGGAGAAAAAGAAAAGAGGGTAGAGGGTAGAGGATACAATATTTAAAAGTCTAATAAGCATCTAGATGTCCAAACATCTAGGTCTGTCTTTTGAATTAACCTCGAAGTTATTAATTACAGTACTCCTAACTCATGCTTGAGAGTTCAAGTCAATCCTGTGCTATAACATCAATTGTTCAAAGTCTTATGATAAATTCATAAATTTGCAAGAATTAGTAAGATAGTGACACTACTGTATATCCCAAATAACAGTGCTGCTATAAAGTAGCTTCGAACCTACTCGGGTATACATTCTCCAATATCGATCGCAGTGTGAAATTTATCTAATCCGAGAACAGCAGCAACTTCATCTAAACTCACTTATATCAGATATTAACCTAGCCGAAAAAACCCTTGTTCGAATTGGTTGAAATATAGATAATATCAGCCCAAATGGAAGACGACTTCGCATTTCTCAAAAACTAAAGCATGTGGCGACATCATTGTATCAATATGTTCATTCATTATCCCTAAACTTCATATCCATACCCATACTCATATCGATACAAAGTCCCCAGCATTATACATTACATCCACCCTCCCTCTCCTTCTCCCCAAACCCTTCTCCCCACCGCTAAAGTCGAAATGTCCATATCCATCCATCATCTATCATCTATAATGTAAATCTATCTAAAACATGTCACCTCTACAAGGCATCCAAACAAAATTAAGCCATCGGCAAAGCCAACTTACTACTCGTTTTTCTTGTCAAAACTTTCGTAATAGCATGCCTAATAACCACCCCAGCCTTCTCAATCTCTTTTTTTGAAAGTCCAGTCGTAATACATACTTTGAGCGCTGGTTGTAATTTCCACTCTTCGTCTTTGCCATTACTTCCCGAGTAGATTGGCATACTCTTAAGTCTGGTGATGAGCACTCCATTTGCGAGACTCTGTAGGTCAAGTTAGTATCATGGGACAAGAAGGGTTAAAACGAGGTGCTTACCTCATCGACACATTCCTGCATGATCCGTTCTTGTTCCTCGGTGCTTAAACGTCGCGAATTGACAATATCTTGCTTGAGAACAAGTAGCATAACCGGATTTTCAACGGAACTTGTGCAGTGAACCCAATCACTTCTCGGATCAAGCTGAGCTCTCATTGCCTTGATATTCTCCCTGCATTGTACTAAAACCTCAGGGTTCGTTTGTAGCATATTGAGAGTCTCGCTAGCGGTGGTAGCCAACATAGCTGGTAAAGCCGCCGAGAAAGTATAGGAAGCAGCTGTGATACGTTGATGTTCTACCACATCATTTGAGCCTGCGCAGAATCCACCTCCGGCACAGAGAGGTCCTGCTAATGATCCGATCAACATATCGATTTCTGACGCATCCACATTCTGTGCTTCCGTGAGCCCGCGACCAGTTCTACCAAGAACTCCAAAGGACCATGTTTCGTCTAGCATGAGGCGGAATTTATAGCGGCGTTTGAGCTCAATCTAATACTTTGTAAGCTGTGCCCTTTGCCATTAGGACGAGAGTACTGAATACTTACCAACTTAGGTAAATCCACACAATCGCCCACTGTTTCTGACAGCCCTTCTGTAACGATAAACCTTCTAGTCAATGGTCTCTTGCCTTGTTCCTTGACCACCTTCTGGAGTACCCTCTCCAAATCTTCCATATTATTATGTTCAAAATATTTAACCGTACTTCTAGAGATCTGCAGACCTTTCCTGATAGAATAGTTGCTTGCTCGATCCGCCACAATAACATCACCTCTTTTGCAAAACGCTGGAATGACACTGGAAATCGTAGAAAATGCATGCGCATACACAATACATCCTTCAGTTCCCAAGCACGATGCAATATCCGCTTCAGTCTTCATATGTACATCTTGAGTGCCGTAAAATTGAGGGGGTCCACAAGGACCTACACCATATGTTCGGAGGGTTTGGATGGCCTTTTCTTTGACTTGTTCGTTGCCAACAAAGTTGTAAAAGTTGTAGGATGCGAGATTTGTTACTGTTCGACCATTTGAGAGTTTGGATTTTGGACCTGTAGGTCTTGTTCTTATTAGCACACTGCTTGAAAGGGTAGAAAATGACAGGAAGTCGAACTCACCCAACGATAATGGGCATTTTTTCACTGTCCGCCTCCTCGAAAGGAGTCATCTTTGAAACCAATGGTTCTGGTTGCCATTCATCCACCAAATCATCGATTTCCTAGCAACAACTTAGATCAGTTTCCATAATTCCGAGTCGCAGACCAATCTCCGCTTGCAAAGCCACTCACCTCCTCCGTCAATTGAACAAAATTGTTATTATGCGTCACATAACTTGGAGCCAACAAATATCTGATGAAGAAAATAACCAGAACCAATTCAATAACAGATCTGACTGGGTCGTCCTGATAACTCGATTGAATATAGCGGATGAGCATGGCCGAGCCAGGCACTTTTTGAAAGGTCGATGTGATCTCGTTCATGGACGAGACCATGTACGATTGAATATCCTGGAGGTCCATATTGACAAACGCGAAGGTAGAGGGCGATAAGGGTGTGTAGGATGAGTAGGAGAGAAGTAAACACAGGAGAAATGGGCGATTGGTTAAAAATGGCTCCCGCTTCCGCTCGACTTGACAGCTGGTGCCCAAAAAAGTGCTGGCTTATTTAAAGATGGTACGAGTAGATAGGTGGTGGTTGTCGCTCGGCTTCGCGTAAGCAAATGTCCGAGATTTTGGGTTAAGTGACACAAGCTGGGAAGTTACATGTGTACTTGTACAACAGTAACAAGTAATGAAAGAAACTCCTTATGATATAGTCATGACATGAGTAGAATAAGAGGCCGAGTAAAAAATTAATAAGCTAGTGAAATAAATTCATGCCATTTGTTAGGAAAAGGAGTTACTATTAAAACTAAGTAGTCAAATTTCACTTGATTTACTCAACTCACATTGCATAAATGAGTCGAGGTTGAGGTCACCAGTAGTCAATCATTACAAGAGATTGGATAACCCAAAAATTTATTCATATTCATTGTAAAGACTCTGTAGTATCTTCGCGCTAGAGGACATATTACAGCCGTAATTTGGACGCCTGGCTTTTGAAGCCTGAGCATCCAGTATTGCATTTGGGTCATTATGAAACAGCAAAGGGGGAAAAAAGAAACAAACAAATATCTAAAGCCGTGTACCATGCAAACACCCAAACTCAAAGTCGAAAACACCCCGTGAAGTGACGATGGCCACGCACCCATCCCAAATATCATTTTAATGTACTGCATACCATCCCGTTCTATATTACAGCCAGCGAAGTCATCTATACAGTGTCGAAGTTTAGAACAATCGAACCCTGGCAGCGGCGGTGCTAGATGCACTTGAGGTGGCACTAACACCAGTGCAAGTCGTGCAACCGGTACCGGTCTGGTTGTAGCCTTGAGTATCGTTGTTATTTTGGCCGGTAGGCTGATAGAGCTTCAGTGGAATCTTGTCAGTCAAGCTCTTGGTCAAAATCTTCTTGCCAGCGATAAGTGGGCCTATCAACAACGCAAGGAAGATAATGAACAGGACGAAGTATATAATGGCATATCGCCAGACACGTCTCTTCCGTAATTTGGATTGCTTCAACGAGTAAATCGGAGGACGAATTTGCCGACTGAAAGAAAATTAGCACATATTCATACTGCAAGTGGCAGAGAATTAAACATACCTGGGACGAAGCCAGAAGAGCATCACAGAATGAAGCTTGTCTACCTGGGGTATGGCGATGATAGGAAGCATGATGAAAAGAATGAGATGACCAAGAACAAAGTCACCAGCAAACATTCCAAGCTCGGTGATCTTGCAAAGGAATTCACGACCAGGTTGAGAAACCGAGTGCCAACCCATCGAATACCATTTACCGGTCCAGAAAGCAATGTTGGATGTGTCGGTCTTCAATTCTCTGGTCAGTGTCAAACTGATGATGAGTTTGTAGACAAATCTTTGGATGGCGGCGGATGCAATCATTCCCAACAACGCCTTGGCGAGGTTAAATCCTTCCAAGAAGAACATGACCTCGAAGAATACGAGGCACATAACAACGGCGATAGCATGTGCAATGGCTGCGAGGACTGAACCAAATTTCTTACAACACATGCCAAGGACGGGTCCCATACAACAAGCCATGCCAAACATTCCAGCCAGTACACCAGCGTTAACTGCAATAGGAGCTAAAGCTACAATGCCAACACGGATCAAGGCGTTCGTGGCTACGGGCGCGACACCATCGTTGAGTTCGGCAGTGACACCCGTCTGGGAGTTAATGAAGAGATATGGAATCAAAGTGAGAGCAACAATCATGAGCGGTCCAACGATTTCTCCGAAGAAAAGATTGGAAAACGTGGCACGGGCAGTATCTCCCGACATCTTCGCCGATGGGTCTCCGAGAATCTTGCGTTTATAACCTGTAATTCTGGTACGAGAAAGACGACAGAAAGCGATCCAACTCGACGCATGAGAGCGAGAGTTTCCACGGGACAACCACCTGAGGTAGTCTCTGTAATCAATAAAGAAGTCGTTCCAGGCAAATTGATGAGGATTGTACAAGAATGGAGAGATGCACAAAGCAAGAAGAGTGACCCAGAAGTAGACCAATGCAGCCTGCCACACGGTGATAGTCGCGAACAACAACATCATGAGTAATCTAGCTCCAAGATAAATGGATGGGCCGGCGAATCGAGAGAAGAGAATACCGAATGGGATACGAGCAGTGGCGAAACCACGACCAGTTCCGATGTATCTGGCACCGCCGAATGAAAGATCTTGCTGGACAGCGTTGGCATAAATCTGACAAACGAAAACCTCGAAGAAAGGTGAAAGAGAGCAGAATTGCTTTCCGAGACGAGTAGCCGCACGCCAGAAACCACGTTCTGTCAATTCCTGTACCGTCAAAGGGACGAAAGAGATGAAAAACACAATGAAGATGGAGATGACGCAACGGTAGACCCAGTTAGTGATAGGAACAATGTTTGCACAACCAGTTGGGTACAGAGGATCGGTAATGGGGACGTTGGTGTTGTATGTACACTCGATGACCTGGTTCCTGAGGGCTCCCAAATTGATCAAACAGATCATGAACAAGTTGACAGACAACATAATGAACATGTTGTTCAAATGGAAGCCAGGATGAGCGTAGTAGAAGGACAAGAAACGATCGATAGGGAGTTGGGTACCCAGGTAATAGTACTCTCGCGAGAGCATCTGCTCACCCATACCAGTTCCAATCTTTGTAGTGAAGTTGAGAATAGAGCCAAAACCAAGATCACGGCCTTTACCGCATTGGTAGTACTCGCAATGCTTGATGCGACCTCCACGAAGAAGTGCCGTCATACCAGCGTAAATATCCTCGTTAAGATGAAGACCCTTCTGAGCTTTGGAAACACCACCTCTAGTGGTCATGAAGATACCGTTCAAGAAATCAGGATGACCATAATGAAGCTTACCACCGATAGCAGCAAGAGTTCGCGCAAAGAGTGTACCGAATGTTTGTTCCTTTCCAGCAGCGACGTCTCCCAAGATACCAATATTTTCGGAGAAAATATATTCACGGGCACCAAGAATAGCGACGGGGGCGATCTTAGGGTTGGAAACACCAGGAGTGTACGGTGAGACGTTTTCAGTGGTCATTTCCTCGAACTCAGCCAAGACACTTCGAATCTTCAAGCATTCTTCCAGATAATTGTCCTGATTGGCATCAATGAGTTGGATATACTCGCCGCGATAGAAGATAATGGCATGATTCTGATTGTCGGATTTTCCATCCCCAAGAATTGGGTTACCGGAAAGTTGGATACGGAATTTAGGTCTACGCATTCCATTTTCCATGACCTCGGAGTGACCATCAATGAGAGCAGAGTAAAGACGAGGCTCATCACCTTCGACGAGAGGAGCTTCTTCATCCAGGTAAGCAATTTGGAGATCAGGATAGGCACGAAGGAGAAATTCAGTGTTCTCCATCTCTTCCTTCTTGAATTTGGCATAACGTTGCATAGAAACACAGAGCTTGAACTTGCGACGGGCCATACGCTCGAGTTCTCGTTCAAGCTTGTCAGAGTTACCACCAAACATCTGCACGACCTCTGGGTTCTCGACACGGTAGAGAAGTTTGATAGCACGACTATAATTCATGAAACCAGAGATTGTGCGGTAAAGAGTTTGCGCTCTCAAAGATGCCCAGATACGTGTGCGGAGAGTGTATTCGGGAGCGGCCGATTTGAAACCGATACAGTAGAAAGGAAGATCATCAATCTTGCTTTTGGCAGTGTTCTTCTCCTCCTTATCATAATCGCCGTTAAATTGCGAGGTTTCGTCTGCGAGAATCTTGGTGTCCTTAACGAAGCAATCCCACTCGTGAGGGTGCAATTGTTTCAGGTACTCAAGCATAGTAACTCGGGAGTATGGTTCGTCTTCACGAATAATTTCGCGCAGGGAGAACAGAATCTTTTCTCCGTAATGAGGAATCATGACGGTAAAAGTCGGCATGTTATCGACTGGAAGTGGTTCTGGGATAGGAGTTGACAAGGATTGAGCGAAGAAAGAGATACGACGCTCAGCTTCACTTTGGTTTGGGAAGAACTCTGTCTTGAAAGAATGATCTTCTTGTGAGACGAAGAAAGTTGGAGCTCGAAGAGTTCTCTTGCCTTCTTGTTCGGATGGAACTTGATGGTAGAGAAGTTTCTGGACGTGGTCGATAGCGAGGAGATGCTCCCTGTACATAGAGATGACAATGGCGTTCCAGATTTGAGAGATAAGAACTTTTGGCTTGTACTTGATCTCCATGTCGGTAGTAGCGAGAACCTTGGAGTAGATACGCTTTGGCAGACGCGAGAAGATGTTTCTCCATGGAGTCCAGATAGACACACCAAGGTAGAACGATCGAGCGACTGAGTAGATAGTATTCATGATAATGTACCACATGAAAGTATCCAAGAAGAACAAGGTAAGATCAGTGACGAACATGAGACCGAGGAGAATCTTTGGTTGCAATTTGCAAAGAACATCACCAATGATAGCATCGCCAACACAGGTGGAGATCTGCATGCTGTCCAAGTATCTGATAGGATCACGGAAGGACAGGGTCAAGAAGACGTAAGATTCAGCCAACTTGGCTCCGAAAACGGTGATCCAGAGACCGTAAGACATCCACATATCGTTACCAGTCAAACGAGGATAACTGGCAGTGAAAGTTTGACTGGCGACATACTGTCTGGAGTTTCTAGTCAAGTAACTACCGAACAATCCTCCCATAGGCATAATCGAAAAGAAGAAATAGGTCACCAGGGCGATGAAGAACTGGACAATACCCAGAATCAGAGCAATTTTTGTATGCTGTGTATCGGGGATGATGAAAATGTAAACACTCGGAGCGACGTTGATGGCAAGAACAGCGAGTAGGAACAACAGTTTTTTGGTCAAATGCTGCGCTCCTGCCCATCGACGAGGAACGTAGGACCATTCGCAGATTGTAGCTACAACCATGATCAGACTTGCAACTGCACCCCCTAGGGCAACGGCAGACCATTGCGCAGAGGCGGGTGGTTGGTTGTTCTTCTGTTGCTCGTAGTGCTTTTCGAGGAGGGTTGGCGAATTCTTGGCAGTAAAGAACCAGAAAGCACTGATATGGATGACCCAAATGCGATTGAAGTTGACCAACATGTGGAACCAAGAACGAGTTTCGCGATACGTTTTAAAGAAGACCTTATTCCAGTTGACATCCTTGAGTTTGAGATAACGTTCCGCAGGGCCGACATCCACTAGGCGAGACTTATCTTCCATAATGATTCTCTCAATACCTTCAGGGTACCAAAACAGCTGATTGCAGTCATCGTATCCGATGATCTCGTTGTGGTCCCGTTCTCGGCGAACATATTTGCCGTCCTGAATTTCATATCCTTGATCTCTGCAATATTGGTACAGAGGTGTGATAATCTGGTTAAGGTACGTGAATTCCTCTACTGGCTCAACCAAGTTTTGGCAGGCAGGCGAATTCAGGTAGTCATCGGCACACTTGAAAATGAAACAAAGAAGTTCTGGCATGAATCGAACTTGGTTAGCTTCACCCCAACAGAGGAGGTAAAGAGCCAATTGGCGAACTCGGTCATGCTGTGACATTCGGTTCATGCGAGTCTTCCATCTGTACTCTGCAGCTTCAAGACTGTTGTCGCCCTCCATTTGCTCGAGGGTCTGGGCTTCGTTCTGGGGATCAGCTGCAGCCGCCTTAGCAGCTTTACGGGCTTTGCGAGTACGACGATCTCCTTTGCCAAGTTTCATGTTGGCAAATCCCACCGCATCATCTAAATCGAGATGAGCGGCAAAATACCATTTTCGGTAGTTTGCGTTATCACCACCGATGTAATCTGCGTGCAGCGACAAAAGGGCTTGGTTTGGTGTCATGCGTGAAGCTCTCGAATCGAGCAGAGTCATCAAATGATCGTACATGTTTCTCATGCTGTCACGCTGGAAACCAAACTTGGCTGTCAAATCCAGGAAGATGTCCTCAACTTCTTCCTTCGAAAGAGGAATTTGGGCATCGGAGGTCCAGGCTGGATATGGCTCCTTAGATCGTTGTCCAGCTGGAAGAACATTGTTGTAGTCCATTCCGTAATTTGGCGTTGATGCTCCAGAAGATCTATTGCCGCCATAGGAAACCTGCGAAGAAGGCGGTCGGTATCCACGGCCACCCATTTGACTCTCGTTATAGCTGTTGTATCGCTCATCGCCTCGTCCATAGTAATCCATGTCGGTGGCTCGAGCCATATCTGATCTCATAGTAAAGTCGCTGAAGGTCTCAGAATCCTCTTCTGAATCGCCCCGACGCTTGCCCGGAGGTGCTTCGCCACCTGCTGCAGCACCTTGATCATAGTACTGGTCATTGTAGTATTCATCTTGATATTGGCCTTGACCTTGGCCTTGAGGATGTTCACCACCTTCGTAGTACCCTCCCTCTTGTTGATACGGATTGTTGGCATCAGCATTGTAGTAGCCTCTATAATACGCAGTCAGCTTCCAGTATCCCACATTCATCTTTAGAGCCACCTACGATTCATCGTAGTATCCTTCACCACCTTGATGTTGCTGCTGCGGCGGCTGGGCTCCATGGCCTTGCTCATAGCCACCATTATTGTCATAATATTGTTGACCTCCGTGCTCGTCCTGGTAATAAGAATCGGTATTGCCCGGTTGATGGTCGTAACCTTCGTCGTATTGACCCGCTGGCTGTGGGTGTCCCGACATGATTGCGTTCTAAATTATTTACTGCCAGATGTAATGTTAGTGTTGAGTTCCGGAGGGTTTAAACAGATCGAATGGCGGGTAAGAAGCTATCTTTTACTCCGCCCACTGTAGCTAACGTGTGATGAATGAAAGTGAATGAATTAGAAGCTCACAAATTAAAGACACATTAGAAGAGTGAATGATTCCGTTGAAGTCCTTTGAATTGAAAACGCGCCTGACAAAATGCTTCAGATCCGGTCAAAAATGATGGTCGTGTTATAAATTAAGAAAAGACAAGTGGTCCGTCTTCAGCTGGAAATCTCTCGGGAGGATGAATTGAATAAACGAGGTTACAAGAACTTTGACCTTTTTCGAAAATAAAGTTTTCTCGAGAAAGCCGAATAAGTTGTAAAGAGTGACTATTCAATTAAAGTGATATGTTGTAGATTTTGAGAAGGAAGTTGATGATCTGAAATTCTTCTTATTCGTTGCTGCTTTGGTGTTGTTGATTGATTTGTGAAGTGGTGCACAAGCAAAGTAATAAACAAGAATAGGAAAAGAAAGCCACACTGAGAAAAGGAATCTCTATTTTCGAGAGATTCTGTTTCAAAGATGTTGGTGATATTGATCTTTCCCAAGAATGAGAGATTTGGGGTGAGAAGAGAGTAAAAAAGTTGTGAAAAGGGAGGAAGAAGGATTTTTAGAGTAAAATAGAGTAACTCGTAGAGTAATAAGTGGTTAATTAATTGTATTGTCTACTATTCTAGGTTGGGTTCATAACAAATCAATTTGGGGCAACTAATGGAGGAGGGGGGGCCTGGGGAGGGGAACTGGAAAGGTTTGTTTTCGTCAAGTGTCTGTCAGTGAAATATGAATGAGCCGGATATGAATTGGGTGGGTGGATCATTAAAACAGCCAAAATAGAATAATAAAAAAACAAAATAGGAGGCTGGCTCGGCTGGGCTTCTAGTCAATCGTGGTGTGGTGGCTTCAAGCTTTCAACTGGTCCACCCAATCCATCCCATCTGATTCAAAGATAATCTTGGGGAATGAAGGGGGCGATGAAATACTTCCTTATTAGGTTTAGATAGATGTCTGTCTCTCTAGATATGATATTTTACTCCATAGATGAGTTGGATTGACTCGTCTATGAGAAAACTCAGGAGAGAGAAGGTTGATGCTGACAATTACTTGAATGTTCTAGAGTTTAAATAAGTACTAGGATCTAGGGGTAAGTATGAAGAAAGTGTGCTGCTTTCAAAGTCCGGTCCCCTTTTTTTTCTTCGATTAGAATCGATTAGAATTTCATTAAATTAGTGAATGAGCGAGTGCTAATTCGAATTCAGGGGCTCACAACAAGGCTTCTATTATTATACAGCTGCTGAACCTACGCCCACTCGTGAGTAGATTATAGAAGTTACTTTATCATGATAGTTATGTCTTTTACCCTCATCAAGTTATGTTAGTTGTTGAAACTTGAGATGGACAAACTCATGAGTTATCTTGGCACAGCATCATTACCTCTCTTGCCCCTCCCTGTCCTTGTTGTTGGACTTAGCAAGAAGAATATGGTATCTGCATTCTAATTACAGTATAATTGGAGAACCTCATCAGGTCGCCATAACCTCAACTGTCTCGATATCATCCATCATTCATCGACCAATGAGGGTAACATTAAGACTTCTTCAATCATCGAAGTCATTGACAATGATAGAAAAGGGGGATGATAAAACAGTAAATGAATGATCTGATCAATGCTGGATCCTGGGTGGGTAAGTCTACAGGGGAGAAAGGCGGTGCAATAATCATGCAATGCATGAATACTTTGCAAATAGCCCAGGATATCTGACCGCTTTGATTTGTTCGTCCACCGGAAACTTGAAAGACCTGAAGCTATCGACGGGGAATTGTTACTTATTCCCTCAGGGGATGTGTGATCTATACTAGGTAGTGCTGCTTCAAGTGTTTGATATCTTGAAAATCGTTCTGGGTCTATAAATTATCTCCAAAAGCAGCATTCAATCAGTTGAATTACATAGAGACAAGACAGTAAAGGGATTTCCATACTATTGCATTTGAAACCCGATGTCCTTCGAGGATTTTATTCAAGTCGCGGAACTTCTCAAGTATACGGTACAAGCATGGTAAGTTGGTAACTAATATGTAGCTATTTGGGCACTATTCCTTTTCTTTTACTTTCCCATACACCAGTAATGGAAGTTAAAACGAAGAGACGGGTTGGAAAACCCGATCAAGCTAGTTTTTTCTTGAATTCGTACCTGTCCTAAAATAGATCAAAGGCATGTTCCAAGTTTTGGTGGCGACTCGCATGAGCCATGAATGTATGTGGATTATTATTGGATAATGATTTGTCCGAAGATTGGTTAGTTACATGCATACTCGAGTGATAGAAGTACGATACTGATAGGTAAGGTAATACCATGGAGAGCCGACTACGGTACTTGAGTATTAGAATTGATATTAGAAACGATCGATAGGAAATGCTGCAGAACCAAAGTTTACAACCAATGACCTTTCAATAACTATCTCCCATTCTCTATCAAAAACGCATATGCCCTTTTGTATCAGATGCCGCAAAGTACTTTAAAGCAGTGCACCAAAACGTGCTTCGAGAATACAACAGTACTGTACATACCTATGGCTGACGGACGGAGGGCTGGCGGAGGTTTCGTGGAGATCAGTGTGAATCCTTCATATGAAAAGGTTCTTCTCTGATGGATTCTGTAGCAGTTGATCATCAAGAAAATTCCTAGATGACCTATAACATTCATCTTGCTGCTTGCTACACATCAATTTGAATGGGAGGAGTAACATCGCCGCAATATAAACTATGTGAATACAAGCTCTCTACAACTGTTGTACATATAAATACCTGCAATAATCACACAAGTCTAAAGACTTCATTCAGCCTACCACTCATGTGGACTCAAGTACCGGTATCTGTTAACAAGTCTACACTCAGAGATCAATATAAGTCTTTCATATAAGAAGTATCGACATATCTATTATTGTGATTTTTTTTTAATTTCATTTCTATACAGATAGATTATTACACGTTTTCTACCTGCGTACTTCAAATCTCAATTTCTCACAGGTCGAATCTCGATCCATATCGGTACGTACCGGTATAGAATGAGCGAGCCATCACTCCTTAATATTGCCGGGGCTGTGCTTCGAGAAGCCATTCAAATTAGGATCGACCAATATCCCAGACAACACCGCTGTAATGTTTTAAAAGGTTGATACCAGTATTCAGACAACTTAAGAATCCCTTGTACGAGTAATAGGTAGACTGAGTCCAAAACAAAAAATCGTTTTGTAAAGGGCCATACAGTACTATATAACTTTACCTAGTCACTCATACACAAATCTCTAGAGTCTGGAATGATAGAGTCGTGGTTACGAAAATGATTATGAATTTATAAACTACGAATTATAATTAGTAAATAATTCGAAATTTACGAAATTCCAACAAAATCTTGTGATTCTATTGGATCATCTAGTTTCTCACAGACCCAATCTTAGTATCATCATCTATCCCCACCCCGAATAATGACCATTGATTGAAACCCATTTTCCCGTATCCCGCATCCCCTAAATTATTATAATTCCTCAATTCAAATCTCTTTACTACACTTAATGCGACTGTATTAATCCTATCACTCACTCCATACTTCTCGTCATTCATTATTCATTTGCCATTTGACATTTTGCCATTTGCCGTTTGCCATTTGCCATTTCCATTTTCCATCTTCCATCTTCCTCGAGCAGAACCAACCTTTTAAACAAACAAACATTCGTTAAATCTCATTTTTATTTATTTATTAAACAGTATATCTGCTGTGCAGTCGCTGCCAGAAAAGAGAGTTTACATCATCAACACACGCTCGTTCTTCCCTATCCTAAATCTCACTTGAGACGGAATTCATTAGCTAGCAAGTTGTATGGAACTGGACGTTTAAGAATTCATCTCATCAAAACAACTTCTCATTCTTCTATCGACAGCAGAGTCAACATCATAATATAAACACATTGGTATTCCAGTTAGCATCATGAAGACCTTTGGCTTTGCTTCAGCAGCTGCTGCGGCATTGACCGGCGCCTTTTTCGCGTCGTCTGCTGCCGCTGCTGATCTCCCTCCTATTGTCATTAAGGTACGCCATGGATCGTTCCATCCGACATAGTTAAAAGTTACTTCAAATACTCATACATAGACCAGGGCTCCCATTTCTTCTACGAAAACGGTACCGAATTCTTCATTCGTGGTGTAGCATATCAACAGGACGTTAACTCCAACACAACTTCCGGCGCTACTTTCACCGATCCTCTTGCAGACGAGGCTGGCTGCACGCGTGATGTTCCCCTTCTTCAAGAACTTGGCACCAACGTCATTCGTGTTTACGCTATCAATGCTTCGCTGGACCACTCCGCTTGTATGAGCCTTCTCAACGATGCTGGAATCTATCTTATCCAGGATTTGTCTAACCCTTCATCTTCTATCAACCGAAACGACCCAGAATGGAACACTGAACTCTTTGCCGGATATGCCGCTGTTGTCGAGTATGTATATCTTATACCTGTTGGCTACTAATTCTATCTTGTCCTTCCTCCCGGACTTTGTCACGGCTGTCGAAGCAAGAATTCTTTCGAGTATTGCTATGGATTCTGTATACTAACATTTACGTCTTCCAGTGCCATGGCTGGTTACACCAATGTCCTCGGTTTTTTTGCAGGCAACGAAGTTTCCAACGATGTCAACAACACTAACGCCAGCGCTTTCGTCAAAGCTGCCGTCCGTGATGTCAAGGCTTATATTAAGACTAAGGACTACCGCACTATTGGTGTTGGTTATGCTACCAACGATGATGCCAATATCCGAATTGACTTGGCGCACTACTTCAACTGTGGTGATGCTGATTCTGCTATCGACTTCTGGGGTTACAATATCTACTCATGGTGCGGTGATTCTTCCTACACTGAATCAGGATATGATCAGCGAACGCTTGAATTCGCCAATTATTCTGTGCCCGCATTCTTCGCGGAATACGGTTGCAACACTCCATCGCCACGTAAATTCACCGAAGTCGGGGCAATCTATGGCGACAAAATGACTGATGTCTGGTCCGGTGGAATTGTCTACATGTACTTCCAAGAGGCGAACGATTATGGTGAGGCATACCCTTTCATTTCTTTGAAACCAAGATCTAACAAACTTCTAGGTCTCGTATCTGTTTCAGGAACATCTGTCAGCAAGCTCGCCGATTTCACTGCCCTTTCGAAGCAATTGGCGTCTGCCACTCCTAGCTCCACCAACTCTGCCTCCTATTCTGTTACCAACACAGTAGCACAAGCATGCCCGGCAACCGGTACTGCTTGGGCTGCAGCCAGCAATCTTCCCCCTATCGCAAACGCAGATCTCTGCGAATGTATGGTTAAGTCGTTAACCTGCGTCGCCGGCAGCGGTATTTCTGGAGACTCCAGTGCTGACCTCTTCGACTACGTTTGTGGTTTGGACAGCGCTGCCTGTGATGGTATCGGAAAGAATGCTACAACCGGAGTTTACGGTGCCTACTCCATGTGCACAAGCTCTCAACAATTGTCTTTCGTTTTTGACCAATATTATCAAAACCAAAATAAGTTAGCCACTGCCTGTGACTTCAGCGGCAGCGCCAAAATCCAAAATGGCGCAACGAGCTCAACATGCTCAAGTCTCATAAGCCAAGCCGGAACTGCCGGAACTGGAACTGTCACCAGTGCACCAACTGGTACTGGATCTTCTAGCAGCTCATCAGGTTCATCCACCTCAACCAAAAAGAGTGCTGCAGGTGCTACTATCATCCCACATTTCGACTTGGGATTGTTGCAGCTAGGAGCCTACCTCGTGGTTGCTGGAATGGCAGGTGCAGGTATGATCATGTTGTAGATGATACTATTGACATTATCAGCGGCGACTTTTTCGCTGCTTTTGGATGGGGGCATCTTTTACTTGAGAAATTGATCGGGCAGTAATCTGTCATTCATTCCCTTATCGTCATGGTATCTTGCTTTGAGCGTCATTTGATTCTTCTTCTCTTGACGCCCCATGGCGCCAACTGAAGATCTCAATTTGTATATTAAATGCTAGAATGGAGAGACATTTGGGATGTTGAAAATAAGAAAAGTCCCATTGTATATATATCACTGGTGATATACAATTCTCATAAATTAACAATCATGAAAAGCTCTTATTGATCATGATCTTTTTATTCATCCTTTGTAGAATTCGGCCTAATTATCTAGGCATGTATTATTATATTATTATTAATACAGTGCATACCTTTTATCTGCAGTTATCTAAGCGAAAACTAGCTTACGACTCTCATGACAAGCCCGAATTGGTGTATTTTTCTTTGTAGATAACAAACGTCTTCAAAAGGGCAATCAATCCGTTGAGCCTCTTTTTGCGTCCTATACAATTTCGGAATTAAGTTGCTGATTAGGTTTTCAAGTCATCTATCAAATTTATCAATTGGGTAAGTAAAGGCTGGAGTTTTGGAGAGTCTTAGATAGTGTGCCGTAGTGGGTAAAGGAACAAAACAAACGAAATGGCGGATATAGCAGCGGAATTGGAGGAAGGAGGATTCAAGAGAACCTTGAAAGATTTATTTGCTGGAGCTGCTGGGGGTGTTGCTCAGGTTTTATTGGGTGAGTGAGTGAGTGAGTGAGATTATTGGGATTTGGTTGGGGTGAATCACGTGTGGGATTGTCTTCGAGTGATGACATTGGTATATTCGGTTACTGTATACGTTTGATTGGAAGAGAGGATATTTATGGGTTTTAAGTCGGGATCCTCCCTCCCACTCATTCATATGACGGGGACAACACAACATGCACTGCGTAAGAAGACGATCTAACATCTCCCCCAGGTCAACCCTTCGACATAGTCAAAGTTCGTCTCCAAACCACTACACAATACGCAAATGCTCTTGAAGCGGCTCAAACTATCTACCGCAACGAAGGTGCCTTCGCCTTCTACAAAGGTACTCTTACACCTTTAATCGGTATCGGAGCCTGTGTTTCCGTCCAATTTGGAGCATTTCACCAAGCCCGTCGTTACCTCGAATCCTATAACACATCTCGCAACCCCCTCTTTCCAGGTCTTTCCTACGCACAATACTATGCCGCAGGTGCCTTTGCCGGTATCGCCAATTCTGGTATCTCTGGTCCTATAGAACACGTGAGAATCAGGTTACAGACGCAACCTCACGGTGCAGGAAGACTCTACAATGGACCCGTGGATTGTGTTCGGAAATTGTCTGCTCACGAAGGCGTTCTCAAAGGTCTTTATCGCGGTGAAGCCGTTACCATTATCCGAGAAGCTCAGGCTTATGGTGTATGGTTCCTTTCTTTCGAATACATGATGAACAGTGACGCTGCCCGCAACAAAATCGAACGGAAAGATATTTCGAGCTGGAAAATCGCACTTTATGGAGGTCTAGCCGGAGAAGCATTGTGGCTAGCTAGTTACCCATTTGATGTTGTGAAGAGCAAGATGCAGAGCGATGGATTTGGTGAGAAGATGAAGTACAATGGAATGAGAGACTGTTTTGCGAAGACATGGAGAGCGGAGGGAGCAAGAGGGTTCTGGAAGGGCATTTTCCCAACACTGTTGAGGGCTATGCCGGTCAGTGCGGGGACGTTTGCGGTGGTGGAGATGACTATGAGAGCGATTTCTTAGATGATCTATAGTGGGGGGATGGAGACAGTTCATGTTTTGAATGAAATGATGAGATGATGAAAATGACGATGCGAGGCATTTTTATTTGAGCTCTTTTCGACAAAAGCGAGAGCGCGAGCGCGACATTGGCATTGGCATTAGTATTGGTATTGGATCCTTGTATGAAATAGAAATAGAGCTTTACATAAAGACTTCTTATTAAACGGCCTTATTCAACAAGTGTCCCTCAAATCATACATAGTTCAATTGGGTGAGGATTGAATAGAAATGCAAAATCCAACCAAGCACGCTCATGTTTACAACCTTCAAGATCCCAACATGTGACTTCGAATTTTTGCGCTTTCCTTTACAGAGTTCAGCAAATGATCCATCTATGTTCTAGATGTACTTTCGGTGGGCTCCTTCTATGGTCGCACATCAGCTCCTGGTGAGCTTTAGACCTGCTTCAAAATCCCCGATGACATTTCTTTTCATATATTTCTCCCCGTGAGCTCTTGCTCCTCCCGTACTGAATCGCTTCATCAACATCAGCCTTAACTTCGGTCTTTCAAGCAGTACAAGTGGCCTAAGGAGTTACAGAAAATCGCCTAGCTTTGGTAAGTTAAATTCGCTATATTCTCAAGTGATGTTGATTCCATCAAGCTGCTCGCCATCACCTCATATTCTACGATACCATGAAATCAGATATACATTCACCCACATCAAATAGTGGTTACAAGAGGCAGTAGTCTCTGACAAGAGAGTGAAGAATGGGGGTTCAATTAGAGCAGGTGGATATATGGGAAGAATAGATTGCGAATGTGAGGATTAAGGCAGCTCAGGGGAGTAGAAGGTAGACGTAGCCAGAACTTAAACCATCGTTGAACGATCCTTCGTCTGCTTATAGAGATACCCCTTGACGAATAGAAACGCCATTCATTATAAATCGAACTTTGTAACAATCAATAGTGAAGATCACAGAACCGTTCCACAAGTTATGAGATATCCAATATTTCAGATCCAGAATGTGAAATCGTGCACGTCTGTAGAGGACCAATTCCTTTGCTTGAAGTAAGGTCTGAAATGATAATTCCGTATTGTATACACATGGCTCTGATATCAACGCATCATCTCCATACTAATTCTACATGCCTAAGTTTCGCCCCATCAAAATCATAAACACCACCTCAACCAAATTCGGTGACCGCATGACTTTCCCGCAAAACTCCGAATATATCTCCTTTGATAGAATCCAGAGCAAACCCAAATTACAAAACCATAATATCACGAATGGAAAGTTTATAGTATACGAAGAATTGCTAGTCAACCTCCCAGCTCTCGCCTGGTGTCGTGTTATCTCTAGATTGTGAGGAGCTTATCCTTCGTCGTGAAGGTGTGGGTGTGAGGCTAAATCCAAAATCGTCCTCAGTCCAGCTTCCACCGCGATATTCTTCTTCAGTAAAATCCCAGTGGACGGCCTCCCCTTCACCAAGTAGCACGCCCCTCCATTCTCCTGCGGCGATTTTGGATGCGATATTGATCATCATGTGGAGTAGGTGGCTTGGAGGACTGAGAAGAATTTCACATGTCTTTTGAATGATTGCTGTTGGGAGATGTCGGGCGGTTTGTAGTCGTCGTGACCGTGGTGGGGAAAACAGATTCATTGCTGCAGGAAGAGGTGATAATGATCTTCTTCCTGAATTGCTACTTGTAGTACCGCGATGTCTCAGTCTTGGGGGTGAAGGAGTGATGATCTCGGAGGTATCATCTTCGGACCTTTCACCATCGTTGATTAAAGTAGGTGTTTTGGGAGTGGGTGATAAACATCGAGGAGATACACTATTAGGTGATGGTGTGTGCCATGCTGCGTGTATCTCGGGGGTTATAGTGAGCTGTGAGAGTGCTTGCGTAGAGTGTACTTGCTTTGGCAGTACAATATTATCGTGGGGATAGGGAAATGTGGCAGGTGATGGTGGACCTGACAGAGGTGGTGATAGCGGCGCATCAAGTGGAGATTGCCATGATTGTGTGGAGTGAAACGACTCAACGCTTGATGAAAGCTCTGAATCGGGGTCGCCAACCGCAGTTTTCCTTACAGGAGATATATTTCGTCGCTTTGAAGGTGGACTGGCTATAAGATAGAGCACAGGAGGTGCAGTGATCGATCGAGTGCAGTAATGTAAGGCTTGTGGCCGATTTTTCGATTCAGGAGGCAATTGCGGATATGATGGTTGAATGGGACGCTTTTGCGCATCATCGTCCGTCGCATCGCTGTTATCACCTTCATCAAATTTTATATGGGACACGACAGGATTTTTAAGTTCTGATGGGGATGAAGCATGTTCAGTTGGATGAGGTTCGGCCCAATGAGCTCGAGGTGGATAAATCGGAGATTGTAAGGTCAGACTCGTTGATTTGGCTGAAGATGTTTCTGGCGTTTCTTGGAATTGCAAGTCTGATATGCATGTCGCCGTGGGGCTAGACGCGGATTGATGCGATTCAGGAGTTTGAGGTAGAGAAGAAGAGCGGATTTCTGTGCATGAGAGCTTTGGCGAGCTGGAGGTTAACGAGATCAACGAGGTCGACTTTGAAGCAATTGGATAAAGATCACCCCTAGGTAAAGGTATCTTAGATGATGATCTTTGTACTGGCCTCCACGGCTTTTGAGGTATTTGCGGAGCAATCGGAAGATCAACCGAAAAGGTTCTTTGAAACGGGCAAGGAGTCTTCTCATATAATAACACTTGCGCCAATATCCTCTTGAACTCTTCTGCTTGTTCGACTTCTTCGGAGGTTGTATTTGCTATCTCGATTCGCCAATACTCCTGCAACTTCCGTACCTGCAATACAAATTTGCTAGATCCCTCGTCCGAAATAAACCAACATTGACTTCGAGGTAATATTGGCTTCAAAGCTTTCTGACAATTGAAGAATGCGACCGATTCGGGGGCCCTATAGATGCACAAAGTGCCTGCAACTTCCACATCAGCATGAGTATTCTTTGCTAGGGCAAATCCATAAGTGCCATGAAGCGCATACCAACGGCGATTGTCCTTTCCACCGGTGACGACCATCTCAAGGAAGAACCTATCTCCGTATCCTCCTCCGCAGATCCATTACTCGAGCTCGGTCTCGATGAACCAGATAATAGAGTTGAAAAGGATACGATGCGGGCTCCGTCAACACTGTAGAGTATCTCGATTTGGGGATCGGGACCTGATGATAGTCGACCAGAAACAGACACTGCGCGTGTCACGGAGGAAGTAGAAGTCATTGGCAATGTCAAGCCAGATGATTACTTCTTATATTTTCTGTCTGGTGACCATGATGCTCTCGTATATTACGCAATGGGTGATAAGCTACTGATGACCGTAAACGAATGCGAATGTGAGGTTTGTGATTTATTTTTATGTACTATGCAACCTACCTGTCGCGGCTGAGTCCTACAGGTTTCGAAACAGTAATAGGTTTCCAATTGCTTACTGTTTTGTATTCTCAAAGGCAGCCTCTTGTCGTTTCGCTTTTTCGATTTGAATTCTAAAAATGAATTGTTTTATTGAGTAGTAGGATTAAATAAATATGTGTACTGTACTCGTAGATCATTTCATCTCCCTCTTATGGGACAATATAAGAGACTATTGATTCTGGTGATTGTCTGGGAGTTGGCCATAAAGCAAGGTTTATGCTTCGGATAATATATACTCCGCTCCGCGCAAGGTAGATTGTATATCTACCTAGTATGTACTAGGTAGGTATTCTTCAACTCAATGTTCCAAATTAATTTCCAATGGTAGGTACCGTTACTGTAGTCAGTTATAATGGCCTCATTGGCAATGTAGAACACTGATGATAATGACTTTGAATGAGTAAAAAGTAAATTTAATTGTTTTTCCTCAGTTATTAGTGAGGGGTTGAATGATGACGTTGCATGCTGTGTATATGTGCGTGTGGCTTTCTTTCATCTGAGATTATATACAAAACTATTTCCACTCGTATATATACATGTACTCGAGTATACCATCGGCCACTCAAATATGGCCAAAATCGAATCCAAAAGGCTAAATAAGCCACTCGCAAATAGTGATGATTTGATGGAAAAGCTATCTATCGACCATTTCGATTTAAACGCCATTCTGCGAGGAGCACAATTGACTATTGTAGGAGGTTAGTTCTGCATGACAACAACAACCACAGCGACATGTCAAAGACCTGAGGTACTAACTGACTCACAGCTCTGAGAGCTCTACGGAATCCCCAATTATTTACCTCGAAACATTATAAGCAGGCTGCCCTCGCGGTCTTAGCAGGTGTCATAATTCGACTAGCCATAGAGATCCCCGTACGATTTCTCACCATACTCCTTTCTACACTTCACGGTTGCTAACGTGTAGCAGATTTTCGGGGTAAAGGTCTTTCTATGGTTTGTGTCGTTTGTTGTCGACCTAGGGGCGTCCACCTTCGATGACAAGGTGGTTGAGGGCCTAGATCTCATCCAGAATCATGTTCTACAAGTTCCTTTCTTTCTCATGAGCATACTGAGTCGAGTTACTCCAACTCTTGACAATATGTGGGTATTTCTATGCCAACTCATTGCCTTTATGTAGTCTATATCTTCATACTAATGGCTACAGGTTCATGATGAGCCTTGCATTCGTCGACGAAACCTATTACGAGAAACATAAAGGGGAAGATCGCTCTACCTTACGAAATGAATATTATCCAAACCTACGACGATATCCCAAGAAAGATGGCACAACACATAAAACAAGCACAGCCGAGAACATGTCCCTATTTTTAATGAAGTTTGGAAAGAAGGCAGGACTCTCTTTAGCGGTTTATGCTCTATCTTATGTTCCGATACTTGGACGATTCGTCCTTCCGGCAGCGAGTTTTTACACATTCAATAAGTATGGGCATCGACTGGAACAAGAGGCGCAGTGTACTGACAGTCATTAGGGCAGCAGGACTTGGTCCCGGCCTGATAGTGTTTGGTACGGGTATATTTTTGCCTCGTAAGTATCTTGTAATATTTCTACAAAGTTATTTCTCATCACGAAGCTTGATGCGAGAATTGGTGAGTTTTCGGAATTTGGTCGTATTGTGACTTTTAGCTGACTGATATAGCTTGAGCCATACTTCGCTCGTATAAAATTCACCAAAGAGCAAAAGAAAAATTGGTTTCATGATCGAGAGGGACTTCTGTTCGGGTTTGGTATTGGGTTCTATATACTTCTTCGAATCCCTCTCCTTGGTGTACTTGTGTATGGCATTGCAGAAGCATCGACAGCATATCTCATCACCAAAATTACCGACCCGCCTCCACCTGTTGGACAAGAAGATAGCTTTGCTGCCAGCCAGCAAAAGTGGAAGAATAAGCATGAATTCTTGAACCTCAAACTCGACCAACTAGATGCTCTTAATACTCCCAGCACGAAGGTAGTCTCACAGGGCGTTTCAGACGAGAAAGCATCATCGTCTGCCACAGAAGTACCATCACAATATAGTGAGCTGATTTCAAGGTAATAAATGGTTTCGGCAGAGAGCATATAGTCAAGTTGGACAACACAGGATATCATCCCAGTGATCTGAGCAATTTGATGTACAGGGCATCTGTAAATATGATCCGGTCTGGAATAGATGGAGGAAGTACTATGAGCATCTCATATAAAGCCATACATAATCGTCGGGCAGTTTTTGAGGTCTACCTCCAACGCCAATTTGCCTTCATACCCACCTACTCGAGAACCTCAGAGTAACTCTGAATGTGCATCATAGTTTGTTTACTCGAATAGAATGTTGTTAATAATAAAAGGTGCACTGGATCTAGATGTATGAACTCTTTGATATTGGTTAATTAAATGACATGATTCCTCCATCTCTTCTCGAATCTCTCAACGCTGTACTCCGTACATCGGCACATATTTGGAAGTCAATGAACCCCGCATTTTGTTCCCCTCCCCCACTCCCTCCCTTCCTCCCTTGTATTGAAGTTGTAGGTTGATCTGCATGATTGATTGATTGATTGGTTGGTTGGTTGGTTGGCTGGTTGATGATAAGAACTTCCCGAACATACCTTCCTTATCATTTCTTACGTCTACTCTTTGATCACATATCAAGAGGAGATAGATATACTAGGTGTACAGTACAAACCATCTCCGGTGGAGTTTCGAAAACGTAAAGTTAATTATTTCTCTCAATTCCTTTCTTCACTTTGACAACAACATCTTCAACTCTCATTTCACTTCTCTCAACACACATTATTGTGATCACAATCGGTAATCTAGTTTATTTTACTTACTGTAGTAAAAACTCAGTAGAATACAATGGGTCGATCAGCGATTCGCAATATCTGCAAAGTCTCACTCGATGAGCCTGCAGAAAGTCAGCCAAAACTTCACAACAGATGGCACCCGGACATTCCATTCGCAGACACCATTAAGAACGGCGAAACTGTCAAGATAGAATGTGTAAGTGTTACACAAACCGCCGTGACTTCTCACAAACAATGGCTGACCACGTAACTCAAGGTTGATTGGACTGGAGGTCAAATCAGTACGTCCTCTACTCATATCGTTCAGTCTTGTGTTTACTCATTACCGCCCAGAAAACGATGACAGTGCGGATGATGTGAAAAATGTCGATTTGACAAAGATCCACTACTTATCTGGACCATTCGAAATCGAGACAGCCGAGCCAGGAGATGTGTTAATTGTTGAGATTATGGATGTGCAGCCGCATCAGGAGCATCCGTGGGGTTTGTAAGTTTCTCAAAATCAAATTCTGAGTATGAATTATTATGCTGATGACATGCAGTACAGGTAAGGCGATGAACAGGCTAAGCAGGCTCAGTAGACTTGATATTAATTTTTACTGCTCAGGTGTCTTCGCTAAAGAAAATGGAGGTGGTTTTCTGGATGAAATTTACCCAACGGCGTATGTGTCTCTTTGATTTGTGTTTGGGTACTCGGGAGCTGATGAGTGGTGATAAAGAGCTAAAGCTATCTGGGATTTTGAGGGGATTTACTGTACTTCACGACATATCCCACATGTCAAATTTCCTGGTTTGATACACCCGGGAATTCTCGGCTGCGCACCATCCACTGAGGTAAGTCTTTAAATCATCAATCAGTCTTGCTCTTTTCTGTGCCAAGCCACTTTAGCAAAAGATTATCGGGGGTATTATCCAATAGTCTGGAATGCATTCTGACACCAAGAGGTTCTTGATTCTCAACTCCAGTTCATATACTGGATTTACTTGGGATTATATTGAACTCACTCAGATTGTCAAGCTTTACTCAAAGATTTGTCACTTCTTAAATATAGAGGGTTTCGAATCTGGACTGCAGTTCGGACTATTGGACACGCTGACCGAATCATCACCCAATTCATCCGTCCTTTTGACATGTACTGAATTCGATGCCTCATTTTAGATTCTGGCCACTTGGAACAAACGTGAGGGGGAACTGATTGCTGCGAACAAGCTGGACAGAATTGTTGCCCAACCACCAAATCCTCTAAATGTACATGCAGGTTCGGCTTCCGAGGACATCAAAGCAAAGGTTGGTCGCGAAGGTGCAAGGACAATCCCAGGTATTATCATCACGCATTGTCTTAACAATATCTGATGTCTTTCAGGTCGGCCTGAACATGGTGGAAACTGCGACATCAAGAATCTTAGCAGAGGAAGCAAAGTAAGAACTCCGATCAGGGGGTGTCTTTAGGCGAAGACTAACAACATGATTAGGTGTACCTCCCAGTACACGTTAAAGGGGCCAAATTTTCTGTTGGAGATCTCCATTTCTCCCGTGAGTCATCATTTTGCTGTCAATTCGGGATCCAAATGTTAATATAAGAATTAGAGGGTGACGGTGAAATCTCGTTCTGCGGTGCCATCGAGATGTCCGGTGTCATTACCATCAACTTCAAAGTAATGAAAAATGGTATCGCTGATCTTGGCATGAAGTCACCTCTTTATATACCTGGTCCAGTCGAACCACATTATGGACCAGGAAGATATCTTACCTTTGAAGGATTTAGTGTGGACCATCATGGCAAACAGGTACGTATTATACCACATCGATCTCAATCATGTGAGATGCTAATGAAGTACGAAAGCATTACATGGACGTCACTGTGGCCTATCGTGAGACCACATTGCGTTGCATTGAGTACCTTCACCGTTTCGGATACTCTGACTACCAGATATATCTTCTCTTATCTTGTGCTCCAGTTCAAGGTCACATTGCTGGAATAGTGGACATCCCAAATGGTAAGCCGAATCTACCATCTCAATCACGAATTCGAAACTAACAATCTGGAACTAGCATGCACGACTCTTGGCCTGCCAATGGATATCTTTGACTTTGATATTTCTCCTTCGGGTCCTGCAAAGAAAATGGATATGGGTAGCTGTGCCTTTGAGACCGGTGTCACCAAGGGCAAGGTTACGCAGGGTGGCGAGAACAGCGAACACAGCTGGGGCGGAGGTCTAACATTCAAGGAATAGAGAGACAAGACTGTGATCGGACGCTTTACATGACATTTAGGTGCGAGGAAATAGCTTAGCCGTGATTTCCCTTTTTGCTACTAGGTATGCACTAATGAGTCACCAATTAATCACTTCCATACAAGTGGTGTTGATTTTTTTGATTCCCTGTGTCTCTCAGCTTTGCTTCCCATTCTTGAACCCAACTACACAGCTAACGTTTTGAAATTTCAATATCTATCCCCTATCGCTTGACAATTGATCTAGAGATATATGCATTTCTTCACAAGTCGATGATTTACCACCTGAGTATTCTTCTGTACCTCAGTATCATACCGTAATCTAAGAATGTCATTCTCCCCTTGTCGTAGTTTACAACATCGGTTTTAGATCATGTGCGACAGTAAATGGGGCATCTGTCTTGCTCTTAATCTCCTCCACTGTTACTCCATCTGCGATTTCGATCAGGGTAAGACCCTTTGTGAAGTCAACGTCAAATACACCCTATAGTATTGTCAATATTGTTTGTTCCTAGCCACCCAATCATTCAACTGGTGTAACATGCTCTTATCGAGGCGGAAATAATCGACTCACCAATTCGGTAATAATCCTCGAAACGCAAGCTTTACCTGTCAGAGGAAATTCACACTGCTTCAAGATCTTGGCGTTCCCTTTCTTATCACAGTGCTCCATTGTTACCACAACCTTCGTCATTGAAGGGTTGCTGACCAAGTCCATGGCCCCTCCGAAGCCCTTTATCTTTCCGGGTAACATCCAATTTGCAAGATCACCATTTCCACTTACTTGCATGGCTCCCAAGATGGTCAAGTTCACTCGTCCCGATCGAATCATGCCAAAACTCTCCTCACTACCAAAAACTGCGGCACCAGGATTCAATGTCACGGTCTCTTTGCCAGCATTAATGAGATCTGCATCCTCAAACCCCTTTTGAGGGTAAGAACCCAACCCCAGAATGCCATTCTCTGATTGTAGCTGCACCTCAACTTCTGGACCCACGAAAGATGGCGCGAGCATTGGCATTCCTATGCCTAGATTGGCATACATCCCATTTTTGAATTCTTTTGCGGCACGCCTGACGATTATTTCTCTCTTGGTAGCGGTCTCGCCGCTACCCAAGGCGCTCCTTGCCGCTGGGTCATTTGTCTCTTTTGCAAAGGTAAATTTCTCAATCTTCTTAGGCGTCGTGGACTGAATAACTCTCTTGACATAAATACCAGGTAGATGTACTGCCTCCGGTGGAATCGCCCCAGGCTCGACTATATTCTCTGCCTCCACGATTGTCATCTTGGCGTTTCGTCCCATGGCACCATTAAAGTTATTCGCTGCCAATCTGAATTGACAATTTCCAAGCTTGTCTGCTTTCCACGCCTTCACGAACGCGTAGTCACCTCGAATACTCTCTTCCAGAAGATACGGTTTACCATGAAAGACTTTCACGTCCTTTGGATAAGACAATTCCTTGGGTGTGCCATCGGGATTATTACGAATTGGTAGCTCGCCAGTTTGTACAACTGTTCCATACGCTGCAGGCGTATAAAAAGCGGGTATACCTCTACCACCCGAAGCACATCGCTCTGCCAAAGTTCCTTGTGGTGTTAATTCCAACTCCACTTCTCCAGTTAGGTACATTCTCTCAAAAGTTTTGTTCTCCCCGATATAACTCGCAATCATTTTCTTGATCTGCTTTGTCTTCAACAATTTCCCGAGACCTGATTCATCTGTTCCGGCGTTGTTAGAAACCGCTGTAAGACCTTTGAGCTCTGGTTTGTTGATAACCTCATCGATGAGGGTATCTGGGACACCACAGAGACCGAACCCTCCACATAACACTATGCTATTTGATTCCATGTCTTTGAGGGCCTCGGAGGCTGAAGGAAAGACTTTATTGATTTCATTGCGACGGGGGGTCGATGCAAATGTGCGAGCGAGTAATATTGTTTGCTAGAGACTTTATTAGAGAGATGCATGAACCTTAGATGACAATGAATTACCTTTCTACTACTTCTGGTATAGGCTCTCGCCGTTTGTAAACATAGACTAGTAGACATTTTTGTGTAATGGAAATCTGGCGAGCTGATGAACTAAACAGTGGTATAGTATAAATGATATGTTGTATCCCCTGGATACAATGTTTTTACCGTATCAAGGGAAGCAAATGAGAGAGCGTCAATAAGGACAGCAACGAATTCACTGTAGCGATTCAATCAATTCATGAAGCCGGAAAAAAAGAAAAAGATAAATGGCATTTGTGATAATGCGGAGGGAGTACCGGTAGTGTCATCAGTAAATCCGGGGTCCGGGTAAAATCATAACCTCTGGAAACCGAAGGGAGGGGCCGCTCACGCTGGGCGGAAGTTCTGTAAGGTTAAGGTTAAGGTTAAATCCGTCGGAACAATTCCGTCAATTCTGTACTAACCCACTAATCTTGATTTAACCTTAACCTCACTTGTATGCACCGAAACGTTTGGTCGATCTAACTATAATTGTAGAGAAGAGAAGAACAAGGTGATGAGAGTGATTCCATCGATTTGCATCGTCCATTTAATGATTATCTGCAGCGTCGTTCGAATATTGAGTAGGGGTCGCTGAAAGACACACGGGAACGTGACTCGAGATGAAATTATCTCTCTCTTCAGACTTTGGAGCTCTTCCGTGTTGATTATTTCAGTTAATGTCGGTACAGAAATTGGTTGAGGGTGTATGATCTATTGCCGGATCAGATCTTCTACTCACTTTTCGATGAGCTTTTCAATTTCATCAATAGCAAAATTCGCAGGGTTGACTGTACGAGGATTCTCCAAGGCTATACAAATAAGGGAGCATATTGTCTCCCCCCTCCTCCCCAGAATATATCACCGAGCCTCCTCAAGCCAATAGAAGGACATTATCGAGAGTTTCGAAGTGATTCAGATCTTGGCTGATGTACGGTCATCACATGTCCTTCCATGTAACTTGGCTACACATATCAGCCTTATTGATGGCTTTCTTGTTTCACAAGCTTCATCACACCTCTAGATGAAATAGAATCATTTATTTTTATTGCTTGCTTCCAAATCAATATCAAAACAATGGAAAAAGCAAAGCCACATACAGAAAATCACACGACTAGCTAAATACCTTCCAGGGCAACATGTCGAGCCTCCGCCAAAGGGACAATGACAAGTACTACTAAAGATTTGTGGATTTATCCAGGAAATGTCTTGGGTCGAATACTGTAGTGTTTTCACCAACCACCTGATTGTCAAGATGTATCTGTCAGAGTGGCATCAAAAGTCTCCTACCAGGACAAAGTACTTTACTGTACCACCATTGTTACTTCATCTAGACTTCATGTGCATCAATTTAAAAGGTTGTACTGCTGACAATTTCTTCGTAGAAAAGATCAAATGGGGCATTGGTCCAGAAAATGCGGCATATTACTGATCTCACCCTAGGGCTAGAATGTTAGTTTGGTCTCTACAATGATTGCATCCAACTCAATATCGGCCTTGAAGAAGATGAACAAAGCACCAGAGCGTCCTGTGAGCATTCGAGTTGTTTCTATCAATGAAGTATCAGCTCTAACTATCAAATTATCACAGATTAAGGGAAAGAGGGGTTTTTCACGGGTGGTATAAAAGAGAAGGCATCAGTGAAGTCGACGATTTCTCTAGACACCCAGGCTCTTCATTCCATTATCTATTTCATGAATCAACCAAATGGCAGCATCTCTTTCGATTGCTGGTAATGCAAGATACTTTTCAAACGCGGCTTCCCCTTTTGCCTTGGCACCGTACATATTCTTAGCGATGACATTGGGGTACTTGAGTGGTAACTTCCAGCTCTCTATGTCAAATATGAGGAAGTTCTTCAGTAGGTCCGGGAAAATCCTATGCAGCGCATAGCCAAAAAATGCGTTCAACACTTTCTCCCCACCCTCTCCATCTCTGGATTATTTCATATCACCAGATAGCGTATCCCAGGTCAAAGAACTTTTGATATTGTCCAGGAGAGCCGACTCGAGTTTACAGCAATTTTTTCACCAGAATGGATTTGTAGCTTGAAAATTTCATGAATAATGTCGATCCAGTATTTATCGTGTGGCCGGCTGCGCTCATGCATCTTCTCAAATGTTCAAAAAGGTAGGAGACGTTACTTCGAAATCAGTAAAAATTTCCTTGATTATGGTATGATAATCGAATGCTTTCGTGTTTTCTGTAAATCGCGGATACATCGTCGGCAGAGGTTGCAATACAGAGCTCCTTGTCCATGACCGTGATGATGAAAGATCCCATGACGATCGCGAATGTGGTCCCCATCAACCTAATGTCAGCACCACTCATCTGCATTTCATACCTCCTGCTTTAGGGGAAGCGTCAGAAGGAGGAACTCAACTGGAGATATTTTGGGGAGTACATGCCTTATTTAAATAGTCTATGAGAGTCCATAAATATAACGAGCACATGGCTGATAACTGTTCAAATGTTAGTGCGTGTCTCCTTATGAGCCACTTTATGGCATCTCTGTTGCATGACTAGAAAATAATGAAGAAGCCGTTATGGTCCATTAGAATATACCTTTGGCGATAGAACCAATTTCTCTATCCATCAACTCAGACAGAGTGCACATCCGGTTGTCATAATATAATTCGTAATAAGGGAAGCGGCCGGGGAAAGGGGTCCGGGGAAAGGGAAGGAAGGGGCGATCTTCGGAATAGCTATCGGGGAGGACTATTTTAGCTTCAAAATCAGAATCTCAACCATTGAAATCCACGCCTGCAAAAGATGACCGATTTCCTTGTATGGAGTGACTGTAGAGCCCAGCTGCATAGCAACGAATTTGTATTTGTGGGTCTCATGAAAGGTGGAGATAAAGCATCGGTGCATGACCAAAAGGACTACTCGAGTATACCGGTTGGTACTGTAATTAGTAGATACTTGGCTTAAGTCGTGATTAGTTACTTGGTCGTGGTAAGCACAGGCATACCGGTATCGTAATCTATAAGGCTAGATATATTTCCTGTAGCACATCCGTCATTTTCAATGTTCCCCATTAGTGTTTTGTATTACGACGTCGCTTAGAATATGGTAAGATACATACAAGTACATGCAAGCTCGGGGAGATAAGCTTAAGCGAGTCGGCTGAAATCCCATGTTGGGGGAAAAGGGGGAAAGAAGAATAGAGAGAGAGGGTGAAGAGGATGAGCAGAACATAGAAACATCAGAGTATATATATATAGACACTCTGATGCCTCTCAATTATGCTGTATCAATTTTATAATAACATATATTTATCAATCCAGTTTCACTCCAAGATCATCACCCCAGATAGAATTTAACCTCTCTACTCAACCTTCTACTCAACTTTCGAAATAAAACCACACCAACAATTGAAATCATGTTTATTATCAGTGGTGGTGAGTATCCTCATGGAGGAATTGCCATCATTGGAGGCGGTATCGCTGGAGTAACCTTGGCTCTGGGTCTTGTCAATCGAGGCATCCCTTGCAAAATCTACAAGGCCACAACTTCTCTGAAATTGGCGCCGGTGTTGCTTTTGCGCCCAATTCTATCCGCGCAATGAAAGCGTGCGACTCTAATGTATACAACTGCATTCAAAGCCGTAGCGATACACAACCTCTGGGAATCAAAATGTGCCAATATGTCAGAGGGTCGCAAAGGATTGTACTTTGATTTCTTGGATGGCTTTCATAAAAATAGTAGTGAGCCATCCAAGGTACTTTTTTCACTTCACAACGATGAGGGCTCAAACAGTGTACATCGCGCTCATTTCTTGGATGAAATGGTCAAGTTCGTGCCCAACGACATTGCCGCATTCTGCAAGAGGGTGGAAATAGTGGAGGAGAGCGATGATCAAGGCCCAGTTACTCTTTATTTTGCGGATGGCATCAAGAGTCATGTTCGTCAATCGATTCTGGGTGCCGAGAACCCCGAAAGTCATGCAGGCTACAGCTACAAATATGCCTATCGTGGACTGATACCCATGTAAAAGGCAATAGCTGAACTGGGCGAAGATATGGCCGTTAACTCTAAGATGCACCTCGGACCCGACGGCCATATCTTGACCTTCCCAGTTGACAAAGGGAAGACTATGAATGTAGTAGCCTTTGCAACAACAACCAAAGAATGGCCAGATATCCATAAGTCTACATGTGCATCAACCAAGCAAGATGCCCTCAATGACTTTACTGGCTGGGGCGAGAACGTCACCCACATCCTCAGCTTGCTCGACGAAGACGTCGACATCTGGGCTATCTTCGACATGCTCGACCATCCCGCTTCCACCTATGCTAAAGGGAGGAAAGTTATAATTGGCGACGCAGCACACGCGACCAGTCCTCATCATGGCTCGGGTGCAGGTTTTGCTATCGAAGATTCTGCTGTGTTAGCGGGGCTGCTCGCCACGCCTGCTGCCAAAACACCTCGAGGATTGCGTGCTGCATTTAAAGCATTTGATTTATGTCGGCGGCCTAGAACACAATGGCTTGTGGCCAGTAGTCGGCGCACCGGGGAATTGTACGAGCAGCAGACACAGGATATTGGGGCTGATGTCGAAAAGATTGCGGCTGAGGCGCATGAGCGATTTGAAAAGATTTGGCAGGGGGGTATTAAGCAGATGACTACTGAAGTAATGGACAAGTTTTAAGAATTACTCACAGGCTCAGAATTGTAAAAATAACAAATATCTATAATTATCAAATATTATATATAAGTCCACTACCCTCCCTACTTTTAGGCCACCCTCCTTTTGGGCTACCCTTTTATATCGAAAACAATTATTTTTAGATATTTATAACTTTTTATTCAATGAATATAATAAAATGAAAATTTAATTATAGAATTGTTATATAGTTATCAATTCAATTACAGATTTTCAAAATTTTAGCGATTTTCTACTAGGAGCGCTGCGCCTCCCGGCACTCTTCTACTCTCTGTCTTTTTGTTTTTTTAAATGATTATTTATTTTCTAATTCTTTTTAAAATTTCAATTATATATAATATTCTATTAATATTTTATTAATAATTTTAAAATAATTTTAAGAAAGTATATGCTTAAAATCAGCGTAGTTATTCGAAAATATTATATTTTATTATAAATTATAATTATTATTATTTTAAAAATAATAATAATCTGAAAAACTCTAAGTCGATTATATCTAAGATATAATTACTAAGCATTCATTCTCATCTCATATT